TATATTTATATTTTATGTATAAAAGTGTTAATAATACGTACGCGTACGGGCTGTATCGAGTCCTTGACAATGTGTTAATTTAAACACAAACAAACGAGACGCTATCTCCTTGTTAACAACAGTCGTGTAAAATTATGTTCAGTGTACTAATAATACTATGTATTTAGTTAAGAGTATATTGTATAAATAAATCTCAAAGAGAATACAGTAAAATAAAGACATACCTTAGCCTTCAAGGTCACTGAATAAATTTTAAAGATGGCAGCCCCAAAAAAAACCACCGTCGCATCTTTGCCGCCATTTTCGACTCAAATGCAATTACAATAAATATGTTTATTCCATGTAGTAAGGTTTGCCTAGAGCTCCTGTTGATAACTTTTGCCGCCATTTTAAATTATATGAATCAAGAGTATCAGGTGTAGTAGTGTTTCGGTTCGTCGTCGGTGCTCCGGTTGTTAAATCTTGCCATTTTCGACTCAAATGCAATTACAATAAAGTTTATTCCATGTAGTAAGGTTTTCCTAACTCCGGTTGTGTCGGTTGCCCCACCCGCGGCGGTGGTCGTCCTTGTACTCGTCCATGCCGCGCTGGCGAGCCAACTCCTCTGGGTCGTCTTCTTCTACTAGACGCTCCTGGAGAAGTACAGAAGAAGACTATTAAAAACATACTAACCGAATGAGGGCTATCGTTTTTATACTTAACAGTTGGCACCCCTGGCGATTGACAGGACCTTACTCTACAGTGGCGCCACATCTTGATGAGTGCAAATGCGATAGTCCTCCTACCACTTTAGCGCTCACAAGTTGGCGCCACTGTCTTCGCTACTAGCAAGTGACAGGACCTTACTCTACAGTGGCGCCAACTGGTGAGCGCTAAAACGATAGCCCTCATTGAGAACCTCCACCTTTTCCTCTCCTCCTCCGTGACGCCCTCCTGTCAGTGTCATGGCTGAGACGGTTAATGTTCGGCATCATCTATATTACTTTTTTTTAATGTTGTATTTTTATTTTGTTTTTTCTCTTTTATTTGTATTTTTTTTGTGTGTTGTCTCATGTTTGTTAATCATTTTAGGCGAGTATTCCAGCTCTCTCCAAAAATGGTCACCGCAGAATAACAGCGTCATGTTCTGGGTTTTATTTACTACTTCAGAGCACGACTCAGCAGAGCGATAGTCAATTTTGGTACTTGCTTTTATTATCTGTGTGTTATATTTTTAAGTTGGAACCAAATAAATGTTTTTCTTTCTTTCTTTCTCCTTTTTGAAGTCGGTTAAAAAGTAATTGTACAGACAACAGCACATCAGAGTATACACTTTTATGGAATGGGAGCATTACATTACGCATTACTTCACGATTTTACTTTTTAGAACTACTTCTATGGGCTTTATTAGCTGTACAGTGATCATTTTCCATAGAACTTTACAAAGAGATTAATAAAATTTTCACAGTTAGTTTAACAGTTAGTAGTAGAGTAGACAAACCTTGCGAATTCTTTCTTCCTCATCGCCGTCTGTTTCTGTGTTCTGTATGGTTTGGTGCGGGATATTTGTTCCGCCTGGGAATCTGTAATGCAAAAGGTAGACTGTTTTGAACTGATGTTTGAAAATTTTCGCTTGAGGCCTGTCCTACTGTTTATTTCACACTAGCTTTCCGCCCGCGGCTTCGCCCGCCTGGAATTTTGTCTGTCACAGAAAAACAATATCGCGCGAGTATTTGCTTACCCTGGACTACGACAAACATTTTAAAACCAAAATCAGCTCAATCGGCCTAGCCGTTCTCGAGTTTTAATCAGACTAACGAACATCAATTCATTTTTATTTATATAGATAGATTAATTAGGCCCAGTTTTCACCAAGTGTTTTGAACAACATAAGATTTTCTGGTTTATTGAATAATCTTTTTGATTGGTTATTCAAAACACTTCTTTGCTCCGCCGCGCTCCACCTTGGTGGAAACCGGGACTAAGCATACTTTGGTCTAAGAGGAAAAAGACATCTGAGCGAAAAAGATCGTATTAAAACGAATGATCTATCGCAACCACGATTTGCATATCGTTCAGAATATACCTTGATTACACTAAAAAGGTGAGTGAATTTTGCCTGTTTTCACCATCAATCACCAATTTTTAAGTGACTATGAAAACAAAATTCCTGTTTTCTATTTCTTTTAAAAAATAAAGGAAAGTTTTCTTTGAGTAAAATTTTCTATCTACAGTATTAAGAGTACTTTCCCTCCAGGTGGTATTACAAAATTCCACCCTGTATTACTATTAAAAATTAGGGATGATGATGGTGAAAACGGGCAATAGTCTTGTTGTGTTGTGATAATGTTTTTGTCTATGTGCGTAATATCTGTGGTACTGACATGCCGTCCCGCACTCTCTGGTCGTAGAACTCCTCGATAGTGAGCGAGGGGATGGCGGGGTAGCCGGCGCCGAACACCGCCTTCTGCACCGCGTCGCGCGTGATTATCACCGGCCTCAGCGGCGTCCGCGGCGGCGCCTTCGATGGCTTGGGCTCTGCGAACAACCATTTACGGTGTTACACCATCAGTTCAGCGGTTTATCCCCTGATGGGGCAGTCAATGGAGATAAGAGGAATCCCTATGTATTTTTCACTGCAGGAAAACAAACTCGTAATTATTTAGCAGAGGGATGATTTCAAATAATTTGGCTTACAGTCCTCACACTGGCCAGACCGGTTTCAAAGGCTGATGTTGATATTTCTCCCTAATCGTTTGTACTCTATTCTGCCTGTTAGCAAGTTATAAAGCAAGTTAACAACATGTAGGCTAAACCTCAATTAAAGTCTGCCACTTCCTTCATAAGGCTTGAATAAACATTTTAAAGTGAATAGTTTATGCCTGCAATAACACCAGATCTCACTTCAATCCATTCAATTAAAAGGAGACTGCCGCTTTCAAAAAGATCACATCAAGATCTAAATGATAACTCAAACAAAATATTAATGAATAAATACAAAACACATTTCTTACCTCCAGCATGCTTCTCCATGTATTCCAAAATGGGTTTTTCCTGTTCAATACTACTGAGTTCATCTAAGGCTTGGTTCACATAGTTCTGGAGCAGTGTTGTGAAGTATGTCCTCTTGGTGTCATCATCCACAGAAGGTGAGGCCATGGCCTTGGACAGTGTGCTAAGTTTGTCCTTCAGTTCTTTCATCTCTTTATACCTCTTGATTTTGGCTTCCCTTGTCATGACCTGAAACATATTATTATTATGATACCTTATGTTAAATATCACATACTTTAGCAACCAAAGTCTAGGCAAAATTGAAATATTCCATCACTATAATATTGTAGCAGTTAGGGACCATTGTTCTCATTCAAATTGTAAGTTAATTTAAAAAGTATCATTACATCATCAGAAGGAATGGGCATTGGAAATGGTCTAATAAGAAAATGTAACATAATATCATACCATGCTAGCAATTTTGGCTTGTTCACTCTGAGTGCGCGCCACCGTGCCCTGGCTGTCACTTGTCGCGGGCACCTCCACATCTGTCACTCCATAATCTTTACATCTCTGTAGAAAGTCTCTGCAAAAAATATACAAAATGGATAAGTCAATACAGTTGGCATCCAGTCATTAACACACAGTCAATAAACAGAAGTAGCAGGCAAAAGATAGTGATCCTAAACTTGAAAACAACTTACTTGAAATATACTTCTGCTACTTGTATCAAGTCTTTTCGGGGCGTGCCACTCCGCTTCAAAGTAAGAGTCCCGAGTAACGCAGGCAACAATAGGTACTGTAATGTTTCCGTTGGCAACTCCTCAAGGTTCTCATTGCGGCTGAACATCCCCGAGAGAGACACTAGGTTGGTCGCCTTCTCAAACTTTGATATTGCCGACTTAATACTCATCTGTATCAAAATAAAAATATATTTGTAATTGCATAAAATACGTAAATGTTTTGGTAAATAATAAGTCTTGACTGCTTCGAATTTACTTCAAATTGGTTAATGTATAGCACACATAACTTCTACAGTTTTACTTTAATAGAAATAACCCATAATTTATTGGGAAATACATAAAAAAAAGAAGTAAAATCACCTGAACTGCATCACTGTTGGTAGCTTCACTACCGCTTTCAATAGAATCAAACAGTTTCATAGCCTGGTCGTATATGTTTTTCAAAGACTCCTCTTCTGTAGATTGCCCAGCATCAGTAGGCTGAGACATCTTGAACTATTTAATTCTCAAAATTTTCCAGAAATATCACCGCAAAACACAAAACAAGAAAAATTCACGATTGGCAATTGACACTGTTGACAGTGACATTGACAGTTTGATAGTTTTTAGAGCTGATAATGCACTTTGGGCCAACGTATTTTAAGACGAGGACAATTTATCATGAAATCATTTTTAAATTGTATTGATAAAGATGTTCCCATTTATCTACCCATAGTTCTCATTTTATCCAAAATTGCTGTTGTAGCCACTGTGTAGCACAGGGAATGCCAAACTAAAATATATTTTTACAGGTGGATAAGCGCCTTATGCGTTTATGGCAGCAATGTTCCCTTTCTGTGCATATTTGGCGAAAAATCGTCAATGGCTATTATGGCCACGAAAGCATAAGCCTTCTATGGCAAGGCGTATGCATTCGTGGTCCAGGCTTACCAGGCTATATTCCAAAACGTATGCATCCTGCATGACTATCAATCAACTAAGTGAACATGCTTTAATTTGTTTATTTTGAGTGTCCCTATTCCAATAATGATTAATTGGAAGAATGCTAAGCATTGCCTAAAATGTAAATTTTACTATAATTTCAAGCTTATTTATTAGTATAAGACAAAGGGTTTTCTACATTATTTACCTACCCAACATACTTGTATTCGCATAAATGGTCTCCCCTGCAACATTACTGAAGGCAATATCACAAGACTATTACGATTTTCCTCCAGAACAGTCATCGCTGTCGTGCAGAGTATATTAATGGCTCAGTGCAACGCAATAAGGGCCATCGATTTAAATGGTCACACTTATGTAGACTGCGCATCACCGCGAGTGCCACCGAGGCAGCCTGGCTTCGTCCAGTGAGCACTCGGTGGTCGAGAGGCGCGCACGCCAGCTGTCACATGTAAGTCACGCGGGTCGCTCGCCGGCCGGAACCAACAGGATCGGCTGACCTCGCTCTGGCATCACAATAGCCCTGCCGAGGACGTGAATCTTGCGTTTTCATTCCATTTTAACACGGAATCGCGTTTCGCAACCCGCCATGAAGTAACAGCCCTTTGCACGTCTCATTGTTATGAAAACTCAGCAGTGTTTTCGATTGTTTGGTAACAAGAAAAGTTGATGTGACGTCTGTGCATAACATGAAATAACAGTGCATTTATTTTACGATAAGTTACACCGGGTGCGTATAGAATTCAGTCTAGAAGGGATATAGCGTCCTGTCCGAACAAGCCAATTTCGTAATAGCCTTTGAAAACCCGCCTAACTAGTTCAATGCTGTGTAAAGGTAAACAGTTATGTGACTATTAGTGTACGTATTTATAGTAACATTGACTTTAATCTTTCACAAGCATTGCATGCATCAGGCAAGCATTTATAACTTAGCGGCTGATGCGAATAGTTTTCTGCGTTTTCAAATTCTTGAGTCACAACAATCGTTTAAATTCACTAACTCTACTCAACCATTTAATTAATTGCTGAAATTTAGCGAAGTGCTACTAATTGATCCTGTTTTTTATTCCTTTTGAAGTGTTCTTAAAAGGGTTGAGTTATCTTCTGTTTATGTTTTCATAAACACGTTGAGAAAATAACAGCCTACTTCTAAAGTAGGCATTATATTTTGAAAAACACGTCCTTTATAATTTTCATAAGTGTTTATTTTTCGCAATAAAGCTAAATGTCACTCATAAGTAACACAATTACCTTCAAGAAAATGCTAATGTAAGTAGTCGTAATAAACGGAAGAAATTCATGACGACAGCCGAGCAGAGACGTAGACCTAGGTCGTATGACTCAACTGATTTTACGTCGTCACTGCTGAGTTTTCAATTATTTACAAATATTGTTGTTTCAGCTAATTGATTTCTTTTTACTAGAGATTATAATTTTGCTCGGTATCTTTCCGATCTCTCTCACAGCGGTTCAAGTCAGACAAAATAAGATAACTTGTTATTGATTCGTCGCATTAATATTTTGGTAGCCTGTTCGATAAGTGACCTAGGTGTCACTAATGTTAATTGAACACAATGAGTATTTCAGATTGTTTCTTCGAGAACTTACCTACTGAATGATTTATCGATCGAAACGAAAACATTTCGTGTTATTTCACTGGATATAGATGAAATCTGATAGGCGGCATAATATCCGTGTGAATGGGCATATTCGCTCAGCAGACTATCTTTTTATGGCATTATGGGATTACATTGAGCAATAAATTCAATGCATAATAACAACTGAACATCAATTTCACTCTTCCTCATTGTCAATGAACCATAAAAGTAGCTTTAATAAAATTAACTCAACAATTAAATTCTTTGACAAATAATATACGACTCTACGTAATGTAGAGCTATAGTATTGTATTATGCTAAGTTCACCTGCCTGTCGAACATTTTAAGGAATTTTATCTTTGGTTCCCAACCACGTCCTCCATATTACCATGTTTCGATCCCTTACAATTCATCTTTTTAAACATAGCAGAAGCGGAGATTTCTGGAAAATTCCAGCGAGAGACGAGCTGCGTCGGCCCGGAAATGCCCATTAATGCTCCTGTCTGCGGCGCCCCACTTACTCGCCTAAGAACTTGCTAGAACACGCGGGTATCATCCAGACGGGAATGCATCATGCACTTGAAGGGGGCTAATTGACCATGACAAAGTGTTCATTGATAAGCAGAAGTTGTTAGGATTGAAGGATTAGTCATATGATTTTGCTGGTCGCTGGTCTCGTTAGCGCCAAAGAGTTTACCTCATAGAGTGGATTCTTATATCTTATTCACCAATGTGACTTGTTATATCAGTAGAAAAAGAATCGTCATTTTGCTTACGTAGATGATAATAATGTTGATGAAGTCATGCAGCTCTAGTCTAAACAAACAAAGATTACTTTCGTACCACATTTACAAAAACAGCTCCAGTTGATGACTGTCATACACATGATATGGACGATAAATCCTCTACAAACATTCACATGTGGATGCGATCGTTTTCCATGTCAATTATCGCCATAAATCTAACGAGGCTAATCGTCCATCAAGTTCACATGTTATTTTCTTCTGTTACAGATATCATGGGTGTTGCTATTGCTTGAAACTGCTGATTTCAAGATAAAGTTATGGCTATGTTCACGGTACTCGCTCTATACCTGCTGGCGTTTGGTCTGGCGCACGGATTCAATGGAGACAGCTTCGAGCTGGAATGTCCGGATGAATGTGACTGCCACTACTTCAGAATCAACTGGGTGACGGACTGCTCTGAAAGCAATCTGACCGAAGTTCCTTATGATGAGCTCAGCATGAGCGTGTACATCCTGGATCTCAACGGAAACAACATCACTACGCTAAAGACATTCCCTGCAGACATCAAGATGCGGAGGCTGCAGATAGCCAACAACCGGCTCGCCAGGGTCGACAAGGATGCCTTCAAGGGTTTGGAGTATCTCATCGACGTTGACTTGTCCGGAAACAACATCAGCTATGTCGATCCAGAGGCTTTTCTGTAAGTATACCTAATTATGTTAAATTATAATGACCAATAAAATCTTCTCTATTTACCACCCCATTTTGAAAAAAATATTCACAAACAAAAGAATTACAATGCTTTATAGAGTTAAAACGCTCATAGGCAGGTATTGTGGTGTCACCCCTAAAAAGACGTGAAACCGCGATGACATTGAAGTTAATAATTAAATTACAAGCTTGTTACGATTGTGGCAAGCGGCGCTTCGTATTGTAAAGCGAATTGTCAAATCGGGCGCAGCCGACACTTGCAGCGCAAGCTGCGCAGCCGCAACACTCGCGACAAGGCCGCGGGAAGCCCGTTTTTCTAACGGTTAATGACATCAATCGCTGAAATAAATAGTTACAGACTGACTGCTAAATATTTTCATTGGATTGATTGGGCATAAAAATAATCATGTAAAAAGATAACTGATAGCATAGCTTTGTTTTCTAGATTGCCTACAATGCCAATCAATGTTAATTTTTGTGAATTAAATTTGGCAACTCTACTAACCTTGACACCTCCAAAGCATTTGATGGTCTGAATAGGTATAATGCCACTCGTATGATCATTACCTACTCAAAGCGCAGATCGGTAACAATGCGTGACACATTGTTTACTCCACGTAGGTACCTAGTACTTCTATTCTCACGGACGACCATTGTCTGCCGCAGCCTGACATTCATCCCCGAAGCACAATGCTGATGACAAAATTGTTCCAATTGAACTTGATGCCGTGTCGACCAGAACCGACAATTGACGTTAAGTCGTTATGCCAATATTAGATAATGGTCACACAACGAATGCAAATTGAAATCGCTGCTAGAAACCCATTTACGAGTTTACAACTCGTGTATCGTGACAAAAGACACAAAGAAAAATATCTTAATTGAACATAGTGAGCTGAGTTGATATGATAAACGTTTTCTTTTCAGAGACTCCCGAGGCCTTCTCAACGTCGAGCTGCAAGACAACCCGATAACCGTCGTGGAGGGGCCGTTCCTCATCTCCAGCACTCTGCAGTTCCTGGACATCAGCTCCTGCAACCTGTCCACTATAAACCCGCAGTTCTTTGACAACATCACCTCTTTATCGACAGTGGACCTTTCAAACAACCCTCTCCAAACTCTAGAGGGAAGCGTTTTCGACGCTCTGACTAGTTTGGAAACTCTCAAACTGAACGATTGCAAACTCACCAGTGTCGCTGAAAACGTATTTTCATCATTAATTAATTTGAAGTTTTTGGAACTCGCAGGCAACCAATTAGCGAACACTGACTGGCCAGAAGTATTAGGGAAGCTGGCCAGACTCGAATATCTAAACTTAAGGAAAACAGGAATAACATCGCTGTCGGAAGACGCATTCTCAAATTGCACTAATTTGGTCTCGCTAATATTGGCTGATAACGAATTACGTGATTTGGACGTTGCCGCTACATTGGGAAGCAGCGTCGATCATCTAGAATTTCTGGATCTTTCCAATTGCAAAATTAAAGGACCCATTTCAGGGGAAGCATTTGCAAATGCCACGCGACTGAAATCACTTTATCTTTCAGGCAATCCCCTATTTGCTCCAGATTTACAAGAAGCACTCGAGCCGTTGCCAAAACTTGAAAAACTGTTTATGAGCAATTGTGGTTTGAGAAATCTACCCGACAATTTCAACGTTTTCGACAATCTCCAAGAGCTGGATATATCACATAACCCTCTTGTAAATGTATTTACGAAACTCTTGGCTCCTCTTGAAAAGTTGGAATACCTCAACATGGGTTACAGTAATCTGTCTTACATAGGACCCGATACGTTTTCCAAAATGACATCAATGAAGAGGCTTGTTTTATCTGGTAACGATCTCTTGTCATTAGAAGCCGGTCTGTTCGGCAATTTGACACAGTTAACTACTTTGGAGTTAGAATTTTGCGGACTGAAAAGGCCTTTAAACGCAAACGCGTTCTTCAAAAACCTAACGTATATGGACCTTCGAGAAATCAGACTTGGTGGTAACCCACTTGTGATTCCTGAAAATGGACCGGTGTTCCCTAAACAACTTTCACAAGTTTCAATCCTCGATATGAGCGACTGTAATATAACTTCGTTACATGCAGATGCTTTTATGAATACTGAGAATATTACTGACTTAAACCTGTCTGGCAATAAGATCAAGTCGGGCGATAAAAGCTTATTATTTTTAGAGAGACTAGAACATCTCGAAAAGATCAACCTCAGTAACAACAATCTCACAACAATAGATCCGGAAGTATTCATACACAATCCTAAACTTCATTCATTGAATTTGATTGGCAATCCGTTCCGTTGCGATTGTAAGATCGCCGAAATGTGGGACTGGGCGAATATGATAAAGGGCAATCTGGACGTCCTCATTGGAGCCAAAAGCGCAGAGAGAGACATCGTGGTGAAGGGTAACAAGAAGAAGAAGCACTTGTACTGTCATTACAACGAGACTCAGCTGCGCAACATGACTATTGCAGTAAATAAGACAGTTCCTGGAAGGAGGCCTTTCATGAAGCCCAGAGAATTGACGTTCGCCAACCGCACGTGGGCCAAGTACGTGAGGGAGTCCGGATGTGAACCAGTTGTCAAGATCCTACGACCTGTTGCGTTGATGGCTAGTATCCTCCACATTAATGATGGAAAGTTGTCAACTGGTTTCTTGATTATGGCAGCCCTTGCGGTAGCCATGGGCGTGGCGACCGCGTTGATGACTTACAGACTATTTCGCAAAAATAACTTTCAAGAAGTCGATACAGAGAGAACTCGAAAGCAAAGATAGCAGTCAAATTGATGAATTGTTTTCTATTTGAAGTTTACATCAAAAGCCAGTCGGCTTGCCAGCCACGTATGTTTTATAAGTAAAGTTCTTTATTTTTTTACTGTTATAATGCATCATAGGTACGTGAAATATTTGGTAGAAAGTTGGACAGATATTTAACAGGGCTAATATTCATAAGAGCATTATTGTTGACTTCGCTCTAGTACCTAATTTTGCAGTAGGTATAAAATAAGTTTGATCCTCGCCTTGAGTGAGCCTTTAGATTTAGAATTACATGTAAGTATCTATACCGATGACTTTATTTATTTAAAGGTATACGATGCGGATTATGGACTAGTCATGTTCACACGGAACTAATAAAAAATATTCATCTTCAAAATGATTTATGAATTTATAACCCTTGTAATTTGCTAATACCATCAGTGAATAAACTTTTGTAAAAATAAAAGCTTGTCTTTATTTAATTCATTATCAACGATAAAAAGTCACGAGGAAATGATGATGAAGTAATGATATTTTCCAATTAAAATATTAAGTATCTGTAAATAAATTACACGAAATAAATGCGAAATATTGCGCTACTTTTACAATAAGAAAAAAAAGAAACCTAAGTATTGTGAACTAATCCAATAAACTCAGACGAAACCGATTTTATGTAATTTAATTATATCTAGTTAAAAGTGCAATATTAAATTAGGCAAAGTGCAGCTGACCGCAGAAGTTGACAATTGTTTGTTTCTTCACGACTGCGCGCTGCGCCTGCGCTTGCGGTTTGCATCACCATCCATAATGATCCCCAGATTACTAAAATATCTTGATTGACTCCTTTTTATATTTCTGGTTCAATTAATTTTTCCAATTTTCCACGTAAAACAAAAATTGTACAAAGAATTTGTAGAAGTTTATGAAAACAGATTTTTTTCTACGTGTTTTATACATCATTATTTACTCCTGATTTTTATCATTATTAACTTATATATCGTATTCTAATATATTTCCTCTCATAAGGGAAGTGACGGGTTCCCTACACAAACTTTCATCCCTATTTATCTCCTCTTTTGTGGCAAAAGATATTATAAGTACCTACTGATAATCTTTTAAGTTCCATCTATCTCGATACCAACTAATCAAAAATGGTTTGGCATTCCGCGGGCTACAGCGTGCCTCGTTGTTTCAAGTGGAAGTATGTTCTAGATACTTACACGAACACCCAAGTTTCAAACACTATGAAAAATCGATAGGCCGCGATAGTTCAGAAAACTAATTAAGTAAAGTAATAAGTAATTTAAACAGAGTATAAATAAATGCATTAATTACACGGCTTTCAGCTTCTAACAACATATTTAAGTAGGTATTAGATTGAATAGGAACAAAAAAAAGTATAAATTAAATATAATTTAAAGCTTCGAACTCCGAAAGTATATTACAATTTTAACGTAGAGATGGAAGTAATGCTCCGATTGTTTAAAAAAACCGGATACCGGAAACTTCCGTTAAATTGCAAACATATAATCTTGCATGCATCAATTAAATTTGCATGAAGTAGCATGCACGCTACGATACTCACTATCTACTATTCTATTATTGTAATTATCGACGTAAAAAATCTTGCAAAATAGTTTTAAACCTGAACCAAAACTTCCAAACATTTGATTAAGCAAGTTGTTGTTTTTTTATAATACTCTATGGAGCTAAGTTTTTGTACTGAAAACAAATAATTTCAATAGAAAGCTCTAGGTCTTGAGCACCTGCTCTTTATGCATCCGCTTGCGCCACTCGTGACGAATCGCCCTCTACTTTTTGCGTCTCTACGGTGACTGGCTTTGTTGATAACCAAAGATGGAGTTTTTTATTTGCGAAAACGGGACTCAACTGATATTGGTGTCACGTAACGTATTGGCAGATAGGGAAAGTCTTATTGCGCAAGATAATCGCTGAAGCAACACTGAAGTTTTTGCTTCTATTAAGCTGACTTAGGAATCGTTAGATCAATAAAAACAATATGTTTTATAACATTTTTATTTTTTTCAAAATTGTAAAAACTTATTACTAAAATAATTACAATAAATATGTACTCTCATAATTTATCTATCAGCTTGGTTTGCCGCCCGATGTGCTCGTTTTCTTGATGTACCAGTTCTCTTTGTAGATTTTTTTCCTCATTCCCGGCTTTTCACTCTCGGGACTGTCGTTGCTCGCCATGGCCGCTAGCTCGCTGTCGAGCAGGCGCGGCAGCCCTATCGGCTCGAACCCGTATTGGAACTGTGGCTCCACGAAATGGGTTTTACTCTTTAATCTTTGGTAAGGACGAGAGGCGTGCGCGGAACTATCGCGCGGGGCTTCTTTCCCGAAATTGTACTCATATTTGATCGGCTCCGCTTTGTACTGCGCGAAATAATTCTGCTTCTTCTCTGGCGCGAAATCAAATGACGGAGCCACTGTATACTTCTCAGATTTCTTCTTCTTCTTATCTTGGTCGCCGGCGAAATACTTTTCAGGCTTCTGGCTTTGGTACAACTTGTAGTAGTTGGCCTTGTTTTGATAGCGATCGGCCAGACTCTCCGGTCTGTTAACCGAATAATCTAAGTAGTAATCTTCCTTAGTACTGTCTCGGGCGTCTTTGTAGTTCGCGCGCGAGCTCTTCGGGAAGCTGTCGCCCTCCGCTTGATATTCTTGAAAAGGGGTTTTTTCTACCTCAAAATCACCTTGATCGGAGGACGGGGAAAAGCCGTAACTGCTCGGACTGTAGATATCTTTCTCGATATCTGCGGCTTTCTTCTCAAATGCATCGAAACCGAATGCGGCATTTTTGTAAGCCTTTTCAAAATCTTCTTCGTTGTTATCTTCATGGTCGACCATTTCAGCCTTAATTTGTTCGTGGTGTGAATGCATTTCCTCAGGGCTTTCCTCCTGAATAATGATTCGTTTGGCCTTTTCGAGTACGACGGGCGCGGCAGAGCTGTACTGTTGCGGAGGCTGTGTGGGCTGTGCCCGAGTTTGTTGTTCCACAAACTTTTGATATTGTTCCAGCGATGTTAACGGAGGCGGAGGCTTATTGTAAGACTCTATCTGTTTTAAAAACTCATCACTGGGCGCTTCAGAAGGCACAATCTTTATATCTTCCTCGTATTCTGGCGTAGGATGATACTCTGCCTCTGTGTGCTGAGCAGGACCCTTCGCGTGTTGCGAGTTTCGTTGAGGGGCCTCTTGATGCTCTTCGTAACGGACTTCTTCATTTGGAACCAGTTGGATATTACCATTTGACCTGTGAGTAATTATATCGTTTGACTTATGCTGTCGTACGGCTTGATTCGGGCTATAGTATACTACATGCCCTTGAGGTCGGAATTGACTTTCTGGACCAAGAGGTACAAAGTTGTATGTCGGTCGCGAAGGTTCGTTGTAATGCGGTTGATTATTGAAGTTATTTTGAGGATAAGGTGTTGGCTTCGAAGGTTCTGAATGATGTGGTTGATTATTGTGGCTATTTTGAGGATTAGAGGGAGGAGGAGCATCATTGTCCGATTCCTCCGCCGAGCCCCCATCTTCAGACGAACCTCCATCATCAGACTCAGCATGGTTGTGTTCTCTGTTTTGCTCCTCAGGCTTGAATGTGTATATGAGTTGTTTAGGCCCTTGACTAGTAACCTGATAATTTACTTGTTTAATCTGGACTGGCTCTTTCGATGTATGAACGAAGTTATAATGAACTGGTTCTTTCTGTTCAGTTTTCTGGTAACTATAACTAATAGGTTCAGATTGTGTTTTCTTATCATAGCTATAGTTCACAGGATCCGATGCAGTAGCCTTGTTGTAGCTGATGTTTTCCTCTTTGTAAGTTTCTTTATAGTTAGGTGACTTAATCTCGTAAGAAAATTCAGGGCTCTTATTTGGTGTACCTTTAACGGTTATGGTCGGATTGACCGGATGCGATTTGTGGTGGTTGTCACTGTGCGACGAGGGCTGCTTTGTTTTCTTTTTTGGTCCATCATTGCGGTGTTTGCTTTTGCCACTATCATAGGACTTCGTTTTTTGTACAACAATATCCTTCTTGTGTTGTTTTGCTTCATTGACATTGAATTCCGGAAGCTTATGATAAGTGGCTTCATTTATTCTGGGTAAAAAATGTTGAACTTGTGGAACCAGGGGGTTGGCAAAAGTCAACGGCTCAAGCAGGCTGAGATCCAACAAAGGCACTGGAGGTTTCGTGTCCAAAGAAATGACCGTCTTCTTTCCATTTACTATGGCTGTCACAGAAGTCTTGGCTGGTGCGGCTTGAATTTGCGCTTTATTTTCTTGAGAATTTTCAGCACTGTGCGCGGTTTCAGCGTGGTTTCCTTCAAGATGGTGCTCCAAACGCTGGAATTTCACTTCGTTTTGGGGATTTTTGTATTGATTGACTTGATGCTGTTGAGCTGTCTGTGAATTAGCATAGACTGCACTGTTGCTACTAGGTTGCTGCTGGGCTGTGAGCGCTTGCGTATGAGATGGAGCAGCATGCGCGTGTGTGTGAGCTTGCGACGGAGCTAAGCTTCCAAAGTTTTGGGCAAACGCAAAAGGTTGAGAGTAGCCTCCAAAACTGCTCGTTGGAGCATTATTTGCCACTTGGAAGCGATACGGCGATCCAACGAAGTAATGCGGTGCTGTCTGCTTACTTTGCGGTGCCGCGAGCAGAGGCTGAGACAGGTGTGCGGGCAGCTCTTGTAGCGGGAGGAACTGCTGCGGGAAAGCAGTTTTGTACGCGGCCGTTTGGGGCGTGTCCACGTACTTGTTGCCGTACGAGTCCCGTAGATAACCGTTCACATTGTGCAGTACCAGCTGTTCCTTGACCGGGACGACCCGGGACGCGGCGGCCTTGGGCGCGGCGATGAAGGCGGGCAGGTGGAACGAGTAGGCGGCGTAGGGCGCGGCACTCGCGTACACTCCGAGGGGAACGTTCCGATAGAGTCGCGGCGCACTTTCTGCACTAACTGTATCTTTAACTACCAAATTGTTCACAGTCTTCCCTGTTGCTTCGTGTATCCCACTTAACGTCAGCCAGCAGCATAACGCTGCGTGAAATGCCTGTAATGAAAAAATATCGATGTTTTAGATTTTGATCGTGATTTTGTTAAAAAATCAAATAAAATGTATTATTTATTATATTGCTTGATTAATTAAATTACCTTTCTCCACATGGTGGGCCACGTTGAGTCCAAGACAGTGAGAGCGGCACTGAGCGGCGCGGCGCCCTCCGCGCGTTTATAACGAATGTGCGCGCGCGCAACGCTCGCTTTTCTCAAACCGCACCGTCTCTGGACTTCGTTAATTCGTTATATCACCCGACACACTTTACGACGGATCTATGTTGTTCATTCACTAAATTTAATTTATCGTAAATAAATTGCTTCCTATGCCCAGCTAATGTAAAAAAGTGTAACAATTGGAAGCAAAGGGTTGTGCAATTCGGGTGATAGTTCTTCACAATACCGAACTGATTGTCTGCCGGGTTTGGTAAGTTTGGAAATAAATCAAGCAGCACAGTGTCGCGGGAAATAAAATTATTGCAATCACAATAATATTCAATTAAATTAAATTCCTAACTAGACTGACACAGGGTTTTGAGCATAAATTGGAAAAGGAGCATTGTTTATCAATTTGTTTACATCAAATTTCTATGTAGTTCTGTCAATTAACTTATTCAATTGGATATTGGGTTTACTGCAGTACGTATGCTCATTACGATTCAGGAACAAAAACGCGCGTACCCTTTGAATGTCGTTATGCAACCGAGTTCGAGCACGCAACTATAAGTATCTACTAAATAGGCATTCATAACAAACATTACACACAAAATGGTAAGATATCCCGTTAACTTTTGTATCCAAAGAACTGATAACAATATGACCGGATTTAAAATTACCACACTTGCCTGAGGAAACTTAAGCGCTCCTATGCATTAAAGTAAAATAAATTATTCCTATCTGCCTTATGGTTGCATTGCAGCAAAAAAACCAAATAGGGACCTGAATGAGGACTATGCATTATTGTGTAAACGATAAAAAACTTTTACCTACCGAATCCGACCCCGGAGAAAAACGCTGAAAAGCCAATGCTTTCTTATCCCATAGACATAGACAATAACAAATTATTTTCAATAACGATCTAGCATCATCTAACGAACCAAATGAACCAATTCCATATTTCCAGGTCACTCCACAAGAGACCAGGAAAACAACAGCGGAATTTCCCCAGGAAACCGATACATCGCGGCTAGATCCGTAGTATCGGGTGGCGGCACTTTCCTCCCGCTTTCCTGCGGTCATGGTCAGGAGCGCAGGCGCAGTGCCGCAGCGAAAGTTCTGCTCTTCATTACCATCGTACAAACATCCAATGGGAGGAAGAAGTAGTACTTCGCATGCTTTCAGAAGACAAAAAGCGTTTGGTATAAAACATTAAATGAAAAGGCCAATCGAAAACATTTAGTCACTTAAAGAGATAAGTTCTATGCGCACCTTTGTCATTTAAATTAGGAATTTTCGGAAGCGTTTAGGACATGCATCCAATCTGCTAAATCACACTTACTTTGCCGAACTGACTGGTCGACTTGAGATCCGCAGAAAGCCGGATCGATCGAACTTCGCCACCATTTGACCATTGTGGTGGACTCATTCATAACACACGTATTTAGCTTAGTACGGGCCTACAAAGGGTTAACGGGACGTATAAAAAACTTAACAGGTACTATTTTTAAAATTTCGGCACTCCAGCGAGTAATTAAAAAAACAACAAATCCACGAACTAACTAGATTATACGTACCCATTTCAATTATTCTGACAGTTTCATAAACACCGACGCGAATTCATTTATCCGTACAAATACGCCAAAAATCGCTAGAAATCGCCCCGGTTTCTGCAGAGTATTGGGCGACAGGTGTTGCCACACCGCTGCACCGCCCAGCAGAGTACGAGTTGGAATTTATTTGTAATGACAACCAAGTACCAACCAATAACTTTAATCGCAATCTTCTGAATCGGAGCTCAAATCTATGAGTAAAGCAGCTACTGTACAGTCGGTTTTATGGCGTCGAAGAGGAGGCAAGGCTCACCTTATTTATTATAACGACAGCTGCCTTTTAGCCCTTTACAGGGCTCTGGCAGACATATTGCCACAATAACTGAAACTTTTCTTCACTTATCATAACTTACCTTATAAAGGGTTAAAGGCTTGTGTATGGTTAACTTTGGTAAACGAACTTTTTGGCTAGATAGAAGTAGGTAGGTGAATTAGTTTAATTAAAGGAAAAATTATTTGAATACAGTCAGTAAAACAGACAAGAAAGTGAAATTGCTGGAATTTATTTTTACGTATTTTTTCGTACAATAAATCTTTAAGTGGGCGATTTATTATTATTAAGTGCATCATTAGAACGCTAACACTATTATCATCATTACTTAGAAAATTAAATTAAAAATACCTTTTAGAAACAAATTGATTTATTACACAAAAGAAAGACACGAAACAATTAACTAACTTATTAGTGTTCATTTATAAAAGTATGTTAATTTCAGTTTAGGATACTCCTAGTATAATTCGATTCATAGTTACTTTTAAGTAAAAAAAATAATATTTATACAATGTCCTGAGCAATATGAAGTAAATTTAGCTGAGGTATTTCAATTAAATACAATGTTTTGTAAAACATTTGAACTAGTGTATTTTGTTCCTAAGTTAATATTAATTTATGATAAATATTTACATCTTACTCTATGATTTGTAGCTTACGGATTTGAAATATCCACGAGCCAACACAAATTAATAGCACACACTGAAAAGTATAACGAAATACACAACTTTTTATTACAAAAATATAAGCTGGCAAGTTTGCTACGTAACCATGCAACAAATGCGTTTTAAATTAATCTCACTTCTTCAAGTTATTTATTAATTGTAAAACAGAGAGATTCTCATATTATTTTAACATATCAGGGTAATTTTATTGAATACTTGTTTTAGTTATAGGCACTATTTATAACAAGCTCTTTTGAGTAGTGTTTTTTTTATAATTTAATTAATTCTTTTTTATAATATTAGTTTTCTTTTATAAAATGTTTTAAATGTAAATGTTATGGAAAAGTATAATAACATTGTTTTGTCAACTGAATAATACAAAAATTTAATAGATCAGTCTATAAAAGTAATAGGAAGAAAGTAATAGAATAACAATTAAAAGATATTTAAAGGTCCAAGTCTTGTCATATAAAAATGTCAATAAAAACTGAAACACTCCTCCTTGCAGGATCAACTAGCTACTGCTCTTAAACACACTTAAAACTAAATTAAAATTACGACACAATACAGTTATACACCTAATCTATTGAAAACATTTCTAGTTATCGTTAAATTGTTAGGATTCTTTGCGCCTAACCTAGCTTTGACTCCATTGGATCCTTCAGGCATAGATAGCCTCCGTTCAGGTTTATTAAAAAAAGTTGTAAACTGCTTACCACCTTTTACTGCTACATTGGTCTTCTTGACAGTTTCAATTTCTTTGTACTCAATGTGATTAGAGAATTTTACAGACTTAGATTTAGGTAAGTTTAATTTGTCTTTCACACTTACAGGAGTTTCGTCTGCCCTCATGGTGCGGCCGATGGCAATTTTCCTCATATTATTCTTTGAAGAGGTGGTAACTGTGACCGTTTTCTTGGATACTGGCGGGGCAGGGCTCTTGAGAATACCTTCATATTTAAGGGCATCTTTCGATATCGGTATCACTTGTTCCTCTGCTGCCATTTCTGGTTTAGATCCCAACCGTGAGTAAATAGGCTTCACAGGCACATTTGTTGTGGCTGTTTTAACAGTGTCAGAATTCCCAAGTCTTGAAAAGACAGTGTTTTTGATGGCAGGACCTGAATCAAAGCAATCATTTTGTGAATATTATGACTAGGTAACTATAAATGCAAAACAATCATTGATTTTATTACAATTTTGGCTAAAATAATTACCTTCTTTAATCTGTGGACTTTTGACAGTTGCATTAAAACGTATCATTCGCGCCTTTTTTGTACTGGAATCAGCCATCTCAGCAACTCTAATAAGATAAAAAAAATTATTTTGAATCAAGTTTCTATACATGGGTCATTCTAAGTTAAGAGGTACTTTCGATGGCAAGGGCAAAAAAGTTCCTTTTTTTTATTCTAATTTCCTAATTAACCTATTTATTACTTAAAACTAAATGTCTTCTACATGCTCACTTAATTTATTACAGAAATGTACACAGTTTAGTCACAATAAGTTCTAATACAAGAAAAACTTCTCTACCCTGGGCTGTCCCAAACCCGACTTTATTTGTAAACCAATTATTATGAACGTATTAAAATTAAATAATTACTTCATCATCGTTAATCTTATACAAAACAATAACTTAGGAACACTGTCTTATAAGTCAAATTACATAAATTCCAATTTTTCATAAATAATATCAACGCCGAAATTTGTCCTCCGTATTTCGTGTCTCGTCCCCTGGCTTTTTGTTTTCGTTTAAAAGTTAGTTTTGTTTTACTATTTTGTGGAAGTTATGTCCTTTAGTGCATAGGATGTAACGTGAAGCTATCAGCAAGCGGCGCATAAGCCGACTGCGAAGTCATTTTAACCGCCATTTCAGTCACGCCGCTCGCTGGGTGTAGAAGTGTTGTTGAGTGAATGCAGTCTTTTCTCTGGTAAGTTTTATTCAGCAATTATTTGTTAAAATACTAATGTAAACTTCAATATTTACTATGAATAGTGCATACATTGTTACGTTTGGATGTGAATTGCGTACGAGAAACACTTTTACGGCTATTTTAGATATTGATCGAAAATGTATTTCCCCTGGCTTTTTTGATGGCAGGGGAGATTCGTTATGACCAGGGGAGATACATTTGTATGCTTTTTCATGAATACTTCTATATTTTTCTCTGAACCTTTACTTGGTATTATCAGGCCTCCGTCACTCACCTATGCCGGCCGAGATAATTACCTACAGCGCGCGACAACTTCAAGTTGCAAATCAGTTAGGGCCGCCACGCGCCTGTGAGCACACGCGTATTTCTATACACGCTCGGTCGATCATCGTCGCAATCAAGGTTTATTGTTCCAACAGCACTGTTATTCGTCTTTAATGGAAAATCGTAATATTTAGGAATAATAATTAACTGTAGCAATTTAAATAATAAAAAAAATTACAATTTTTAAATAATTTTGAAATACTTAAATGACAAAAAACTGTAGCAAATAAAATATTTTAGCTAATAAAACATTAACTTTACTTCACCATGTCCATTTTCCGACACTGCACCTTTTAAAACTATTTGTCCAATTTCGAATTATCGCAACACTGAAGTTTATTAATAGGTACTTTAGAGATGGTACGATTATACAAACACCACTAGATTAAAGTTTACCAATCCTAAATACAATAAATGCTTCTTAAAATTAAGTTTTTATTTATTTTACTTTGCTTATACAACCCTGACGCTTGAGCTGTGAGGTAGATCAATTCTGAACACAAAAAAATTGCGCTTTTGTGAGCGTAGTAGTAAGGTGCGATTTCGAATGCACCATGTGCGTTGGATATTTTGCATTATTATTATTACCGTTAAAATGCCGGCATCTGATCCTACACAAAGGAGTGCAATTTCTGTTGCTACTATTATGTATTCTGTGGTATAATATGTTTCTTCGCGAAAATACCACAATTAAAAATAACACCTGTAACGCCCCTGGGTCTGCGGGTGTCTATGGGCGACGGTAATCATTTACCAACAGGTGATCCGTTTGCTCGTTTGCCTCCTGTCACATTAAAAAAAATTAAGATAAGGTGGTATTGAATTTTTATATAGAGTTTATTAAAAAATTTGGATACTGATTACAAAATTAGCCATTTTCGGAGTCGGTGGCAGCCTACCCTTTGGTGAGTCGTTTTGGAGTTGGTTTTAATTTTAAGTGAAATTAATCTATTTCATGCCTTTAGTAGACTATAGGTACTCAGTAGACCTTGTTGTTGCCACTGAAGGTGCATAGGTACACAGTACATTGATACCATATTTTTCATGTTAAGTGCAAACAAACTTCCCTAAATTACCAAACCATGAAACGTACCTACCTATATTATTGAAAAGTTTCGCAGATAAAAACTGAAATCCTCTTATAAGGTGATGAATTTTAGGAGCATGTCATTAAACCAAAATTATTAGCATACAAGAGCTTATTTAAAAAAAAAATCTTTTTATTTATGATGGGGAATTTACTGCGGCGTAGTAGCAGAGATTTTCCGTTTGTAGATCGTAATAATTTCGAAGAATAGGGATGTTTTGTGGATAAAGCAAGAAAGTAGCAAGAGTTTGAATTAGTCCGTCGGTGAACTTACCAAAAAAAAAACTCTAAATGTATTTTTCACTTTTTTAAACTTATGAAAATTTAAAGAGATGAAGCGCACCAAAGTTCAGAAGATGAGGCACATGACGTCAAGGCATGCTTAAAAATGTGGCGATTTGTGTCGTCACGCGGAATTTCATCGCAACATATCTTCGTAATTACTTGTTTAATTGACAAATAAAAATATCCTGTGTCCAATATTTTTTGATAATGTAAAATTGACGAACCAAAAGTTTTTTTTAAGAAACTAGCCTATTCTTATGGCCACATTCCAGCTCCATCATCAGACCCTGCAGTTTACCTTAGAGAATTGAAGACTCATGATTTTCAAAGTAGCGTACATACATAACATTAGGTACTTGCTTATACAGGGTATCCCAAAAACAATGGATAACCCTTCAACCNTGAAGGAAACTACGCAACATCTTTTCGTCCAAAATACCTCAGTACCTATAGACGAAAGTCTTCAATCAAGCAACCTCAAGTGACAAAGGGCAGGGCACATAGTACGCGGAACTAACGGCCGATGGGGCAGCAAGGTTCTGGAGTGGAGACCTCGTACCGGAAAGCGCAGTGTAGGACGTCCACCCACAAGGTGGACCGACGATCTCATAAAGGAAGCAGGAAAGGGCTGGATGCAGGCCACCACCAACCGTTCATTGTGGAAATCATTGGGAGAAGCCTATTTTCAGCAGCGGACGTCTTATGGCTGAAATGACGATTATGAATTGATGATGATGTTTCTTTAATCTCCTGGGATCAGGTTTTAAAAAAACTACCCTAACCTAACTTAAAAATGAGAGGGCAGTGTATTTTTTATGCTTTAATGAATCTATTGATGTCTTTGAACGCAGGTTTTACATAAAGATTTTTTTAGTTACCTCTCAATTCAAATGGTTGTTTAAGTACAAGAAAAGTTTAATAATATTTCAGAGAAGTTTTTGTTTCTTTTTATTTCGTTATTGACTATTGATAGTTGTTTTGATGGAAAGTAAAAGTAAGAACCTTTTTATGTTTTGTACCTAAGCTTAAAATACATTTTTGTTAACAAAGTTTGCTAAAAAATGAAAAGTCTGATTATAAATAATTCATAATTAAAATTAAAATAAATAAATAAAGTTAATTCCTAAAAATACACTGTTTTTAGTATGTCTATGTCTCTTCCCTGTCCATAAAGTATCCTCCCGTGTGCACCTTGTCTCTACCCTGGACTGAGTATTTACCCTGGTCGCTTATAAAACGAGAAAAAAGCAACAAATTGACTGGCCACTTTGTAAACATTTTCAACTTAAAGGTTTCCATAAAACAGATGTATACTTAAGTAAAAATATTTAAAAAAATGCCGTGCCGTCGCTCCATACAACACATTACCTCTTAACTTAGAATGACCTACATATACCTAAATTAATTTTAAGCTTTTTGTTTATTACAATCACTTACTTGGTTTCAACTAGCTTTCTTTTCTGTGCAGTAGCAGTAGGTGACGTCTCCGAAATTTGTGGGTTTCGAGTGTAATGTTCCAGCATGCGACTTGCAGCTGAAATAATATTTAACATCTTTTCAAAATCTATATAAAGCGAAAAGTCACTGATTGACTGACTCATCACGAAATCTCAGAAACTACAAGTGCTAGGAATCTCAAATTTTGCATGGGGTTCATAGGTGCTCACTAAGACAGGATTATGAAAAATTCAACTCCTAAGGGGGTAAAACGGGAACCACGCGTACGAAGTCGCGGGCAGCCGCTAGTAGTTTATAACTATCGTAATAAGTTAAAGCACTTGCTATTGAATGTAAAATAAAAAAATAACTAACAAAATGTTACATTTTCTCTCTCATACTTACGTGAAGATGGCTGCTGTGTGACCGTTGATCGTCCAGTTACGGCTGCTACAGGCACTTTGGGAGGGGCAGTTGTGCTGAGAACCCGGTCTCGTGCTGTATTTTCATGTACTTGCTTGGCATGTCTACAAAAAAATGTTATTTATGTTAATCTTCAAACATGGAGATAACGGACAAGTGTACAATATTATTTATTTAATAATATTGCAATAAACTAATTTGATTTGATTAATAATTCATAAACCTCAAAGTATTTTTTGTACAAAGTGCTTACCTCAAAATAGCAATTACATCTCCCATCCTTGATATGCCCATGTCCCTTAGATACTCCTTGTTGAGGTCCAGCAGCATGTCACTCTGTATCCTGTTCTCTGTGAAGGTCAGCGCGTATGTCGCTGCGACGTCCGACGGAATGCCAGCCGTCGTGAAGAAGCTCACCCACATGCCTGCAAATAGAAACAATAAATACCACACAATTCACAATAATAATATTAAATGCCACATAATAATTCACAAGTACGCACTTAAAACGCGAAATATTTATTATATTGGAGTTAGACAACTAGCTGTTTTAATTTACAAATAGTTTTGTCACAGCTTTATTATTTGCCAATGCAAACCACCATTAAAAGAATTAACACATTAAACAAATGCACTATTATGATACTATTTTTGGGATACTGGAGCGCTAAAACAGCTGTCCTAACATGTTAAGCTTAAAAAAACAATTCAATAGCTTGCAAACACACTCATCTTCGCAAGAAATTGAGTAACCTTGATAAAGTTGTGGGCGATGAATTATTCTTAAAATAAACTTAACTTATGACTTACCAGTTAAATTAGAATCCATGGTGATTTATAAAAATAAAGATTATGATAAATTTACAACAAAAAACACAGAAATATCAAATTTCAGAATTCATTGATTGGAAAATACGTTTTTCCATCGACGACCATTGACAACAATGACATTAAAGACAATTCACATACGCTGTATAGTCTGTGGTTTTTTGACAGCCAATAATATGATTTTTTAATTAAAAGCAAGCATTGGTTTCGGGCTAGAAAGCAGTACATGTACAATACCTGTGAATACCTACAATGTCTATGTTATTATGTATAGGAACAGCAAAGATCCTTAATTTACTCATAATTAAGAAATCAAAAAGTTCTATAATTAATTTTTCGCGAAGCAAATTATATTTTAAAATAATTTTTATCATCCACGTCGAACTAGAATGTTGTAGAAAGAAACGTTTTTTTATTATTGCCTGCTGAATGACAGTAGTGACAGCAAACAGCTGATGCTGACGTCTTTCTCGGTCTTTTTCTTTTTGTGATTGTTGTAATTTATTTGTTTTAGTCGAATGCGTATTATCAGTTTATTTGCAAGGGCCAACAGTTTCACCTATTTATGTGATCATTTGATTACACCCACAAAAGGTTAGTAAAACATCTAACATTTCTAACCTCAATCACCGGCCGAATTATTAGCAAGCCAGTTTTATTTTGGTCATTTAGCAATACGAGTACTGTTGCAATTTATGACCTTTAACAAAATTGCCTTGTGAGATTCTTTATTCCTCATCTTACGTCATTTATACCACTACTCATGCTAGATTATTGTTTTCAGCATCTTACCAGTTTCGCATAGTTCGCAACATGTGCACCTGCCCACTTGATTCTGTGCCAAAGGTGGACATAGATCCTGAAGGAGTGTTCAAATACATACTGGTCAAGGTTTATGGCAAGGAGAAAAACAATGAGGAGCCATCTGTAACGGTTGTAAGAGGATACAAAAATTGCAACTATCACTCGGATATTTATGATGAGGTCTGTTTCCTTCCTGTCGGTAATAACTAACTTATTAAGCTTTAGTATTAATTAGTCTCATGATGTGTCTTTTTTATACAGGTGCAAGAAAAACTCCAACCTTTGGATTGTGAGCCGCTGGGTGGTGGCAGAATATCTCATGATCCTGGAAATAAGAAAATCCATATTTATGGCTATTCTCAAGGCTACGGCAAAGCAGACCATGAGGTGGCAGCAAAACTAGTGAAGGATGCTTATCCAGAATACACTATCACAATCAGTGATGAAGGATACTGAGCTAACTCCACAAATTATTTATTTATATGAGGAATAAGTGTTGTCAATAGCTGCATTCTCATTGCATAATTGTATTAAAATACTTCTTTTATTAATAGGTACTCTGAAAATGAACTTAGTTTTCTGTATTATTTTTTAAAATAAAAGTAAAACCATAGTTGAATTTTGTATTATTTAATAACTAAACCAGTCTAAAATAAAATTATACAGATTGAAATTAATTGTTTTAAAATTAGACTACCTATCTACATCCCCCAAACATGAAAATCAAATAAAATTGCCTAAAATGTTGCAGAATTGCATGCATTCTCTTTTTCCATTCGGCACTATCGGTTATACTAGTCTTTTGGAAAAGTTTAACAGTTTTAGAGAATTCATTCCTTGTACAGAGTGGGCAGTGGCCCATAGTAGGCTAACATTATTTTTGAAAACGCCCGCGCCTGGACAGGCCTTATATAAAATTGTGTATCTGTGGTATACTAAATAGAATAAACGGTAAAATAAAATAAAAGTAAAACCATAGTTGAATTTTGTATTATTTAATAACTAAACCAGTCTAAAATAAAATTATACAGATTGAAATTAATTGTTTTAAAATTAGACTACCTATCTACATCCCCCAAACATGAAAATCAAATAAAATTGCCTAAAATGTTGCAGAATTGCATGCATTCTCTTTTTCCATTCGGCACTATCGGTTATACTAGTCTTTTGGAAAAGTTTAACAGTTTTAGAGAATTCATTCCTTGTACAGAGTGGGCAGTGGCCCATAGTAGGCTAACATTATTTTTGAAAACGCCCGCGCCTGGCTGGACAGGCCTTATATAAAATTGTGTATCTGTGGTATACTAAATAGAATAAACGGTAAAATAAAAAATGCCTTCTACTCAGTGACAGACGGCTAAATAATATTTTTGACAACTTTGTAAACACGGAAGACGAGAAGACGTGCTTTCTGAAACTCTACTCTGTTTGTAATTATTTTTATGTGAATTTACTATAGATTTTCCCGCAACTAAAACATGGCAAATTTTGCAACAGATGGAAAAGTTTGCATTGAACGTGAAATTGAAGTTTTACCTTTAGAAGTGGATGATTTACTCACTCGTTTCGATGTTGAACAAACAAGCAAATGGATATCTGAAAACAACTTTTTGAAGGTTAATCAAATTTCCAAATCTTCATAATGCTAATATCCTTAATTTGCAAGTCTTAAAATTTCCTTTTTTATCAGGTTTGTCTGCAATTTCCTGATGAACTGCTATCAGTTAGTGCTAGAGTATATGAAGAGATTAAAAAGCGAGTTGATGTTGATCTGTACATCCTTGGAGATACTTCATATGCCAGGTATAATAAATTTATACTGTTCATAAAGTTATTATCACATAAGTATACCCAGATACTTAATTATAAGTGTACAACCCTACTTGTATATTTTTCAGCTGCTGTGTAGACACTGTAGCAGCAATGCACGTGCAGGCAGATGCAGTAGTTCACTACGGCCACACTTGTCTATCCAAATGCAATAAACCTGTATTCTATGTGCTGTCTCAGAAAGATATTGAGGTTACCTCAACCATGAACATTCTGAGAGACAGTTTTCAGTCAGGAGTTCAACTGTGCTTATTTTATGGTGAAGAATATGAACATTGCAGAGGTAAATCCATTTAAATTACAAATATGACTTGTTTTATATGTGTAACATAAATTAAGACTACAGTGTCCAACATTACTGTTTCAGATGAAATAAAAAATCACTGGTTTAAATACTACCCAAATAGCTACATAGCTTGTGTTGAAAAAGAAGAAAATGAAATCAGATTCCTTGGAAGAGTTATTCAAGATTCAAATGGCAAATGCCATCCTGTACAAGAATTGGAACATTGTATTTGTCTGTACTTGGGATCCAGGGGACAAACATTGTTCAATTNCATCCCCCAAACATGAAAAGCAAATAAAATTGCCTAAAATGTTGCAGAAATGCATGCATTCTCTTTTTCCATACGGCACTATCGGTTAAACTATAGTCTTTTGGAAAAGTTACGTCTTAGAGAATTCATTCCTTGTACAGAGTGGCATTTTTGAAAATGCCCGCGCCTGATGAGGCCTTATTTAAACTTGTGTATCTGTGGTATACTAAATAAAATAAACGGTAAAATAAAAAATGCCTTGTACTCAGTGACAGACGGCTAAATAATATTTTTGACAACTTTGTAAACACAGACGGAAGACGAGAAGACGTGCTTTCTGAAACTCTACTGTTTGTAATTATTTTTATGTGAATTTACTATAGATTAACCGCAACTAAAACATGGCAAATTTTGCGACAGATGGAAAAGTTTGCATTGAACGTGAAATTGAAGTTTCACCTTTAGAAGTGGATGATTTACTCACTCGTTTCGATGTTGAACAAACAAGCAAATGGATATCTGAAAACAACTTTTTGAAGGTTAATCAAAGTTCCAAATCTTCATAATGCTAATATCCTTAATTTGCAAGTCTTAAAATTTCCTTTTTTATCAGGTTTGTCTGCAATTTCCTGATGAACTGCTATCAGTTAGTGCTAGAGTATATGAAGAGATTAAAAAGCGAGTTGATGTTGACCTGTACATCCTTGGAGATACTTCATATGCCAGGTATGTTCAGTTTTTTTCACATAATATAACTATATACTTAAGATTAGGGTAATATCTTCTAATAATAGATTCTTTGTTGTCTCTCTTGATAATAGATTAGGGTTACACTAATACTTGAATATGTTTTCAGCTGCTGTGTAGACACTGTAGCAGCAATGCACGTGCAGGCAGATGCAGTGGTTCACTACGGCCACACCTGTCTATCCAAATGCAATAAACCTGTATTCTATGTGCTGCCTCAGAAAGAAATTGAGGTTCCTTCAACCATGAACATTCTGAGAGATAACTTTCAATCAGCAGTTCAATTGTGCTTATTTTATGGTGAAGAATATGAACATTGTAAAGGTAAGTCCATTGGAATTACAAATATGACTTGTTTTATATGTGTAACATAAATTAAGACTACAGTGTCCAACATTATTGTTTCAGATGAAATAAAAAATCACTGGTTTAAATACTACCCAAATAGCTACATAGCTTGTGTTGAAAAAGAAGAAAAAGAAATCAGATTCCTCGGAAGAGTTATTCAAGATTCAAATGGCAAATGCCATCCTGTACAAGAATTGGAACATTGTATTTGTCTGTTCTTGGGATCCAGGGGACAAACTTTGTTCAATTACACTATTTCTGTTGCAGGTAATATTTACATAAAAAAAAACAGTTTATTGTTCTTCAATAATTAAAAATTACTATATCGATAATTGATTTATTTATAGCTAAGGAGTGGTATGTCCTGGACCCTGACACAAAGAACATTGAACACTTGGAAGAAACAACCTGGTTTAAACGCAGACGATTCCTGGTGGAGAAGTGCAAGGACGCCAACACAGTGGGCATCCTGGTGTGCAAGCTGGCTGGAGAACAAACCAAGGACATCATCAGCAGAATGAAAGACTTGTGTCGTATCAATGGCAAGAAAAGCTATATTGTGTCTGTTGGGAAGCCAAATGTAGCTAAATTAGCCAATTTTCCTGAGGTCAGTTACTTAGACATAGTAACAGTATTTATGAATTATTCTTATCAGTTTTATCAAGAAATTAATTATATTTTCTCATTTTAGATTGACATCTATGTAATGATTGCATGCCCAGAGAATGACTTGTACAGCAACAGAGATTTCTACAAGCCAATAGTGTACCCATATGAACTAGAAGTTGCCCTGAACTCAAAAAGAGACCCATACTTCACAACACATGTGACCGACTATGATGACTTGCTGCCTGGTAAAAGACATTTTAGTGAAATAGATCATGTGAAGGAAACCACAGATGTGAGTCTCATCACAGGCAAGATAAGAGAAACTAAAGTTGGGTCCACCATAGGCAGCAGTATGGCTCTAGAAGAAAAACAGAATTGGGCTTTGGAAAATATTGGACAGAACCTCCAGGATAGATCATGGAAGGGTTTAGAGCAGAAACTTGGCGAAACTGAAGTGAAAGAAGTAGAGAAGGGTCGAAGTGGGATTCCATTACAGTATGAAAATGAACCAGAGAAATAAAAAACGATTTAAAACCAACATTAATTTTATTTGACTTTTTTTTGTTGATAACATTTATGTCCTACTGGGTAAGACTGCATATACAAGTGAAATAAAAATTTAATACCAAGAGCTATTTTATTATAATTTAAAAAAAACATCATAAATAATAAGAAGTGACCAATATAGTAACTGCTAAAATCTTCAATCTAATAAGAGTGAATTGATTCTTTAACATCACTACTTGAAATAATTTTATTGCATTACATATTTTTAATTCTGACTGTGATTATTTACATACCTACTACATAATGTGTTAAACCATAAATTTTCTGTAGGTAGTACCTACTAGAAAAATTGTGTATAAAAACCAGAAATTAAACCTTCTGATTGAGTGGATTCTGTGGTGACTTCAACCATTCTTTCCTGAGCATCTGCTTCAGCTGGGACAGACGAAGAGTAGGGTTCTCTTGCTTTAGTCTAGGTAAGTTGGAAGTTTCAAATGCTGTGTATGCTGCCTTCAATCGTTTTTCAGGATGCTTGTCAATGTCAGCTTGATCACTGTAAAAAAAATAAGATGTAGGTATGGCAAGTTTTAAGACACTAAATTATAAAATAATCATGACTACAATAATTCTTCTATTATTTACCCGAGTATTGATATAGCTTCCTCAACCGATTGAGCAACTTCTCCCTCAATCTGCAGCCTATTGAGATTCTCTTCCAGCGGTGGCTCCTCGACCACTACCCTTGATGGCTGTAAAACAATAGTTTATTGCATCATGAACATTCAACACCACTACAGGTCCTGTACATCATACATTCAATTAATGCATTATATTTTGACCTTAGTAACATATGATTTCTTGTAAAATAGGTCTTTATGTTGAGAAGACTGCAAACTAAATCAATCTTACATTGAATATCTAGATTGAGAATGGAAAGAAAACTCCTTACCACAGGTTTTACAGGCTCTGGCCTCACAACCTTCTCTTTGGCGAAAGATATCTGTGCTCGTGTGATCTTCGGCGGTGGTGGCGCGGCTTTCACACTTTTGATTGATTCCATCTCCTTTTCCAGCAAAGCTTTTGCCTCTGCCTTTTTCTGTAGTTGTTCAAGGCGTTTCTTTTCCTGATCTTCCTGATAATTAAAATTACACCATAAAGTAAAAGTACCCACATCAAAATAAACTGGTGGAAAACCAAATATTACAAACCTTTTTTTGTTGCTTTTTCTTGAGTTTATCATCATTATCTTCCCACTGAGCGTCCTCTATAACCTTTTTCATTTTTTGTTCTTTCTCCTGCTTAGCATCTTCTTTACGTTGCCGGGCAGCAACAGCTTTACTATTCTCGCCAGTAAATTTCTTCGGCATTTTGATGACTGCACTGCCTACAAACAAAAAACGCTATAAATTTCATTTTCGTGGCTAAATAAGTCAGGCGTTTAATGAATATCTTACCTCAAATTAACAGTTATAATCAAATATAAATTTAGTTAGATATAGTGTAACCAATAAACCCAAATATTAATTAATATTTCCAGAAGAATTTTCGAGGTGCTTTTCTTCTTCTTTTTGCTACTTTTCAGTGACACTGACACTACTGACAGGTAGATGACAGGACAGCTGGGCTTCGTTCAGAAATTTACCGATAGCTCTCCATACAATCTTGTACAGTCATACAGCACCACAGAATAAGTAATAGTACCAAGACAGCACATGAGCACAGTGTGCCCAACACTATTGTCAAAACTATCAACTTTCACTCACTCACTCATTCATATTTCATTCAAAAATGTCAGATTGCCTGGCAAGTGGATAAAACACAACAAATTTTTCTAAAAATCTATAAACTACAATTTAACAATGGCTTTGGTTGCGTACGATTACAGTGACTCTAGTGATGCTGAAAATGAAGATGAGAATCCAACAATTGCCACTGTATTGCCTACCAAGACAGAAGAAGGTATAAGCACCTGCACACATTTAATTTTAACATTATATTTTGTTTTCTTTCCTTAAATGTATTTGAATTTACATTCCAGCACAAACAATACACAAACCAGATTTACAAAGTACAAAACCTGAAGCAGAGAACGTCAAATCAGAAACACCAAGTAATTTAGCAAGTGCAGAATCCAACAACAGTTACAGTCAAAGTCTGTTCAATCTTCTGCCACAACCATCAACGAAGAAACCATCAGTTGAAGAGGATGACGATGAGTTTCTGCACAAGAAAGAAAGTTTCAGCAGTATGGTTAAACCCAAGGCCAAGATTACAGTCCCTTCTCTAAGTGATGTAAGTAAAAAATAATTTAATTACTAAATGATTTAATGAAAGTAAAGTTTAAATACTTATTGACAACTTTCTAATTTCAGTTCAAAGATGTGGAACCTAGTATACCAAGTACCAAACCGAAAATCTCAAATGGGGTAAGTCATCAGTGTTTGTAAGAAAAATATTGAATACAAAATTCTTGACGGTCACTTAGATTTAAATTTTTCATTGTGTTTACAGAAAAAATCAGGATTGTTAAGTATATTGCCTCAACCCAGAAATGCTGTTTCAAGTTCAACTACAAAATCTTTTGTACCTCATGTACTCACTCAGAAGCCAACGGCCACAGCTAAGAAAAAGCCATTACCATCGCCCATGAAAAAGGCAAAAAGTCAAGTTAATACTTTGGCTCAAGACTATTCTGATGATAGTGATGATGAAGAGATGCAGAATGACTTCTTTTCTATCAACAGAGTTGATGATACACCCATTGAGGACATACCACTGGACATAGATGCTAAAGCAACAGAAGTTATTGTGAAAAGTACAAAAACTGAAAAAGAACCTCGAGGTTTACAATCATATTTCAAACAGGATATTCCTGAAAATCCTGCTGAATCATTGCATGAGCAAGAAGGTAGTGATGCTCAGTATGACTACCCTAACAGTTCTACATCAGGGTATGAAAATGAGTATGTAAATGGAGCTAGTAGCAGTAATGAAGCAGTACTTGATGATGAAGCTGTAAGTATAGTAATTTATTGAAAAAATAAAATAAAACAATTGTAACAAAACTTTATAATAAAGAAACCTTTTCTATTTACAGATACTGAAACTATGTGGAACTCGGGGTAAGAGAAAGAGAGAAGAAATCCAAATTGTGGATGTGAATCAGAAAGAGGTGCTGGCAGATGCCCGGGAGTGGCTCCTCAAGGGGCTCATGGATGACACCACCAAGAGAGTCTCGGCCAGCAAGAGGAGAGGTGATGAACCCACAAGTCAGCAGAGGAGGAAGCATCAAATCACATACTTAGCCCACCAGGTAATTAAAGAGTTTTTCACACTGAAAATTAAAAAGACTGCATTGCACCATCATACTTTGACTTTAACAAATTATGTCAAAAATCTGTCCAACTTTATACAAAATACACCAGTTATCATTAAAGTTACTGTTAAATTTAGATGGTGCAACTCAGCTTTAGTATTTTTACCTACCTAAAGAGGATTCTAACGGGGAATGCAAGGTTCTAATCAAATCAATTATTTTCAGGCAAAAGCTAATGAAGCTGAACTACAGAATCAATGGGCTAATAACAGAATGACCAAGAGACAAACTCAGTCAAAGTATGGTTTCTAGTTGTTAAGATTAATTACTTGTAAATAGTCTAACAATAAAACAAAATTGTTATTTAAAAGTTATTTTATTTTTAATTTAACTGAACTAAAATGTACATGGTGTAAATGAATTAAAGATAAATGATTAAAGTCTCCTGGCCTTCCTAGGTCTTGGGGGGTTCCATGAGACTGGAGTACTATCTGTCACAGACACTATGTCTAAACCACCCATTTGCAATCCTTTTACAGCAGCCTGAAATGAACAAACAGTTTAAAAACTAAAATAGGCACAATAATTAGCTTTACTTAGCACAAAGTTCTTGAATTATGTTGATAGCTAAATTGTATCTGTTTATCTGAATCTAAATTGATATTTATTTAACTCTGGACAAATTGGACAATACAAGATTAGTACATTATAATTATGGAATTATAAAGCTTACCAATCTCCCAGGTCCCAATCCTCTCACTTTGACCCTTACTGTTTTGATTCCTCTACTTATAGCTTTCTGAAAACATTGAAAAAAGGGTGATTATCTAACATTTTGAGTCATAAAGGAAACTAATCCACCATAAAACATGTCTGAAATATTGTAGGAACAATAGGCACTAGTAAAACATAAGAATAACTCACCGTAGCTATACTGATAGCAGTGGTCTGTGCTGCAATATTGGTACCCTTTTTGGTGTTCTTAAACCCTTCCATACCGCAAGATTTGAGGACCTTTACAGCTCCATTTGAGTCAGTCAGAGTGAATATTGTGTTGTTGTGGCTCACTCGAATGTTGCAGATCGGGAGCTGCTTGTACGGTGTACCGTCAAATAACAAATCGTCGGACTCTGCTGTTGGGAATAAGCTTTGTTTCCTGAAAGAAGTCGATTGATAAGCTTCGTAAAGTGTTAGCAAAATAGACTTAAAGATTATTGCAAACATACGCTTTGAGCACAGAATCGAGGTCAATGAGTTTCTCCCCCTGAACTCCTTCATCGTCCTGAGGAATTCGCTTGTGATCAAACTTCTCCTTCGACTGTGCTGGTGTTGTGTGAAACAGCCGTCCCACACTTACGAATGGAGCTCGTATGCTACTTCTGATAGCGCTGAGCATTTTAAATGCTTTATGTATTGAAAATAACTTTTTATTTCGTTTTATTCAGACGATTACTCAAGTTCCTGTAAATATAACCTAAAAATGTCACTGACAGCCAGACTGTCAGTTTGACGTTGACGTTTTATTAAAGCGCGTTTTGTTCAATGTTGGTAATCAGAAATAAAATTTTGTGCTATGCGTTTGGTTGCTTTCAGTTGTTCCTTTCTACACTTGAGAAGTACCGTGGAAGTACTGAGAACCTGAGAACCTTCTAGTGCTCATAGCATAGCTAAGCTACACCAATCTAAGGTATCTTCCCTGGTAGTAAGTTAATTTATAGCGAGGAGGAGGAATGAATGGCAGCGATTGATTTGTTTGAGTTAGGGATTCATTGAAGTTAGATGGCGTTTTGGCCTAATTTAACATGGTATAAACTAAGGGTATAAATAAGTATGGGTAGTGGTGCTGCTAACTTTATCTACCAGATAACATTGCACAATATTGTCTTTTACCTAATGCTCTTTAAAGCATCTTTTTTTATAGGTCCATGCTATAAAGCATTTTATTCGACTAAACTGTACTGTTTGTTGTTGAATTATGCAATGTGCACCTATGCTATTCAGTTTAATTAGGCCCACAACCCATTGAATAAAAAGAAACAACCAAACCCAGTGAATCTCCATTTATTTAATAATTCAATAACTTATAGACATCGATTTATATTGTTTCAATATATTTCATTATAATTTGAATCTTAGAACTATAGAATAGAATGATTATATTTTTTTGCTAAACATTTTTTTGCAATATTGTATAGATTGTGAGAATCCCCTGAGTGGCGACGGAACCCCGATGGCCAGGAATTGCAGGTGCCCAGCTTCTGCTAAGTAGTTGGCTTTGCGAAGCTCCTCCACCGCCCACGACACAGTGTAGGCGTTAGAGGCCTCGTCGCTAGAAGATTCTCTGCTAATAATGTAGTTTATAACTGATGAGTATATGGGGGTAGAAACTAATTTTATAAATATTCCACTGTCCAGTAACTCCTTGATGAGTTCGTCGTCGATTTCTTGCTTGCGGAATGATTCCTGTAAAAAAGAAGATTGTTTTAGTCATTTGGTACACCCTAAATCACTGGTTCCCAAAGTGGGGGGCGCGCCCCACATGGAAGGCGCAGACCTTTATGGGGGGCGCGGGCCATCTGTGTACTTAAGTATAAAAAACCTGCGACCGTTGAGAGAATGCATTCCAGACTGCTCGATACGATCAATAAATAATCAGATTTTTTTGTATGGTCCATAGGGGGCGCGTTTCAAATAAGTTTGGGAACCAATGCCCTAAAGGCTAGTTGTTTGAAAAATAAAAGCTGCTGATACTACTGTCAAAAATTGTTTGCCTGACAATAAATAGTTGCCTAATATTCAAAAACTTATGAAATCGAAAGAACATGAAGGCCGGTATAGAGGTCTAGTTTTAACGACTATTTTACTCTCACACTCAATAAGGGCTCATCAGACCATACGTGTTTATTGTAAAGTCACCCTTATTGCAACTACATAAGCACCAATTTACCTTGTGCGCGCGCAGTAACGCCAGCACGGCGGCGGGCGGCGCGCGCGCGAGTGCGGCGGTCCAGAGAGCGTTGACGCAGGCCGCCGGGTGCACGGACTCCAACACCCATTTTATTTCCTGCAAATGTAATAATGGTTACACGAACTCTAGTCTCAGGATTTCTGTTACTCTAATGTCCCGATAGATACAACCAGAGTAAATACAAATAAGTAGGTCATCTTCATAGAAACGCACCGAGCGCGGTTTGTATGTGAGCGCGCCAATACGTGGATTAGCGGGGTGGTGTTGCGCCGAATTTTGTCAGTGTGTGCGTGTGCGCCGCATACGTATTGGCGCGCGCACATACAAACCGCGCTCGGTGCGTTTCTATGAAGATGACTTACTCATTTGTATTTACTCTGATACAACTGTCTATTTACTGTAACTATTGACATAAATATGGTTCACAGTTGATTGACCAGCCCCCCTAGAAAGTGGCATAACATGACAGTTTTACCTAATGCCGAAAGATGATCGAAAGGCCTTTTTTTGTATGGAGCTACAACGGATTCGATTTTCGATTCGATCAAAAGTGCCACTTGTCTAGACCTACAGCTCTTTAACTCTTTGCAAATAGCAAACCTCCAGTAATAACGGGAAATATTAACGTTTAGTCTCACCTCTTCATTTAACACTGGTCTCCTAAGCAGCAGCTTAATCAGCACTAAACTTTCCTTCAGCTCACTGGTGTAAGACAGCAACGATTCTAAGTACACGCAGTGGAGGCTTCGCGAGTCGCTGCAACATGAAGTTTTGAAATAGATCATTTTAAAGAGCTAGTAAAGTCCGGTCGCCGAGCTCACAGATTTTCGTTCAATGACCCGAAGCTACACATCCTTATCGCTCGCGCGTAATTATATTGCTGTTGCGACTGTGCGACTGGCCGCAGTGAGTGTGCGAGCGCGCACTTTGGACTTTAGAAATTACCAAGACAAAAATTTCGTTCCGCCTTGATAAGTGAAGCTACGTGAACATTGTTGAACTTTCATAGGTAACTGAATGAGTGAATATTAACCTGTTAAGCGTATGCGGCCAGCAGTTAAGCGCGTCGACAAGCGCTTTGCGTCGCTGCCACGTGTCGGCCGCGCATATTAGCGTCGAGAACGCCTCGCACCGGCCTTCAGGGGTTAACAGCTTCTCTTCTGTAAAAAAAAGCCACAACACTAAAGTCATCTTCAAGTATTCATTTGGCTACTGGGTGTAGATACAATGGATTTTATTTCAGATTTCGTGATACGTGATAAAGGTAGCTGGAAGACGCTGGATGCAGGCTGCTACCAACCATTCGATGTGGAAATCATTGGGGGAGGCCTATGTTCAGCAGTGGACGTCCTGTGGTTGAAATGATGATGGCGATGATGATCAATAGCAGAGTAAATACAAATGAGTAGGTCATCTTCATAGAAACGCACCGAGCGCGGTTTGTATGTGAGCGCGCCAATACGTATGCGGCACGCACACACTGACAAAATTCAGCGCAACACCCGCTAATCCACGCTAAATTTTGTCAGTGTATCGCGCTCACATACAAACCGCGCTCGGTGCGTTTCTAAGAAGATGACCTACTCATTTGTATTTACTCTGTCAATGGCCCGTACCTGTAAGTTCCCGCACGTAATCCAGGTTAGGCCACTACCCGCGCAGCAAGTCCCACCGACTTGTAGCGCGTCACTCGCGGCAGGTCGTCACCAGACAGAACTCACGTTCGCCCCAGCGACAGTAACACGATCTGCTTGTGCTAATGACGAAGCAGGTCCTATGCTTACCCGTCAGCTCCCGTACATAATCCAGGTCAGGCCACTCTCTACGCAGCAGGTCGGCGGTATAACGCGCCACCCGCGGCAGGTCGTCACCAGACAGCACGCGCGCTCGCCCTAGCGACAACAGCGCGATCTGATTGTGCTAATGACGAAGCAGGTCCTTTGCTTACCCGTCAGCTCCCGTACATAATCCAGGTCAGGCCACTCTCCGCGCAGCAGGTCGGCGGTATAACGCGCCACCCGCGGCAGGTCGTCGCCAGACAGCACGCGCGCTCGCCCTAGCGACAACAGCGCGATTTGCTTGTGTGGTGGCAGCCCTAGGGAAGAGCCCGCGTGCATCACGCTCTCGAGGAGTTCTTCGGGAAACTTCACGCCTTCCTTGTGGTACTGCATTATCCTGTCCACTAGGGTTTCCACGTCTCTGTGAAGGAGATGTTTTTGATTTTTAAGAAAATTCGAAATTTAAAACAAAAGTTTCGATTTAAAACAGCGCCCGCGCAGTGTCGAAAAAACTGGCTCAGCGTAATTAAGACGCCATTGCTAAACGCCGGACCTACGTAGCGCTAGCGTCGCGTTGTTTAGTGTAAAGAGAGTTGGTGAGCCACGTCGACGCTGCGCAGGCGCTGGCAAGCCAACGTTTGAGGCTCTAATCACTAGGCTGTATGTTCAACGCCTTTGCCACCTCCAGAAAGCTGTTTGCTAAATGCCTTTGCCCCTTACATAAAAAAAACACTAATTTCACTGCAGAGAATACACGCATCGCGCCAGCTGTGGTTGCAGCCCTGGTTACTAGCAGAGTAAATACAAATGAGTAGGTTATCTTCACAGAAACGCACCGGGCGCGGTTTGTATGTGAGCGCGCCAATACGTATCCGGCGCGCACGCACACACTGACAAAATGACCTACTCATTTGTATTTACTCTGTTACTAGGCTGTTTGCTCAACGCCTTTGCTTCCAGAAAAAAAAACCATACTCACTGTAGAGTATTCGCGTGCCGCGCCAGATGTTCAAAGGCGCGGTGGCTGTCTTCGCCCACGAGGCACTGCAGCAGCGAGCTTAGAGGGCCCGCTCGCATTCCGCGGGACACTAGCGCCGCCGCTTGTTCTATCACCTTGTCCGGGTCACCGTGACTCATTTCTATCTCTCTGCACATAATACAATATCATCGTCAGACTCTAGAAGCAGTAGATAGCACTAAACCTTGTTGGTGTTCAAATAAATAAATAAATAAATAAAGCGCGGCAGATTGGAAATGCGTCTCGCCGCGCCTCGCACAACTAGAATCGTCATTTCAAATTCTGACATCTCACATCTCCGCTAAGCACAGCTCACATCTCCTCTCTGCTATGCATCTCGTCATTCATCATCATCATCATTTCAGCCTTAGGACGTCCACTGCTGAAAGGCCTCCCCCAATTATTTCCATAATGACCGGTTGGTTACCTGCATCCAGCGCCTTCCTGGTACCTTTATGAGGTAATCGGTTCACCTTGTGGGTGGATGTCCTACATTGCGCTTTCCGGTACAATATGTGTGGGAGCAGTTAGCTAGAGACCTTTGGCTTAATTTATTTTGTTGTGTTTAATACTGTATCTCATGTTGATAGCCCAATAAAGTAAATAAATAAATAAGACCCAGTATACTCACGGCCATATCTCTGTGCGCGGCACTCCAGATCCGTCAACTAGCGCTTGTATGGTGCTGGAATGGAAGTTGTCGAGGAAGCGCGCCCAGCGGGACAGCTCCTGTCCCACGCCCGCCCACGTTTGCTCGCTACGGGACAATAATGTAGTTTATTAAGCTTGTAGTATCTAATGTCATCTCTCGGGTAGGTCTCTATAAGGACGATTAAGGGAAGATCACAGCTCCCAAACTCGTTGCGCTTGTGTTTAAGAGATACTAAGGGAAAAATGTGCAAACATCAGGGCTCCCCAACCCGTTTATTGAGCTTGTTCGAAATCCATGTTCCAGAAAAGAATAGAACCACTCCCGCTCTTCCCTTGGTTGTTGTAAAAGATAACTAAGGGACAAAATATGCGCACATCACTCACACATCATCACTTCCCCGACTCGTCTGGCCAATGTAGTAGTATATTACAGGCCCAATCTTTCTGGTGAATTAGAGAAGGTCGTGCTTCTGAAATTTAGACTAACTGCACTTATGATGATAATGTATACGTTCAGAAATAATAAATTAATACGTACTTCTTATTGAACTTGAAGTCGTTCTCTTGCTCTTGCTGGCAGTAGTCCACTGCTTGCATTATCATGAGACTGCGAGTGCCGGCCGGTACGCTAAAAAAATTTGCAGTATTATAAATCAACAAAACTGAAAGAAAAAACATGAAATCACTCCTGGCAGGCAACAAAATAACGTGAAGTATTATTTTATGAAGAAAAGAAAAAACAATTAAGAATCTGTTCCTTTTTTGAAATCATTCAAAAACACGTCTTACGGAATCTGATAATACTGGGTGTAGAACAGAAGTTGAAGGTATGTATGTACCGTTCAATAGCTTCTCTTGTGAAGCAGGTGTTGGCCACGAACTCCTGCAGGTCGTCCTTGGCCAGCTTGTTGAAGTAGCTCGCGCACTGCCGGTACTGCTGCATCCATTTCTTATTACTTGCAGCGCTCGGCGGCACCTAAGTATAGAAAAACTTTTATGTTGGATCTATTTAGCCGAAATTGATAGCGTGATTTTTATTTACTATTATAATTTGAAAGTAGAAGTTTAACATACAGTTATTTTTTGTTAGGAAAGCGTATAGTTCCAAACTGTGTATGGCTGCATCACCACACCAATCATCAAGCCACAGAATAATAAAAAGTACTACGCACAGAAGTTTTACTTCGCGAAGGTATTTAAAAAAATGTATGCTCAATGTCATTAACAACATGGTGTAATTTAGCTTGTCTCAAGAGTCAAGCACCATTTTGTTGACAAACGTCAGGTGATCGGCACTGCGCCGAAGCTATAGGGCTGACTTCGGTAAAATGATGTGACGTGAGGTGCCAAACTGCGTAAAATGGCGGAGGAAATACATGATTTAGCATGAATTATCATGAATAATATTAAATACTTATTTACCTCTCAGTGTCTTGAGGCAACTTAAAAAGTTCATTCTGTGTTTTTATTATTATTTAGGCAGTTAAATACTGTACAGTATTTAGTACACCATTTTCTTTATTTTCTTCCATCATACACAAGAATACGCGTGCGTGAGTCAATTTTCGCTCGTATGTGAGGCCTTGTCGAATAGTATCCTGTAGGTGGGCCATCGTGCCTGTTTTGTTTTCGATGTAAACTCGCGGAGATGAACAGGCCTGATCAAGCAATCAATTGCATGTGTTACTCGTCAGTAGTTTGACTATTCCGCTGCAGGTTATTCTAGAAACATCTAATCTAACCAACAGAAAACTCATGCTACGGAGCCCCCATACATTAAACCATAGACTCACGCTAAAGAAGAGCCTGGTGAGCCACATGGTGTACAGGAGGGTGCGGCAGGGTCCTGATGAGATTCCCCACCATGCCCACGTTTTCAGGTTTGAGGACACGCAGCAGGTGCGCCGAGTACTGATCTGCTGTGGGCTGCTCTAGACTTGTAGTCCAGACAACACTAGACTTACACTAAAGAAGAGCCTGGTGAGCCACATGGTGTACAGCGCGTTGACGGACAGCGGCGGCTTGAAGGCAGGCGGCAGGGTCCTGATGAGTTTCACCACCATGCCCACGTTTTCAGGTTTGAGGACACGCAGCAGGTGCGCCGAGTACTGATCTGCTGTGAGCTGCTCAAGCAGCATCTTGTAGTCCAGACAACACTAAACTTACACTAAAGAAGAGCCTGGTGAGCCACATGGTGTACAGCGCGTTGACGGACAACGGCGGCTTGAAGGCAGGCGGCAGGGTCCTGATGAGTTTCACCACCATGCCCACGTTTTCAGGTTTGAGGACACGCAGCAGGTGCGCCGAGTACTGATCTGCTGTGGGCTGCTCTAGCAGCATTTTGTAGTCCAGCTCTAAGAGGAAACAGTTACATAAAATTAACAAAATTTAAAGCATCATGGATAGAGTAATAACCACGGACTAGTGTAGGCAAGCAGGCAGCACAAGACCGGTCGTTGTAGAAATGCTTCGGAAGGGCTTTGTCCAGCAGCGGACGTCATTTGTTTGAAATAGGTAGTGGACATCTTAGTCATTTGACATACTTTTTATGAGCTATCAAAACGCGACTCCCCGGATGATTTTGTATGGCAATATATGACGTCATCACACCGCAAACTTCGATTGACTGACAATTCATTGATTTCATCATAGCTTCTAAATATCGAAGTTTACACTAATAGAAAACTAAATAAGTTTTCCGTGCTAGAATGAAGTGTTTGCATAAGCTTTTTTTAGAAGTTGTGTCTTGAGATTATAGTGTTTTCAACTACCCTGTATTAATGGTATTAACTAGGTATCCTATTGCAAAATATTACCAATGCTTTATTTTTCTGAAATAAGATTATAATGATTTTGTTTACCTGAAGAAGCAGCCTTGACCTTCTTCAACAGCTTGATGTGCTCGGCGGCGGTGAGGCCGAACAGCGGCGGCTTGTCGTCGATGCCCTTGAGGATCGTGAACAGGTTGATGAGCGCGCTGTGGTCGTCGCCACGGATCAGAGGCCACAGGGTCTCTTTGATTCTAGGACGGTAAAATAACTTGTAAATTATGTGCCCTTTAAGCGCATTCTCCGGCGCGTGTTTTGCCCTACACAATCAACAAAAACATGTCAACATTCAACATTTTGCAATGTTGAGAAAATCATATTGATGTGCACTCACATAACGTTGTGTTGTCATGTCATAGACGTCTTAGACTCGTATTAATTTTTTTATTGTCTAAGGTGATCACCAATGATGCCACATTAAGGCAAACACGGTGACATCTTATCATCTTAAGAGTTATTTTGAGCTTAGACTTAATATGGACGAAAAATAAGATGGTATATAGGTGAGTAAAACCAGAAGGGAGCAGCTGCCCTCCCTGCCCCCCAGCCGGGATAGGATGCGCACCATGATACAATGTTATCGCGATTTAGACGACATATGTATGAGCTTATCTTATAGCGGCGGCGTGCTGCAGCCACATATCGAGTGTGTGACGTCACCCACCTGTCGTGCGCGCCGGGCTGCCGCGTGGCGGCGGCGGGCGGCGGCAGCGGCGCGTGCGCGTGCGCGGCGGCGTGCTGTAGCCTCACGTCGACAGTAACAGTTTATAGGCAACATCAACAGCTTCATGGCGCAAGTAATTTGGCCGAGACGTAATTGTGAACACCATTTCAGTTACCCACCCGTGTGTCGCCCGTACTTGAGTGTGCGATCTAGCGCTTCGACTCGGTCAATTTTCAGCATAGTGTACCTACTTATGCCATCACCACACAAACCTCTAGTAGTGTGTTTGAGTTCACGTGTATCATATTCCTATCTACCAGGAGCTAATAAGTGTGTAGTGACGTCACCCACCGATCGTGAGCGCCGGGCTCCTGGGTAGCTGCGGCGGGTGGCAGCAGCGGCGCGTGGACGTATTGCAGCTAAACGTCTACAGTATCAGCAACAGTATAGGCAACATCAACAATTTCACCGCACAAACCTCTACAGTAGGCGCGTGAGTTCATGTCCATCGGGGCCTTACTTACTTACTTATTTACTTATACTGTGACGCGCCCCGCGACGCATCGACAGCCCTAGCACCGAGCGCAGAGATTTTGACAACCCTACGGCTGCGCGGCCGCACGCCGCNCCGGTCGCCTGAGCAGCAGCTTGATCAAGACCAGGCTTTCCTTCAGCTCACTGGTGTAAGACAGTAACGATTCTAAGTACACGCAGTGGAGGCTTCGCGAATCGCTGCAACATGAATTTTTGAAATAGATCATTTTAAACAGCTAGAAATTACCAAGATGAAAATTTTGTTCCGCCTTGATATGTAAATAAAGGTGAACATATTGTTGAACCTTCATATCGTAGGTAACTGAAAGAATATTAACCTGTTGAGCGTATGAGGCCAGCAGTTAAGTGCGTCAACAAGCGCTTTGCGTCGCTGCCACGTGTCGGCCGCGCATATTAGCGTCGAGAACGCCTCGCACCGGCCTTCAGGGGTTAACAGCTTCTCTTCTGCAAAAAAAAAGCGACAATACCAAAGTCATCGTCATTTGGCTACTGGGTGTAGATACAATGGATATTTTTTTCAGATTTCATGCTCGTCTATACCCCTGTAATAAAACCTTGTTTCCCGAGCTCCTTGTACATTAGAATAGCTGCTTCTTCTTCTTGTCGTGTCTAAAACAAACTTACATAGTGTCAGCCCAAAACTGCTACTAGAGTGACACGACACGAAGAGTGAGCTACGATGACAAACCGAAGAATAGCTGCTTGCTGCGTGATATACACCAATGCGCTGGACCGACCAAGCGAAATTGGCAGTGGGAGACGGCGTATGTGACTGCACCAGACAGTCTGCCAATAGAGAGAGATGGCGGGAGATCGTGCGGAGTGTTGTATCCGCCTCTACAACTGATGTGAACAACGAACAACGCCTCCACGTGACCACGACCGCTCTGCCAAGAGCGTAACGAATAAGAAGAAGCGTGCAGTGGCACCCTCAGCCAAGAGGCAGCACACTACGTTCACCCATGGGTTCATACCCATTGACTCGCCCTGACTCTTACCCGTCAACTCCTGTACATAATCCAGATCAGGCCACTCTCCGCGCAGCAAGTCGGCGGTATAACGCGCCACCCGCGGCAGGTCGTCACCAGACAGCACGCGCGCTCGCCCTAGCGACAACAGCGCGATTTGCTTGTGTGGTGGCAGCCCTAGGGAAGAGCCCGCGTGCATTACGCTCTCGAGGAGTTCTTCGGGGAACTTCACGCCTTCCTTGTGGTACTGCATTATCCTGTCCACTAGGGTTTCCACGTCTCTGTGGAGGAGATATGTTTAGGATTTAAAAAAAAGTAATTTGAGTTCAAATTAATTTATTTTCCAAGAAGGCTTATAAATAGCTCTTTTACACGTCCCAGTATTACTTTAACCCTACCACTGCTTCGGGACAACAAATGGGCCAGTGCTGAGAAGAAGCAGCGCAGCGAACTCACTCAACATTCTTACATTCAGATTTAAAACAGCGCCCGCGTAGCGTCAACACTGCGCTGACTCAGCCTCGCCGCGACGTCAACGCCGGATCTATGCAGCGCTGGTGTCACGTTATTTAGTTTAAACTGAGTGGGTGCGCCGCATCATCAAGCGCTGGCAAGCCAACGTTTGAGGCCCTAATCACTAGGCTGTATGCTCAACGCCTTTGCCACCTCCAGAAAGCTGTTTGCTAAATGCCTTTGCCCCTTACAGAAAAAAAAACAATCTCACTGCAGAGAATATGCGCCAGCTGTAGTTGCAGCCCTGGTTACTAGGCTGTATGCTCAACGCCTCTGCCAGCTCCAGAAAGCTGTTTGCTACATGCCTTTGCCCCTTACAGAAAAAAAAAACAATAATCTCACTGCAGAGAATACGCGCATCGCGCTAGCTGTGGTTGCAGCCCTGGTTATTAGGCTGCTTGCTCAACGCCTTTGCTCCTTACAGAAAAAAAGACACTAATGACCGTTTTCACCATCAATCCCTAATTTTTAAGTGACCCCTAAGGTAACTCATAACAGGAATTTTGTTTTCATAGGGGTCTCTTAAAAATTAGGGATTGATGGTGAAAACGGGCATAAGTGCCCCACAGCAACGCTGCGCAAGCGCTGGCAAGCCAACGTTTGAGGCTCTAATCACTAGGCTGTATGCTCAACGCCTTTGTCACCTCCAGAAAGCTGTTTGCTAAATGCCTTTGCCCCTTACAGAAAAAAAACAATCTCACTGCAGAGAATATGCGCCAGCTGTAGTTGCAGCCCTGGTTACTAGGCTGTATGCTCAACGCCTCTGCCAGCTCCAGAAAGCTGTTTGCTACATGCCTTTGCCCCTTACAGAAAAAAAAAACAATAATCTCACTGCAGAGAATACGCGCATCGCGCTAGCTGTGGTTGCAGCCCTGGTTATTAGGCTGCTTGCTCAACGCCTTTGCTCCTTACAGAACAAAAAAAACTAATACTTACTGCAGAGATTACGCGCATCGCGCCAGCTGTGGTTGCAGCCCTGGTTACTAGCAGAGTAAATACAAATAAGTAGGTTATCTTCATAGAAACGCACCGGGCGCGGTTTGTATGTGAGCGCGCCAATACGTATCCGGCGCGCACGCACACACTGACAAAATGACCTACTCATTTGTATTTACTCTGTTACTAGGCTGTTTGCTCAACGCCTTTGCTTCCAGAAAAAAAGACCCATACTCACTGCAGAGTATTCGCGTGCCGCGCCAGATGTTCAAAGGCGCGGTGGCTGTCCTCGCCTACGAGGCACTGCAGTAGCGAGCTTAGCGGTCCCGCTCGCATTCCGCGGGACACTAGTGCCGCCGCTTGTTCTATCACCTTGTCCGGGTCGCCGTGACTCATTTCTATCTCTCTGCACAAAATACAATATCATCGTCAGACTCTAGAAGCAGTAGATAGCACTAAAAAGCGCGGCAGATTGGAAATGCGTCTCGCACAACTAGAATCGTCATTTCAAATTCTGACATCTCACATCTCCGCTAAGCACAGCTCACATCTCCTCTCTGCTATGCATCTCGTCATTCATCATCATCATCATTTCAGCCTTAGGACGTCCACTGCTGAAAGGCTTCCCCCAATTATTTCCATAATGACTGGTTGGTTACCTGCATCCAGCGCCTTCCTGGTACCTTTATGAGGTAATCGGTTCACCTTGTGAGTGGATGTCCTACATTTCGCTTTCCGGTACAATATGTGTGGGAGCAGTTAGCTTTGGCTTTGGCTTAATTTATTTTGTTGTGTTTAATACTGTATCTCATGTTGATAGCCCAATAAAGTAAATAAATAAATAAGACCCAGTATACTCACGGCCATATCTCTGTGCGCGGCACGCCGGAGCCGTCAACTAGCGCTTGTATGGTGCTGGAATGGAAGTTGTCGAGGAAGCGCGCCCAGCGGGACAACTCCTGTCCCACGCCTGCCCACGTCTGCTCGCTACGGGACAATAACGTGGTTTATTAAACTCGTTAAAGTGGTTTGTTTACGATTAAGGGACAAATATGCAAAGATCACGGCTCTCCAACTCGTTGAATTTGTTATTTTTCATTGGTCGCGTGGTTCTAGCAAAACAGAAAAGGAAAAATGTGCGAACATCAGGGCTCCCCAACGACCCGTTTACGTTTATTGAGCTTGTTCGAAATTATGGATTCCAGAAAAGAAAAGAACTGTCATTAAAAGGCAACTAAGGGACAAAATATGCGAACGTCAGGCTTCCCCAACCCCTCTTGTGTGGGGAGTACAGGCCTAATCCTCATTTGTTTCAGAAATAATTATATTAATACGTACTTCTTATTGAACTTGAAGTCGTTCTCCTGCTCCTGCTGGCAGTAGTCCACTGCTTGCATTATCATGAGACTGCGAGTGCCGGCCGGTACGCTAAAAAAATGTGCAGTATTTTAATCAACAAAACTGAAAGAAAAAACATGAAATCACTCCTGGCAGACAACAAAATAACGTGAAGTATTATTTTATGAAGAAAAGAAAAAACAATTGAGAATCTGTTCCTATTTTGAAATCGTTTAAAAAGAAGCATAATTATGGAATAGCTGTTAATACCGCGAGTAGATCAAGAATAGCAGGAGGGCTACTACGAAACGCTGTTAACATAGTTTCGGGTCTATTTGTCACCGTCTCTCATGCTGGCATCTCGCTTTGCGTGAGAGGGATGGCAACATTCGAAACTTCGGATAACGTTTTTCGGAGTAGCCCCGCTGGAGTCGAAGGTATGTTATGTACCGTTCGATGGCTTCGCTGGTGAAGCAGGTGTTGGCCACGAACTCCTGCAGGTCGTCCTTGGCCAGCTTGTTGAAGTAGCTCGCGCACTGCCGGTACTGCTGCATCCATTTCTTATTACTTGCAGCGCTCGGTGGCACCTGGACATAGAAAACTTCGTGTTTGGATCTGTTTACTTGGGTTTCATTTAAATTGGTAACGTGTGGTTTACATTACGTTAGATTTACTTTATTTCTATCATTTGTTTAACGTTTGAAAGTTGAAGGTTTGCATGCAGTTTCCAGTTTGAAAATTGAAAAATTCTTCAATACTAATCGGCTAACACGTCATCCATTTACTTTCCCTCCATCACCAGCATCTGCTGGGTGGAGTAATGATCTGTTGATTTCTGTATTCTAGAAGCATCTAGAAATCTGAATAAAAAGACTTACGCTACAGAGCCCTTACATTGAAGTATAGTGTCGTAGATCACCTTTTATTTTAATAGTTATTTATATGGCTTCAGTTCCACCTTGTCTTTTTCCTATTCCTTCTGTTGAGTTTCTTTAGTGATTATAGTATCCCTGAAATCACTTACACTAAAGAAGAGCCTGGTGAGCCACATGGTATACAGCGCGTTGACAGACAACGGCGGCTTGAAGGCAGGTGGCAGGGTCCTGATGAGTTTCACCACCATGCCCACGTTTTCAGGCTTCAGGACACGCAGTAGGTGCGCCGAGTACTGATCTGCTGTGGGCTGCTCTAGCAGCATTTTGTAATCCAGTTCTAGGGAGAAACGTAGTACATAAAGCTAACAAAAGCTGTATAGGAATTCAAAGACTGGAAAACGTAGTGTAGGCAGGCAGCGCAGGACCGATCGTTGTAGAAATCCTTGGGAGAGGCCTTTGTTCAGTACATAATAGGATTCCAAGACAGTTAGCTATCCCTTAGGACTACTCAACCTTCACTGGTTCGGTTCCATTGGAGGCCAAGCTGTACATCCTGGCTATACAGGAGTAGCAGTGGTGGGAGTGTGGCTGAATAAGTCCCGGTAATAAACGTCATGTCATTTGGTTGAAACGATGGATAAGGTAGTGGACACCCTAGTTATCAAAACGTGACTGTATACTATTGATTTTGTACAGCAATGGGGATTATGACGTCATCAAGTCACAGAACTTAATTGACTGAAAATTTTATTGATTAAAGCTATTTAAAATCGAATTTTACAACCAACACAACTCGGTTTTCAGGGCTACTGTTTTTGGTTTCAACTACCTTACAAATGATACCACATGCTGCATGTTGTTCATATTTTACTAAAACATAATGCTGATGATTTTGTTTACCTGAAGAAGCAGCCTTGACTTTCTTCAACAGCTTGATGTGCTCGGCGACGGTGAGGCCGAACAGCGGCGGCTTGTCGTCGATGCCCTTGAGTATGGTGAACAGGTTGATGAGCGCGCTGTGGTCGTCGCCGCGGATCAGCGGCCACAGGGTTTCCTTGATTCTAGGGGGATAAAATGATTTGTCATTTTGAATTAGGTCTGTGGTGATAAAAGTAAGCCTTTTAATTTTTTTGAAAGAACGATGGAAGATAGAAAATTGTTGAGAATACAACCATTTGAGAGGATCTGTGTAATGTTTCTTAATTTTTTGTTACAAAAATTGAGTTAAGTATGGATGTTGAATTCACATGGACATTTTTCATCGCACAAACCTCTAGCTAGTCTCTAATGTGTTTTGGGTTACAATGTGACGGGTTCCACACGTGACACTTGTGCCGAGTGAACACCGTATTTTCAAATTCTTTCCAGGCTTTTATGCAGGCATCCCAAAACTAGCTGTACCAGAAAACTTGTCAGCTGTTATTGGGTAGAAGTGTCGGAACAAACTCAGTCAGAGTAGAGAGATGTGACACTTCTCTATTAGGAGCTAAATGACTATTGATAGTCATAGTATATGGCCGCTTGTCTTGGCCGCCAGGCTTCTGGGTAGACGCGGCGGGCGGCGGCCACGCGTCGACAGTAGCAGCAACAGTTTATAGGCAACATCAACAGCTTCATGGCGCAAGTAATTTGGCCGAGACGTAATTGTGAACACCATTTCAGTTACCCACCCGTGCGTTGCCCATACTTCGGTTTACGATCTAGCGCTTCGTCTCGGTCAATTTTCAGCATAGTGTACCTACGCCATCATCACACAAACCTCTAGTAGTGTGTTTGAGTTCACGTGTATCATATTCCTATCTACCAGGAGCTAATAAGTGTGTAGTGACGTCACCCACCGATTGTGAGCGCCGGGCTCCTGGGTAGCCGCGGCGGGTGGCGGCAGCGGCGCGTGGACGTGCTGCAGCTAAACGTCTACAGTATCAGCAACAGTATAGGTAACATCAACAATTTCACCGCACAAACCTCTAGTATGTTTCGGGTTCTCGTGTATTTTATACCTATTTACTAGAAGCTAAAGCTTGGTCCGTGAGCACGTAGAATTTTGTCCAATGACCCCAAGCTACCCATCCTTATCGCTCGCGCGTAATTATGTTGCTGTCGCGCTCGCACACTCACTGCGGGCGCGCGTCGCACAGTCGCGACAGCAATATAATTACGCGCGAGCGAATAGGATGGGTAGCTTCGGGTCATTGGACAAAATTCTACGTGCTCACGGACCAGGATTTAATAAGTGAGCAGTGACGTCACCCACCTGTCGTGCGCGCCGGGCTGGCGCGTGGCGGCGGCGGGCGGCGGCAGCGGCGCGTGCGCGTGCGCGGCGGCGTGCTGCAGCCACACGTCGAGCGCGCTCAGCCCGTACTTGGCTCCCAGCGAGCACGCCGCTTCCACGTGCTCCGGCTCCTTGGACCTGGGGTTAGTAAAAATCGTTTATTTTCTGCAATTATGTCAAAGTTTTTTATTCAGTACTTGGACCCTTTCCAGGTCGCTTCTACACGTCCCAAATGGCTTGCCTTACCATCACTTCTGAGGGCTGAGTGTGAGTTAAAAATTGTATGAAAATTTTAGTTTTTGATAGTTTCCCACTAGGGGCGCTGTACAATCCGTCATACATTAAATGTCATTTTTGAAAAAAACTCACACTCAGCCCTCTGGACAACATATCACTTCTGGATAATAAATAGGGTTTTAAAAATGCTTTTTTAAGATTTTCTTTTACGAACGTTGCGAACTCTTCACTTTTTTCTTGGCTTCTGTGGTTTGCTAAAATGATAAAAATATTACGTTAACCAAGCTGTGACGTCACTGTCTTATAAAAGGCATATTTTATCATTAAATAATCTTTTTGACTAAATATTTTGGCGAGGCAATAAGGAACCGTGCGGTAACGGCTTGATGCAAATGTACGAGAACTGCCCAGCAACTGTGTTTGAACCAGGCATTTTATGTAAAAAAGTGTTTTTAAGATATTGCAAATACCTATACAATTTATCTTTATTTATTTTTATATAAAAAAAACAGCCACAAAAAATAGAGATACTGATTGCTAATTTCGTCACAACAAATATCGCCGAAATAGCTCAGTTGGGAGAGCGTTAGACTGAAGATCTAAAGGTCCCCGGTTCAATCCCGGGTTTCGGCAGAAAATCTTTTTGTATTTTTTTTTTACTTATTCAAGAAATATTTTTTGTCTTTAAAATTTTAAAATTTTTTTAATCACTTTTTTATTTAAGTAAAAATATTTTTAGTAACGAAATCGAGTTTAATTTTTTGTTTATGAAAAGTGAAGAAGTAGTTCAATAAGATTAAACAAAACGACAGTCAACAGGCTTCAGCCAATAGACGAATTGACTTGGCGCAATAGTGACGTCAAGAGCTTGTATTGCTATAGTAAACGCATTGCTACCTGGTAACCCGGTAAATGGTCTCTGCCTGCTTATTTCTTGACGAAATACTAATGTCATCCTCATCCATCACCTTGAAATGATCGCGTGTTGCAACTTGCCAAATAGGCCCTTTGAGTTGACGCAACAGTGACGTCATGAGCTAGTTGTTTGTAGGTGTGAGGAGGCGTATTCGCACCTGGTACACGGTCTCTATCCTTGAAACTTGAAAATGACAAAATAATAGTCAATGAGGGCTATCGTTTTTATACTTAACAGTTGGCACCCCTGGCGATTGACAGGACCTTACTCTACAGTGGCGCCATCTTGATGAGTGCAAATGGGATAGTCCTCCTACCACTTTAGCGCTCACAAGTTGGTGCCACTGTCTTCGCTACTAGCAAGTGACAGGACCTTACTCTACAGTGGCGCTAACTGGTGAGCGCTAAAACGATAGCCCTCATTGATTTAGCGCAATAGTGATGTCATGCGTTGATTGCTGTGTCGACTGGGTACCCAATTGTTCGATGCGCTCCCGGACTATGACCTACCTGGCGACCCGGTACACGGTCTCGGCGCGGTAGTCGTCGTCGGCGTTGAACAGCAGCCCGTTGACGCCGTAGCCCAGGCGCCGCAGCCGCTCCACCTCGCCCATGCCGGTCAGCCGGTCGATGCACTCCCGGATTATTTCGAGTTGCTCTTGCGACGCGTTCTTTTGTTTTAGAGTTGTTTGAGCCATCTGGAAAGAACAAAAAAATCTTCATAAAAATATGTTGCACGTCACGAGCGTGGCGTTATGAGTGGTGCTGGACGGTCGTATTGATGTTAAGATCATTATTGAGTAGCTTCTAGGTGCGCGCGCGCAGTTCTGCGTAGAGCGTAGCATGCATGGTAGGCTCAGGGGCCTCAGGGGCGTGTCTTGTACAGGATCTCTTCAACGCATTTTTTTCAGGAGAGGCGTGACAAACTGTTTTTTTTTATGTGACAAGAGGCAAACGAGCAGACGGATCACCTGATGGTAAGTGATTACCGTCGCCCATAGACACCCGCAGACCCAGGGGCGTTACAGGTGCGTTGCCGGCCTTTAAGGCGCCTTAACACCGCAGACGACAATCCATTCCACAGTTTGGTTTTACGGGGCAGGAAGTTTCTAGAGAAACGTACTGTTGTGTGTGTTTTAAAAAAGGAAGAATGAAGCTATACCCACCACAGAGGGCGGCGTGAGGTAGACATTATCCCTCAATTCCGGCGCGTTGCACTTCATGAGCGTGGCGTAGAGCGTGGCGCTGACGGCCGTGTCGGTGTTGTGGGTGTCTAGCAGCTTCTTAGTGCGAGCGTAGTCTTGCGTCGAGCGTAGCATACAGGCCACGCTTAGAGGCGTGTCCTTGTACAGGATCTCTTCGGCGCATTTTTGGACAACTGCAATGAAAAAGTCAAGTATTACTTAAGACTACCCCAACTCTTTCCGTTAATAACTTAAACTTTAGCTAGGAGTGTAGGGCAAATCAAAGAGGGCGTGCACCTGCAGTGAAGACTAAGCTACCAGATGATAATGATGAAGTATTACGTTCACTGATTTATATTATAGCTACAGTCTTGCGTTTCCCACAGCCAACAATTTTGCCCAGCGAATTTAGTCCTTATGAGCTGATCTTGGTTCGGAAACGTGGCCTCTCACTATAGGCCTTATACAGAAGCTCAAAGATGCACAGGGTGCTATGGAGAGGGCTATGCTCGGTGTTTCTTTACGAGATCGAATCAGAAATGAGGAGATCCGTAAACGAACTAAAGTCGCTGACATAGCCCGACGGATTAGCAAGCTGAAGTGGCAATGGGCAGGGCACATAGTACGCAGAACTGACGGCCGATGGGGCAGCAAGGTTCTGGAGTGGAGGCCGCGTACCGGAAAACGCAGCGTGGGACGTCCACCCCCAAGGTGGACCGATGACATCATAAAGGTAGCAGGAAGACGCTGGATGCAGGCCGCTACCAACCGGGCAACATGGAAAGCATTGGGGGAGGCCTATGTTCTGCAGTGGACGTCCTATGGCTGAGATGATGATGATGAGCTGATCTTGCTTCGTTCACTGGCTGTCATTGTCTAAAGTTCACAAGCTGTCTCACCCGCGGGCTCGGCGGCGGGCGCGGCGTGGTGCAGGCAGGCGTGCGCGTAGTAGCAGCCTATGATCGAGGCATTTCCGAAGCAAATGACTTGGCAGGGGAAAAGCACAGTGTATTCCGGAATCTCCAGTCAGTCACCAGGCTTAAGGTCTCAGCGGCCGCCACCTAGATGGCAGCAGCCCTCGAATTTGCCTCGATCAAAATGGTACGACATCATCGGAGAAAGGTGGCTTTCTATACTGACCCCCTGGCATTGGCAATGGCAGCAATGAGGGCTATCGTTTTTATACTTAACAGTTGGCACCCCTGGCGATTGACAGGACCTTACTCTACAGTGGCGCCATCTTGATGAGTGCAAATGCGATAGTCCTCCTACCACTTTAGCGCTCACAAGTTGGCGCCACTGTCTTCGCTACTAGCAAGTGACAGGACCTTACTCTACAGTGGCGCTAACTGGTGAGCGCTAAAACGATAGCCCTCATTAAGGCATCCATTAGAGTCTAATGGATTGTCTGTAACAGTCTAATGATTAGACTGTAGCAGGGTAGGGTAGGTAGACTCACCCGCCCGCGGGCTCGGCGGCGGGCGCGGCGTGGTGCAGGCAGGCGTGCACGTAGTAGCAGCCTGAACGGATCGAAGCATCTCCGAAGCAAATGACTGGGCGTATTTCGAGTTTTTCCCTGATCGTCATCGTAGATGAGTTGACAGGGGAAAAGCCTAGTCTATTCCGGACAGCCTAGCTAGTCGGTTGGCAGCCCTCGAGATTTCCTCGATCAAAACATTATTGGCATAAGCCACCATGCTGACCCCCCCTCCCCTGGTAAAACGTTCCAAAGTATAGAGTAGACTCTGGGCAGTGTACGCGCTCGTCACTACTGACTTAACCGCTTCTGTGGTAAGATTACCTACTTCGGACGCAGAGGTCCCTAGTTCCTCCGTGGTTGAGGATTCCGGGTGAAGCTCGCTTCCACCTTCGGCCTGATCATCACTTACCATCAGGTGAGATACAGGCAAAAAAAAACTCACCCGCGGGCTCGGCGGCGGGCGCGGCGTGGTGCAGGCAGGCGTGCGCGTAGTAGCAGCCTGAACGGATTGAGGCACTCTTCCGAAGCGAAAATTGGGGGTCTCATTCACCAGGCTTAAAGACCTCGGCGGCTACAGCCTAGATAGCAGCCCTCGAGTTATTCTCGATCAAAATGGTAATATCATCGGCGTAAGCCACCATACTGACCCCCAGGAATTGGCAATCACAGCAAGTCATCTTTTAGACGGTAGGGTAGGGTAGGTAAAGCCTGGTCCGTGAGCACGTAGAATCCCGTCCAATGACCCCAAGCTGTCCAATGGCTCGCACACTCACTGCGGGCGCGCGTCGCACAGTCGCGACAGCAATATAATTACGCGCGAGCGATAAGGATGGGTAGCTTGGGGTCATTGGACGGGATTCTACGTGCTCACGGACCAGGCTTTAGACTCACCCGCGGGTTCGGCGGCGGGCGCGGCGGGCGCGGCGTGGTTCAGACAGGCGTGCGCATAGTACCCGGCCAGCAGACGCGCGGCGGGCGGCGGCGCGGGCGCCGTGAACCGCGCGTACCCGTAGCACGAGCCCGCCGCCGCGTGCTGCGGGTACAGCGAGCGGTAGAACTCGGGGCAGTGGACGGTGCGCTCGTCTGGGTCCTCTGATGAGGACTTGTCACTGGAAAAAGATGTTTCTGAGGCTAGATTGGACCATCTTACATCTTAGATCGAGATAGTTTTAAGAGTGTTTCTGCAAGACGCCTTCGTTCAACGAAAAGCTGGACAAAAGCCTCTCCCATGGATTTCCACAACGATCCTGCGCTGCCAACATTTAGGTGCTTCCCGCGACCTTTTCACGTTTTGTCGTCAGATTCGTGCGTTACGTACAAGTAAGGTCGAAGATCCACAGAGTGGGAGGCCTGCGTACAATACGTTTTTCGGTCCGTCATCGCTACTCGAGAACTTTCTGTCCCAACGGAGAAATCCGGTGATTTTCGGAATTTCTCGGCCCGAAGTTTTCAGGCAACATAATTAGCATATTTTTAGTAGTGACCGACCGAATATTCGTTTTCGTTTTCGTTATCGGCCATTNATGTCTCGTGTTAAATGAGTGGATATATTTTGGGAGAGGCGTAACTATATTCAACAATAGACAGATGAAGGTATACCCACCACAGAGGGCGGAGTCAGGTAGACATTATCCCTCAACTCCGGCGCGTTGCACTTCATGAGCGTGGCGTAGAGCGTGGCGCTGACGGCCGTGTCGGTGTTGTGGGTGTCTAGGAGCTTCTTAGTGCGAGCATAGTCTTGCGTCGAGCGTAGCATACAAGCTACGCTTAGAGGCGTGTCTTTGTAGAGAATCTCTTCCGCGCATTTTTGGACAACTGCAATGAAAAAATCAAGTATTACTATTAGGACTAGCCCAACTGTTCGTTAATAGCTTAATCTTTAGCTAGGATTGTAAGGCAAATCAAACAAAGAGGGCGTGCACCTGCAGTAAAGACTAAGGCCCAGAGAAGGTGAAACGCAACTGCAACGAAACTGCAACTTTCTAATGGTTCCTATGAATGAAACTGAAACTGAAAGTTTCAAACTGGTCGCGTCATGTGTGGTCTCTCAACGGACGCTATGGCAGAAACTTAGATGCAACTCAAAAGTAACTAGCAGTTGCAGTTTTGTTGCAGTTGCGTTTCACCGTCCGTCTGTTCTGGGCCTCTTTTTTTTAAATTCACAACGAGGAAGCTCTTGGCCTGTATCTCACCTGATGGGAAGTGACGATCAGGCCGAAGGTGGAAGTTTACCAGGCTTAAGGCCTTAGCGGCCGCAGCCTAGATGGCAGCCCTCGAGTTTGCCTCGATCAAAATGGTGACATCATCGGCGTAAGCCACCATGCTGACCCTATGTCATTCGCAATCACAGCAAGGCATCCACTAAACTATAGCAGGGTAGGGGTAGGTAGACTCACCCGCGGGCGCGGCGGGCGCGGCGTGGTGCAGGCAGGCGTGCGCGTAGTAGCAGCCTGAACGGATTGAGGCACTTCCGAAGCGAAAATTGGGGGTCTCGTTCACCAGGCTTAAAGACCTCGGCGGCTACAGCCTAGATGGCAGCCCTCGAGTTTGTCTCCATCAAAATGGTGATATCATCGGCGTAAGCCACCATACTGACCCCCAGGAATTGGCAATCACAGCAAGTCATCCCTTAGACGGTAGGGTAGGGTAGGTAAAGCCTGGTCCGTGAGCACCAAGCTGTCCAATGGCTCGCACACTCACTGCGGGCGCGCGTCGCACAGTCGCGACAGCAATATAATTACGCGCGAGCGATAAGGATGGGTAGCTTGGGGTCATTGGACGGGATTCTACGTGCTCACGGACCAGGCTTTAGACTCACCCGCGGGTTCGGCGGCAGGCGCGGCGGGCGCGGCGTGGTTCAGACAGGCGTGCGCATAGTACCCGGCCAGCAGACGCGCGGCTGGCGGCGGCGCGGGCGCCGTGAACCGCGCGTACCCGTAGCACGAGCCCGCCGCCGCGTGCTGCGGGTACAGCGAGCGGTAGAACTCGGGGCAGTGGACGGTCCGCTCGTCGGAGTCCTCTGATGACGATTTGTCACTGAAAAACGAAGATGTTTCTTCAGTTTTGAGAGTTCATCTCATATTCAATTCATGGAGGTATTCAGTTAAAGCTAAATAAGTATTAAATTATTTAATAGTAACCAAAATTGTTTATTTATAGCGTCTGTATTAGAGGAAGGCGCTAATGACTGCGACACATTCTTTGACTACTGCAGTCATTAACGTTTCAATTTGTTTATGCAAAATTGTAATAGGCTACAAATAAAGTTTTATCCCATCAAAAACAATACTTGTCAAAAAAACCAAGTCTCGCAACTCAGTTGTTCTACGGTAAAAAGTTGTGAGATCCATGTAATACCAAGTCCAGGCCAGGAAATCTTTAACGTTTTACATAAATTATTGACTTGGCCATCGCACTAAATAATCTGGGGGCACGGCAGTGCCCCCACCAAGTCGAGCAAAAAAGCGGCACGGCCGTACCATCCTTTTCTTGAAGCAATTCAGGCCATTTTCGACCGCCTGTAACTTCGTTGTGGATAAAACTAGAAGGCTGAATTTTCATTAGCTATGCAGGCATTGTAAAGACACGGTATATTTAAAATTTCATTCAATTTGAACCAGTAGTTTAAGAATTATAACGGGTCAAAGTTACTTAATTTTGTCACTCACTGACTCACTGACTGACTCACTGACTGACTCACCGATCATCAAAACTCTAAGGCACTTCTAGCAGACCTAGAAGCTTCAAATTTGGAATATAAGTAGTGTTTGGTGTATGAATCAAGGAAAAACTAAAATATTTGGGGGCACGGTAGTGCAACCGCCAAGTCGAGTAAAATTTTTCAATTTCGGTCCAGTTTTCTAGATACATAACTGCTGTCTACAAAATACAAAAAGAAATTAGATACATACACACACACAACCTGCATGCAAGCCTATGTTTCTTTTTTTTGCCCCTTTGACTGTTTTTTACGAGATTGTAATAATATATAGAATCCATTATTGGCTGTAAGAACAAAAATACCTGTTTGTATTATTATTATAAAGAGCTGTGGTTTTCTGAATAAAGAAAAATAAAAATAAAATAAAATAGATTTGGGGGCACGGTAGTGCAACCGCCAAGTCGAGTAAAATTTTTCAATTTCGGTCCAGTTTTCTAGATACATAACTGCTGTCTACAAAATACAAAAAGAAATGAGATCCTATCAAAAACAATACTTGTCAAAAAAACCAAGTCTCGCAACTCAGTTGTTCTACGGTAAAAAGTTGTGAGATCCATGTAATACCAAGTCCAGGCCAGGAAATCTTTAACGTTTTACATAAATTATTGACTTGGCCATCGCACTAAATAATTTAATTTACACGTGTTTTCATGCGATGGCCAAGTCAATATATTTATGTAAAACGTTAAAGATTTCCTGGCCTGGACTTGGTATTACATGGATCTCACAACTTTTTACCGTAGAACAACTGAGTTGCGAGACTTGGTTTTTTTGACAAGTATTGTTTTTGATGGGATCTCATTTCTTTTTGTATTTTGTAGACAGCAGTTATGTATCTAGAAAACTGGACCGAAATTGAAAAATTTTACTCGACTTGGCGGTTGCGCTACCGTGCCCCCAAATATTTTAGTTTTTCCTTGATTCATACACCAAACACTACTTATATTCCAAATTTGAAGCTTCTAGGTCTGCTAGAAGTGCCTTAGAGTTTTGATGATCGGTGAGTCAGTCAGTGAGTGACAAAATTAAGTAACTTTGACCCGTTATAATTCTTAAACTACTGGTTCAAATTGAATGAAATTTTAAATATACCGTGTCTTTACAATGCCTGCATAGCTAATGAAAATTCAGCCTTCTAGTTTTATCCACAATGAAGTTACAGGCGGTCGAAAATGGCCTGAATTGCTTCGAGAAAAGGATGGTACGGCCGTGCCGCTTTTTTGCTCGACTTGGTGGGGGCACTGCCGTGCTCCCAGATTTATTTTAAAGTTTTTATTTATAGTTTTGAGTTTCTCCAAGATGCCTTCGTTCAAGCAACAGCTGGACAAAAGCCTCTCCCGAGGATTTCCACAACGACAGGACCTGCACTGCTCGCATTATGGTGCTTCCAGAGAACTTCATGTTTCGTCGTCAGATTCGTACTTTACGTACGATTAAGAGCGACGGTGCACGGAGTGAGGGGTCTACCTACAATACGTCTTTCGGTCCGTCGTAGCTACTTGAGAACTTTTCCGCCCTAACGGCAAATGCGTTATTTGGTGATTCTCGGAATTTCTCGGCTCTTCTCGGGCGACATAATTAGCTTATTCGGAAAAATTAACGGAGGTACTAGAATTAGTTTAGGTATCACAAATTACCAGTTACCTCCAAAAATGTAGCGCATGAAAGTTTAAGCCTTGATTTAATTATCTAATTATGCAAAAAGAAGAATAATTACCTCAGAAGAAACTTGCTCTGAATGGAGTCGAGCAGATACGTGAACAGCGGCGCCTTCTTGTCGGGCTGCGGCGGCGCCACCAGATCCTTCTTCTCTATGACGGGCTATGATCAGAAATAAAGCTGAATTTCCATAACAAGATTATTCCCAAAGCCATTAAAACTTAACATAAGCTCCAATATCTAAGAGTTTAGTGTCTTTTTATTTCTTTTTAATGAATGAATGAAATTAAAAATGAGACTATGTAGGTATATGCTAAATACAAGCTAGCGACCCAGAAACGGAGCTGTGTAGTTCCATCTCTAGTGTATAGCTTTTTTTAATAGGTATATAGGTATCCATTTGTTCATGATTCTACCATGTCTTTTCCCTAAAGGTTCAAGAAAACGCCATTTTAAAATATACATATAATTTTCAATGTAACACAAATAACTTACTGTGGTGATAGCGTCGTCAAATTCATCATCGGTGGAAGGCCAGCGCTCACTCAGATGTGGTTGCTCTCTCAGAGCTGCTGCCATTGGTTGCAAATCTTCGAGCTCAAGTGCCAGTCTGTAAATGAGAACATTTACATATCAAAACTCATGTTTTGTGCCAGTAAAAAAATAAGTGGTGTGGTAAGGAGTCGTCGAGTCGAAGATCTGATGTTCCAAAAATGTACGAAGATAAGGTTCTCGAGTGGCGACCACGGGCTGGAAGACGTAGCGTTGGCAGGCTTCCTACTAACTGGACCGACGATCTGGTAAAGGTCACGGGAAGAACCTGGATGCGGGCAGCGCAGAACCGTTTATTGTGGAAAACGTTGGGGGAGGCCTTTGTCCAGCAGTGGACGTCATTTGGCTGAAACGAACGACCGAAGATAACGTAGTTATTGCCGGGGCTTGTGTAGAATGAAACTTGCTTCTGAATGTATTGTACCTTCCTACTTTTTTTATACTTTAAACCAGTGGTGACTGAGTTTGTTGCGGCGCTTCTTCTCAGCACTTGCCAAATGTTTGTCTCGAAGCGCTGGTAGGGCAAAAAAAGAATGAGACATGTCATGTATAGGCTCCTTAAGAGCATTTGACGATTTGTAAGTACTAATTTAATTAGTCTATACAAATAAAGATAATTTTTATTTTGAAAGAAGACTTACGAGTATAACAGAGGTCGTAAGCACGCAGTCTTTTATCCCGTCTGTGGTTTGATGCCATGCCGCCGGCGTCGAGGTCGTCGCCGCCGCGTACCGTGGTGCCCTTAGTGACTGACCATTAAGGGCACAACAGTACGAAGCGGCGCGTATTGCAGTGCCAATGCCAAGCGTGAGTCCACCGACACATCTTAAGGAAAACACTAGAAATAACCACGTTATACCAAGAACAAATCGAGACCGTTGCATTGGTTAGCTGAAAAACGCGTTATAGAAAACAACAACCAGACATTGAACTAACACCCGTTAGCAGAATTATCTATTGTCGTCCACCTCAACAAAGAACAGCTGACAGCGCGGCCGCCGCTGCCAACAAGAGTACCGGCGCATATCTAAGTCTCAAAGCGCGTGCGCCATTTTAGCTAGCATAGTTTGTATTGCGTTTAAGAATACCTTGTTCATACAATTTATTACCTAGTGGTGAGCACGTCCTCCAATCCATCTGCAGGTTGATGCGCCGCGGCCGCTGACAACAGATACCGGCGCGTGTCAAGGTCAGCGTGCGCGTGCGCAACCCTCGCTACATGTGCCAGCAATGCCGCCGCGGGCGCGTGGTGCAGCGCCGCCAGCCGCCGCGCCGCGTCAGCTAATATACCTAGTTTGTATTGCTTACAATTTCAGAATACCTTATTTAGACAATGCATTACCTAGTGGTGAGCACGTCCTCTAATCCATCAGCGGGTTGATGCGCAGCCGCCGCCGCAAGCAAATACCGACGCATATCAAGGTCAGCGTGCGCGTGCGCAACCCTCGCTACATGCGCTAATAGAGCAGCCGCGGGCGCGTGGTGCAGCGCCGCCAGCCGCCGCGCCGCATAGTTTGTATTCCCTGCTCATTACCAATAACGTGTTCAAACAGTCTTACCTAGTTGTGAGCACATCCTCCAACCCGTCTGCAGGTTGATGCGCCGCGGCCGCTGCCAATAGATACCGGCGCGTATCAAGGTCAGCGTGCGCGTGCGCAACTCTCGCTACATGTGCCAGCAACGCCGCCGCGGGCGCATGATGCAGCGCCGCCAGCCGCCGCGCCGCATAGTTTGTATTCCCTGCTCATTACCAATAACGTGTTCAAACAGTCTTACCTAGTGGTGAGCACGTCCTCTAATCCATCAGCGGGTTGATGCGCAGCCGCCGCCGCAAGCAAATACCGACGTGTGTCAAGGTCAGCGAGCGCGTGCGCAACCCTCGCTACATGCGCTAATAGAGCAGCCGCGGGCACGTGGTGCAACGCCGCGTCCGCCGCCGCGCCCCTAGCCCCTAGCTATTTACGCTACCCACTTGAGCTAGCATAGTTTGTATTCCCTGCTCATGAACAATATTGTACACAGTCTTACCTAGTTGTGAGCACATCCTCCAACCCGTCTGCAGGTTGATGCGCCGCGGCCGCTGCCAATAGATACCGGCGCGTATCAAGGTCAGCGTGCGCGTGCGCAACCCTCGCTACATGCGCTAATAGAGCAGCCGCGGGCGCGTGGTGCAGCGCCGCCAGCCGCCGCGCCCTACTAGCCCCTAGCTAGCTAGACTGCCCACTTGAGCTAGCATTAGTTTGTATTCCCTGCTCATGAACAATATTGTACACAGTCTTACCTAGTTGTGAGCACATCCTCTAATCCATCAGCGGGTTGATGCGCAGCCGCCGCCGCAAGCAAATACCGACGTGTGTCAAGGTCAGCGTGCGCGTGCGCAACCCTCGCTACATGCGCTAATAGAGCGGCCGCGGGCGCGTGATGCAGCGCCGCCAGCCGCCGCGCCGCGTCAGCTATAGTTTGTATTGCCTACAGTTTAAGAATACCTTATTCAGACAATGCATTACCTGGTCGTAAGCACATCTTCCAGTCCATCAGCGGGTTGATGCGCAGCCGCTGCCGCAAGCAAATACCGACGTGTGTCAAGGTCAGCGTGCGCGTGCGCAACCCTCGCTACATGCGCTAATAGAGCGGCCGCGGGCGCGTGGTGCAGCACCGCCAGCCGCCGCGCCGTATAGTTTGTATTCCCTGCTCATTACCAATAACGTGTTCAAACAGTCTTACCTAGTTGTGAGCACATCCTCCAACCCGTCTGCAGGTTGATGCGCCGCGGCCGCTGCCAATAGATACCGGCGCGTATCAAGGTCAGCGTGCGCGTGCGCAACCCTCGCTACATGTGCCAGCAATGCCGCCGCGGGCGCATGATGCAGCGCCGCCAGCCGCCGCGCCGCGTCCGCCGCCGCGCCCCAGCCGGCCGGGCCCGCGTTGATGGCCGCGCTGCCCACTAGTTGCAACACGCGGGCTTCCCTGCGCAGGGAATATAATAATGAGGGTTTTCGCGAATGAAAGATCCGCTAGATGGCGGGACCTGGATGTGGGGTCTGACTGCTGCGCGATTGGTGGATTTTGACATATCTGTCAATGTCATGTCAAAAATAACCAATCATGCAGCATTTGGACCTCGCGTTTACGTATTGCCATCTGGCGGATTTTTCATTCGCGAAAACCCTCATTGACACCAATCGTCAGCTATAGTTGTTGCAATTCACGAAGGCGAGTGAGCTTTACATGTGTGGTGGCTCGCTATTGTTCGTTTTTCTAAAGTTTTGAACTTGTGCATGTACACGTACACACACAAGTAAAGCTCACTTGCCTTCGTGAGTTGCAAGAACTATGATCAGTTGTTGCATTGTAACAGTTACATTGATAATTTTATTTGATCAATTATAACAATTACTCACTGATCTTGTATAATTCAAGCTACAATAGAAAAGATGCAATTCCGTATGGTCATTAACATTTAAAGGCTTTAGATACATTTTAATATTAGACAGTGGAATAGACACACAAATACGGTTGTTAACAATTAGATACATTTCAAATTAGGCAGTAGGATAGACACACAAATACGGTTGTTAACAATTAGATACATTTCAAATTAGGCAGTAGGATAGACACACAAATACGGTTGTTAACAATTAGATACATTTCAAATTAGGCAGTAGAATAGACACACAAATACGGTTGTTAACAATTAGATACATTTCAAATTAGGCAGTAGAATAGACACACTAATACGGTTGTTATCAATTAGATACATTTCAAATTAGACAGTAGAATAGACACACTAATACGGTTGTTAACAATTAGTTACATTTCAAATTAGGCAGTAGAATAGACACACAAATACGGTTGTTAACAATTAGTTACATTTCAAATTAGGTAGTAGAACAGACAATAAACACCCTACAATCTAAATAGTAGTACGATGCGGCTAAACGTGGGCCGCCGTATTGAAGAACGTATCGCCATGACAATCCGCCTAAACGTTGAACCGCCGTATTACAAAACAGAGCTGTAATGTAAAATGCCTAGTGGTAATGTAAAACGGCGGATTATACAATCCGACTGCGACAGACACACAAATATCAGTCACGTCGAACCAGCTGACGCACCCTCTTCATTTTATAGAATAACAAAATGAAGAGAGTGTGTCAGCCAATAACAGAATTAGCTTATCTTCTCATTTCTTCAACTAGCTCGCTCCACCCGCGGAAAGGTTCTAACACATTCCTGCAGAATAAGCGCGCATGGAACACACTTCTACATGCGCGCTTATTCCGTAGAAATGGGAATAGACCTTTGTCTTCGAATCTTCTTCCTGGAAGCTTCTGATGTGAGATTCTTAGCTTGAGCGGGCTCATCTTCTACTAACACATGAGTGGAAGATGAGCCGGCCCACGCCAGAAAAGATCTTCAAAGATTGATCTTGGTTTTTTCTACATAAGATGTTTGTTCTCTTCTGCCGCGCAAAGGTCTAGCACATTCATACAGAATAAGCGGGCATGGAGTATTATACATCTCTACATGCGCGCTTATTCCGTAGAAATGGGAAATCCCTTCAAATGTCCATTGATTGATCTGTTGTCTTCTTCATATAATGTCTTTCGCCTTTATGTCTGAAGCCTGAAAAGATGTTGATCTTGGCGCTTACGTTACCCATAACACCTCTCGTTACAATGGATTCGAACAAATCGTGAATGAATAGTATCCACGGGTGCACACTGCTACTAACCTCAAATGTTCGTCATTGCCAGACACTCGTAGGAGCTTCGCCAGTTTGAGCAGCTTGTGACTCGCCAGATAAGCGTTAGGGTCCGCTTTCAAGCAATCTTCGATCAGCGTCATCCGGTCCTCGCATAGACGAACTAAAATTAAAAATGAACAATTGATTCACAGACAACCCATTTATTTTAATAAGAAGTTAAGGGGTTATTCGCCCTAAAAATGTAGAATTATAGTACATATATTTTGTTACTTGGAACAATGAATATTATACAAAAATCCATGTACCTTGAATGGGAAGAAGGTTCAAATCGAAAGCGCTTAAGATTTGAAGGGATGCAATAAGATCCAGCTCCTCTTCTATCTCGGGATTCCCCTCTTGAATCAATTGCAAGCAGCACCTAAAACAACATTACGTATTATTCTTATGATTATTGTATTGTAACATTGATATTTTCAGCAGGTCATTTGGTCTCCATTGCAGGCCCTTAATTTACCAGAGGCAAATCGAGGATTTGAACAACTCTCCCCACGATGACCAGACGGGCAAGGAACGCCTGATGTTCCCATAGTTATTATTTGTTATTCTCCTTTTAAGACGTCCACGATTTTTTTTATCACTTTTACATTGGTCATTAAATTTATTACCATTGAAAAACTTTTACCCCCTTATTATAAAAAGATAGACTGGTTGAACTCTGGTTTGAATTGACATTTTGTATGGAAAAAATATTTAAAACCAATGTTCGTCCCGGGTTTGACTTTTTTTGTTATAAGGGGGCTTAGAGTCTACCTACAATACAAGTCGCTATGTCCTTCTGAAAATAGTACCTATTTATCTACATAATAAAGGCGTGTTTACCTCGGCGCCTCGAGCGCGGTGTCGTTGAGCGATGACGCCGAGTTGAAGTACTCGCGCGCTGCGATGGTGACGAGGTGCACGCTGCGAGCATACGGCACGTTGTGCGCGCCGCGCCGAGCGTTCGGCGAGCATGTCAGCACGTCCGAAGCTAGCTTAATGCTGTTCGTATCGCCTGATGATAGCAGAGCGGATGCGTAGATCTTTAAAGAGATTATGACAGTCAGTGAAATGTGTTGTATCTTTTTCTTTCGCATTACGACACTATTGACCCTAAACTTAATTGTGCGACCATATAACTGAGCGGGCGCTTGTTTAGTTTTTATTGAATTTATTTAGACAAGTGTGCAAATGACTGTGGAGTTTTTAATGCCCTAAAATTATGGCAATAAAAGTATTCACCTACCTCGTAAACTTCATCCTTGGTGATGCATAACAAGAACAGGTTTGACTGCAGCTCCAGTAAATCTTTGAGCAGCTCTGCCCAGTCTTGTGGAGACGGCTTCTCGCCCCTAGAATAGAACAATAACATTTTTTTAAGTAACGCCATCGCAAATACATAAATAGAGGATAATATAGAAAGCATTACAGTCTTAATATTGGGTGCAGTCAGGCCTGTTCATCTCCGCGTGTTTACATCGAAAACAAAACACGCACGATGGCCCACCTACAGGATACTATTCGAGAAGGCCTCACATACGAGCGAACATTGACTCACGCACGCGTATTCTTGTGTATGATGGAAGAAAATAAAGAAAATGGTGTACTAAATACTGTGCAGTATTTAACTGCCTAAATAATAATAAAAACACAGAATGTACTTTTTTAAGTTGCCTCAAGACACTGAGAGGTAAATNGAAAATAATCTTTAACTGTTCGTCAGTAAAGTTCAAAATTATTCAGATCAAAGTTGTTTGACGATTTAACTTGTCAAGAAGATTATTATGATTGATAAACTAAAACCTTCTTGTTGGTTCAACCTGCCATTATCTATTAAATAAAAAAAACTACATTTTGTAACATTGCACTGATGGGATAGAAAAATAAACAAGCAAAACCTTATTCGTTAGCAAACGTCATATTTATTTAAATATTAGCAGCACTGTTTCTTGCACGGTTATGTTGGCAGGTTTGACTCTTACAGTACCTAGTGCAAGCGAAAACCGACACTAAGGTGACGAACCTTTTCATTCCGCGACTGTACTTCTTCTTCTTTTGCAATACAACGTCATATTGATCCCAACCATAGAACTGAGTGGGCGCTAATTTAAATAAATAATATAAATGAAAAAAAAAAATGCTTTTGCAAAAAGAAATATAAAATGAATAATTTATGGCAATAATGATGTTCACCTACCTCGTAAACTTCATCCTTGGTGATGCATAACAAGAACAGGTTTGACTGCAGCTCCAGTAAATCTTTGAGCAGCTCCGCCCAGTCTTGTGGAGACGGCTTCTCGCCCCTAAAATAGAACAATTTAAACTTTTAAGTAACGACATCGCAAAAACATGAATAGAGGACAGTATAGAAAGCATCACAATCTTAATATTGAGTACAGAACACAGAGTTTTACATGCAGTGTACAATTTACAGTGTGATTGTCTCTTTCAGAGAAATTTCACAAGAGTAAGGCATGTTTTTTTTTACAATAAGTGCTATACAATAAAATGTAGTTACAGATTTAAATTTCAGAAACACAAATCATGTAATAGATTCTACAGCAGGCCGTCTTCAGTCTTCGTAGTTATTAAGTCTGGTAGAACTTCCCCGACGTTGTCCCCCCGTACCACTAAAACCGGGAAAACAACGTCGGGGGGGCCCTTCCGGACAAAATATACACTCCAGCGACGAAATTCTTGAGTCTTCTTTTTCATGACGTGTTTTCTAACCCGTTCAAACATTACCTAAAAAGTATCTATTACATTTGTTGCACATATTATAGAAACATTTTAAAATTCATAGTTTCAAAGACCAAGTCAAAAATGTCTTTATTTCTATGGTCTATTCGCAAACGTGGTCGCTCCAAACAAACTTGGCGGCGCACTGTAGCAGACGAGGCGAAGAAAATCGGCAAGATCTGGAGCCAGCACAAGCATCCCCACTGTTGGCACCCGGGCAATAACCTTAAACCACGGGGACATCAACGGGGGGTAGCATGGACTGACGTCTTCTTCATTCTTGCTGTTCTTGTTCGTCTTCTTAATTCTCTTACTGTGGTTTAAATTACAGTAAATGGAAACGAGAACTAGAAATATAAAAAAGTAATTTGTTTAGTACCCACTGGTATTGTTGTGTCTATCAATAAGTGCAGAACGAGAAGGTGCTTCCTTTTGTGAACATCCACAATCCACATAAAAATTGTTCAAGAACATAGCCAGTTAAAATGACATTGGATAAAAGGTGGAGTAAAAAAATACTTAAGTGTAGACCACCCCTCGAAGTGTAAGACACCCCGTGTTCGACGGATCAAAGACTTTAGAAAGATATTGTTGATATTGGCTGCCTAAAAAAGCAAGAAACATGGTCTCTGGCACTCTTAGGCGAGCCCTCGCTAAAACTAAGGCGGGGGCACGCAACTGTATCGATAAATAGTGTGAAACTGCCCTGACATGACTGCGCATGTATGTGACCTATCCACACGTGCGGCGGTAGGCGGGCTTCCGTACAAGTTTTAGTGTACGCTGGGTAGGATTATGATAGGCGAGAGCCGTATGAGCAGCATTTTGGCCTGCGGATGCTCGCTGTAGATAGCTCGTAAGTCTTGCAGCGACAGCTTGACGCCGCGCCATGCGGTCGCAGTCTTTGAGGAGTGAGAGCTTACATTCAGCTGTGGACTATGTTTTAATGTGATAATGTGTACTCACTCGAGGGCCAAAGTCCGGGAGAGTCGTATGAGCAGCATCTTGGCCTGCGGGTGCTCGGTGTAGACAGCTCGTAGGTCCTGCAGCGACAGCTTGACGCCGCGCCGCGCCATGCGCTCGCAGTCTTTGAGGAGTGGGAGCTTACATTCAGCTGTGGACTATGTTTTTAATGTGATAATGTGTACTCACTCGAGGGCCAAAGTCCGGGAGAGCCGTATGAGCAGCATCTTGGCCTGCGGGTGCTCGGTGTAGACGGCTCGTAAGTCTTGCAGCGACAGTTTGACGCCGCGCCGCATCATGCGTTCGCAGTCTTTGAGGAGTGGGAGCTTACATTCAGCTGTGGATTATGTTTTTAATGTGATAATGTGTACTCACTCGAGGGCCAAAGTCCGGGAGAGCCGTATGAGCAGCATCTTGGCCTGCGGGTGCTCGGTGTAAACAGCTCGTAAGTCTTGCAGCGACAGCTTGACGCCGCGCCGCGCCATACGCTCGCTGTCTTTGAGCAGTGGGAGCTTACATTCACCTGTGAACCGGTTTAAAGTAAAGATGGATACTCACTCGAGGGCCAACGTGCGGGAGAGCCGTATAAGCAGCATCTTGGCCTGCGGGTGCTCGGTGTAGACAGCTCGTAGGTCCTGCAGCGACAGCTTGACGCCGCGCCGCGCCATGCGCTCGCAGTCTTTGAGAAGTTGGAGCTTACATTCAGCTGTGGACTATGTTTTAAATAAAGTGATAATGTGTACTCACTCGAGGGCCAAAGTCCGGGAAAGCCGTATAAGCAGCATCTTGGCCTGCGGGTGCTCGGTGTAGACAGCTCGTAGGTCTTGCAGCGACAGCTTGACGCCGCGCCGCGCCATACGCTCGCTGTCTTTGAGCAGTGGGAGCTTACATTCACCTGTGAACCGGTTTAAAGTAAAGATGGATACTCACTCGAGGGCCAACGTGCGGGAGAGCCGTATAAGCAGCATCTTGGCCTGCGGGTGCTCGGTGTAGACAGCTCGTAGGTCCTGCAGCGACAGCTTGACGCCGCGCCGCGCCATGCGCTCGCAGTCTTTGAGAAGTTGGAGCTTACATTCAGCTGTGGACTATGTTTTTAAAGTGATAATGTGTACTCACTCGAGGGCCAAAGTCCGGGAGAGCCGTATGAGCAGCATCTTGGCTTGCGGGTGCTCCGTGTAGACGGCTCGTAAGCCTTGCAACGACAGCTTGACGCCGCGCCGCGCCATGCGCTCCCAGGCTTTGAGGATTGGGAGCTTACATTCAGCTGTGGACTGGTTTAAAGTAAAGATGGATACTCACTCGAGGGCCAACGTACGGGAGAGCCGTATGAGCAGCATCTTGGCCTGCGGGTGCTCGGTGTAGACAGCTCGCAGATCCTGCAGCGACAGCTTGACGCCGCGCCGCGCCATGCGCTCGCTGTCTTTGAGCAGTGGGAGCTTACATTCACCTGTGAACCGGTTTAAAGTAAAGATGGATACTCACTCGAGGGCCAACGTGCGGGAGAGCCGTATAAGCAGCATCTTGGCCTGCGGGTGCTCGGTGTAGACAGCTCGCAGGTCCTGCAGCGACAGCTTGACGCCGCGCCGCGCCATGCACTCGCAGTCTTTGAGAAGTTGGAGCTTACATTCAGCTGTGGACTGGTTTAATGTAAAGAAAGATACTCACTCGAGGGCCAAAGTCCGGGAGAGCCGTATGAGCAGCATCTTGGCCTGCGGGTGCTCGGTGTAGACAGCTCGCAGGTCCTGAAGCGACAGCTTGACGCCGCGCCGCGCCATGCGCTCGCAGCCCGACACCAGCTTCTGAAGGATGCCCACGCGACGTACTAGTTCACTTTCGGAGATGCTGCCATCCCTGTACCGAAATATCGAGGTGCTATAGATAATCTAGTTTTTGTGTGAATTCGATATTAATAACATTTGTTTCATCCAAATCCAATGAGCTTTTATTGAGTGAAGCCTACATATCCAAAACACAACCTAGTTTTGAACAGTTACTCCTGCGGTCTGACAACATTGGTGGAGATGGCAATAACAACCTCAGTGCTTGCATATTGTGACTATAGAAGAACAAAGCTTCCAAGTTTATGATTTTGAATGGCGGATACCATTTCTTTTATCCACGTTTACTATTTACATTTAAATTAAAACTTCTTTTGATTATGACATCCTCTGCTAAATAGCTAAACACAGATGGTGATTACTTTTACACTTGAGTGAAATCTACATAAAGTAGTTCTTGGACATACACGTGCTTATCTAAAGAGGGTTTTCGAAAAATCCGCCAGATGGCAATACGTAGACGCGAGGTCCAAATGCTGCGTGATTGGTGGATTTTGACATATCTGTCAATGTCATGTCAAAAATAACCAATCATGCAGCATTTGAACCTCGCGTCTACGTATTGCCATCTGGCAGATTTTTCAATCGCGAAAACCCTCAATAAAATAGGTTAAAATACGTACGATTCCTTCAGGATGGTGTCGAGCATAAGGATGGCTTTCTCGAGCTGGTCGGTGCCGGTGTGCGCGAACAGGCAGCGCTCCACCAGATCCAGGTGCGTTCGCACGTCCAGCTCAAACTCGTTGGGCGATTGCAGCACCTGCATGAATGATGGTAAAGGGTAAAGACAAGCCAGACGAGGCAGATCAGTAGCCTTATTCACGTAACAAAACTTCAACGACAACAAATCGCTGAATGAGGGTTTTCGCGATTGAAAAATCCGCCAGATGGCAATACGTAGACGCGAGGTCCAAATGCTGCGTGATTGGTGGATTTTGACATATCTGTCAATGTCATGTCAAAAATAACCAATCATGCAGCATTTGGACCTCGCGTCTACGTATTGCCATCTGGCGGATTTTTCAATCGCGAAAACCCTCATTACGATCCTATCGAGTGATCGTTCTATCAAAATGACCCTTGTGAATAAGGATTTAGAACTGTTTTTCAATTAGACGACTTCAAAACGTCAACTAGATTTTGACTGTGTCAAAATACGTGAATTAGGCCATTGGACAGAGTAGGATAGGAGAAATATGGGACTACGATCCGTAAGCCTTTGACATTCTGGTATATTTTAGGTTGAGTCGGTAAACTGAACGCAGAATCTGGTATGTCCCGTCGCGTCGATCGGGTGGATGACATATGCACCTTATGCTCACGGTATTAGGACCTTATTAGCTTGATAACTCTTCACTTTTTTTCACGTGACGGTGCAATCCGTCTGACTTGCGTGGGGTGCGTTGGCCAAATCCGCCATTTGTCTCTAGTAAAAAGATTATTTCTTGTTGCNTGCTCGGTGTAGACAGCTCGCAGGTCCTGCAGCGACAGCTTGACGCCGCGCCGCGCCATGCGCTCGCAGCCCGACACCAGCTTCTGAAGGATGCCCACGCGACGCACTAGTTCGCTTTCGGAGATGCTGCCATCCCTGCGCCAAGACATCAAGGTTGATATAGATAGTGCTAGTTAAATAACATTGATTTAATGTTATGAGATAAGCTCAATGAGACATGTCAAATCAACCAAATTAACTCCCGCAGTCAGTGATAATTGCGGGATATGAAGAGAGGTTAATTATTATATGAATTTAACAGACATTAACTAAGTACCTATGTTTTAGCATAATATTATAACCTACTGAAAAATTAAGTAAATGCTTGAGGTGTGTAACAGATGTGTATTTGTCCATATTCTGCAACTGACCCAATAGAAGACAAAGTCTACTGACATCCTCTGCTAAACATAGGCTCTTATTCTAGAGAAAACGATCCATATCGCCAGTAGGCGGTCATACTTTTACATACATTTACGATCTACAATGAAATATACATACGACTCCTTGAGGATGGTGTCGAGCATGAGGATGGCCTTCTCAAGCTGGTCGGTGCCGGTGTGCGCGAACAGGCAGCGCTCCACCAGGTCCAGGTGGGTTCGGACATCCAGCTCGAACTCGTTGGGAGATTGCAATACCTGCATGTATGATGGTAAAGGGTAAAGACAGGCCAGGCGAAGCAGATCAGTAGCCTTATTCACGTAACAAAACTTCAACGACAACAAATCCCTGAATTACGATCCTATAGAGTGATCGTTCTATCAAAATGACCCTTGTGAATAAGGATTTAGAACTGTTTCAATTGGACGACTTCAAAACGTCAACGAGATTTTGACTGTGTCAAAATACGTGAATTAGGCCACTGGACAGAGTAGGATAGGAGAAATATGGGACTACGATCCGTAAGCCTTTGACATTCTGGTATATTTTAGGTTGAGTCGGTAAACTAGACGCAGAAACTAATATGTCCCGTCGCGTCGATCGGGTGGATGACATATGCACCTTATGCTCACGGTATTAGGACCTTATTAGCTTGATAACTCTTCACTTTTTTTCACGTGACGGTGCAATCCGTCTGACTTGCGTGGGGTGCGTTGACCAAATCCGCCATTTGTCTCTAGTAAAAAGATTCTTTCTTGTTGCAGGCAGTGCTTCGCAACTACCTGCAACATAATCCTCACTGCTACTTACAACTATGCGCTAAAATAAACTTACCAACAGTATCATGGAGAGATCGTCAGTGCTAATATTTTGGAGGTAGTCAGTGAGCCCGTGGATGCAGGCGGCTTTGTTCAGCGTCAAATTCTCGTAACGCTTCAGGAACGGAATCACGAACGCCTTCAGATCTGCCACGAACGTCGCTGGCGTGGACTGACAACAACAGAATAGTTTGAAGATTATTTGAGAGTTAATAGTGAGATTTCGAATCAGCAAAGTTTTTTTCCATGTATATGTGAGTGTGACATACCTAACATAACCTACATGGTTTAATAAAAAAAAACTAACTTAAAGGACACAGGCAACAATCATAGACAATAACATAAAGAATTTAATTTTGCATCTCATCATCATTCTTTGCAGCAGGGGCGATTTTGCATTAAAAATGAACATTTCTACCAAAAATCAATAGTCAAGATAACTTACCATCTTCATCAGCAGCATGCAAGTGTGAAGCGTCGAAAGTTTCTCAATGAACGCCAGCGTGACGCCTTCCACATTGATATCATATATCAGCGTATCCAGCGTCAGTAGGTGGAACATGATAAGGTCTAGGCCTTCAACGCCGCCGCCGACTGTTGCTAAAGTGACCAAGTGTAGCGCATATGAAGCGAGGCCGCTACGTTCTTCGATCTCACGCGCTCGCTTGTTGTACCAGTCCGCAATATCGTGGTCTGTGACCGTGGTCAGAGCGGCTGGGGCCTCGCTCTCGGGCGTCGTGTCTTCTGACCAGTTCGAACTCCATATGGATCTATTTGAAAACAAATCGTTTTATTAAGAACTAGAAAGAGTAACGTCGAGAAGAGTCCGCCTAAATTGTGATGATCTTTTTTTGAATTTTTTTGTTAATGGCAGTTTTTTGTTGTGCAAAAAGAGTCTCCGTGTTTTTTTTTAATTTAGTAAAGAAAAGAAAATAAACTATAATAGACAGTTGATCCCTCATAAATCAAATGTAAGCCTTCTAGCTGTCTAAAAGTGACGAAACTGCAACAGCTAAAAACTGAGATAAGAAGATGGTTAAAAAAATATTAACCTGAATATTTCCTTCCTGCACCAATCATGCTCATACTCCGTTGCTTTAACCTTGATAGGAGACTTCTTGTCAAACCAATGTTTGAACGGGTGCTTCGTCGGCAAAAGATGTTGGTATTCCAACGGATTGATTGTCTCTGGCAAGTGCTCCAGTACCGTCAGCTGCATGGCCACAGATTTGATATTTGGCCATAGACAAGTGAGCGCATCTATGCGGCCTTCTTTGGCAATCTCTATGGAACTGTGGACAAGGCTGTGGCTGCGAAGGCGGTCGTACTCGTCTTTCGCGTATGTTGACTTCTCGCTCTTTAGAATCGACTGAAACATTTTTTTTATTATAAATTCCGACGTCTAATCAAGCATTCATGATACTTTATTTGATATTAAATGTGATGCGTACCTCGTATAGCTTCAGGCGTTCTTTATAAAAGAGCATGACGTGGCGACACCTTAGCAACTCACTGGTATAAGAATTAAGATCTTCCAGACGTATATCATCAGGGTCTTTTAGATCATCTTCATCACGATCTTTGTTGATCTCTAAAAATAGAATATTGTATGTAAAGAAGATGCATATAAATTAAATAGGCCAGATATAAGCAGGGAAATGAAGATCGAAGACTTACCATGTAAGATATGTTCATTGGTTAACTCCAAACCAAACTGTAAAAGTTCTTTAGCTGCAGGTAGCGTTTCTGGCAAACGGTCTACACACTGATGGACGGCCCAAATCTTCTTTGATACTTTACTCTAAAAGAACATAGCAACTAATATAGCATAACATTCGATTTCTTCAAATATACTTTAATACTAATGCAATAAAGATGTGATTTCCAAATATAATTTAGCTATAATGATAATAGTCACTTATTGGAAATACGCAAATGAAAAAAGTAAATGGGTGTCTCCTGTATCTATCTAATCTAATTTAATCTGTGAAGATTATAAACTTACCAAATATTTTTGTATGGCATCAGTTGAGACTGGATTCTTCCTCCACTGTTGTTGGTAAACCAGGTCACTGTCCAATTTGAAAGTTTCGGCTAATGTTAGCGCTTCGCTGTAGCTGCCACTTTCGATCTAAAATGATTATTATTAATTGATCAGGAGACAAGGTTCAAACTTAATATAACTTAACTGGAATTATGACCGAGTTAAACCGACCGCACCAAAATAATTTTACAGCTAGCTGGCAGTCTGACGCACAGTGTATTGCAGCCCTTATTAAATCGATTCAAAAGTTCGCGCAGGCGCGCACTGCGATCCAACCCCACCCAGCTCCGATCAGAACACAAAGGTCAATAATCTCGATATGATTTGGTTCATTATTGTACCTATCTCTTGCCACAAGCAAATTGTACACTGTTATTTGCAAAAAAATTGCTCTTTAATACCTTTAATGGACAGTTGACATCAAAACTGCAGAATATGCCACTGTGATTAGTGGCTTTATGTTCCGTTGGATAGACGTAGTTGTGATCACATTTATTTACTTTTTGGTAAAATGTATGTGACTTTATGACACACATTTGAAATTAATCTATAGTTTATAGGTCATTATCCTGTATCCATAATTTTTTCTGACATTAAGATTTTTAAACATTTTCACTCACTTTCCTCGAAAACAACTCAGTGGGCGTGGTGCTTTTGACTCCAAGCAAGCGATAGATCCGTGACACGACCGTGATGCGGCGCGGCTTCGGCTGGAAAGTTTCCATATCCGTGATCGCGTATAACACGGACTTGAGCAACTCCTTGCCCAGCTCGTACATGGAATCGTCGATAGCTTCTTCTATTTTTACCATTTCCATCTAAAAACGTAATTTTATGAAGTGTGGACAAGGACATCCATTCTCAAATGGACAAAGTAATTAATTTTACGAAATAATACAGGGTGGAAACGTTAAGTGATCTCACTCGATTATTTCTAAACTGTATAAGATATCGAAAAACTGATTACTGATCCTGAAAGTGCTTCACGAGCTCTTTCAAATGATATCAGTAATAGATAAAACATTGAATTTTCGGATAGATCCTGTTAATTCTGTAATCTTCAGTAATAGATTACAGAATTAACAGGATCTATCCGAAAATTCAATGTTTTCAGCCTCCATACTCAATGTAGGTATGCTACTATGCCAGCCACACAATATTAGAAGTGTTAATTTTTTTATTTTAAATAATAAACACTTAAAATTAACTCGTAAATTTCATTCTAATTTAAAATTATTCATTAATAATATTTATTTTAGGCTTTACTGACTGTGGCTGTACTAAATGTATGGAAGCTGAAAACATTGAATTTTCGGATAGATCCAGTTTATTTTATAAATTGTTATTGGTACCTCTGGATAGAGCTCGTGAAGCACTTTCAGGATCAGTTACCATTTTTTGGATATATTGTATAGTTTAGAAATAATCGAGTGAGATCACTTATCGTTTCCACCCTGTATACTTTTTCATTATTTAATTTACTTACACTTTCATCACTTCTAGACTTCTTGGCCGGCAGCACATTTGATTCGCATTCTAGAGCCATGAACGCTCCATCGTGTGCGCAAGTTACCTGCAAAAATAAAAACTAAGCTATCACGCGAGACCAATATTACAGGCGGTATTTATTAACTATAGGTAAATACTATCAGTTGCAATCATCATCACCTGGTCATTTAGTCTTCGCTGAAGAAGAAGACTTATTTTCCAGAGGCAAAAGCAGTTATACAACCGCATAACTAGTTACCTATTGCAACTAGTATGCGGTCATGAATTTGTACTTATAATGGCTATCATTCCAAAAGCACAGTCTGTAGAGGCCTTTACTAAATCGATGCGTACACTGCGACTGTACCCCAACACCACTTAATATGCACTTCAATCGTCTTCAGCTCCCTATTTCGTACTCTCTTACTTGTTATTGCCACGTTATTATGAAAAAGAGAGAGATGGAAAGCATCTAATATTTGGAAGTCTCATAAAATGAATGTCAACGTAAAGACTCAACCTTACCTGCGGAGTCCCTTGGAAGAACTCTGGTTTTTTCCCCAGCAAGTTGACCATGTTCTCAATATTGCACACCGTGACGGCGCCGCTGAACCGCGATAATATTATTTCCTGTGAAAAGAAATTTAGGTTCTAATCGCAGCCCATTTATTTACCTATTCCCATTACCGAAACACAATGGTTACACACGAATCATTTACAAATCGGTAAGTGGTTGGTGAAAAAAAAAACTCAGAATCTTCGTTTCTAGGGCTTAGGAGACACAAATGAATATACAATTAAAACTTTCTTTATTTTTATTTCGACGCATTGAACTTTTGACCACCAGTTGTCATGGCGCTATAACATCGAAGCAGCCGCCGTCACATATAGATGTCGCCATCGCCGCCGTGGCAGTGCAGCAGCTTAAGCAGTAGAAGCCGCTATATTGTACGACGTCATCACCCACTCACTCGTCGTTCCACCACTTAACGTCAGCAGCCAGGAACGATGTGGCTTACACTTCGCGTTAGGCGTGTGCTGATACAGCAGGTTTAGAAGCGACAGCCGCCATATTGCCGCAGTGACGTCACACTCACCTCGTTGTTCCACCAGTTGACGTCAGCAGCCAGGAAGGTCGCGGCGTCGCACTTGGCTTGCTTGTCGCTCACGAGCGGGCTGCGCAGGTCGTGCTGCGGCTGCGACGCAAGCGTGTGGTGCCGCCATGTTGCCGCAGTGACGTCACACTCACCTCGTTGCTCCACCAGTTGACGTCAGCAGCCAGGAAGGTCGCGGCGTCGCACTTGGCTTGCTTGTCGCTCACGAGCGGGCTGCGTATATCATGCTGCGGCTGCGACGCGAGCGTGAGGTGCCGCCATGTTGCCGCAGTGACGTCACACTCACCTCGTTGTTCCACCAGTTGACGTCAGCAGCCAGGAAGGTCGCGGCGTCGCACTTGGCTTGCTTGTCGCTCACGAGTAGGCTGTGCAACAACTTGAGGAGTGACAGCCGTCATATTGCCGCAGTGACGTCACACTCACCTCGTTGCTTTTTAGTCCGTAATGTTTAATATCAAAAAATATTGGACACATATATTTTTATTTGTCAATCTAACAAATAATTACATAGTTATGGTGCGTTGAAGTTGCGCACGACGTCACAACGTGCGGCATTTTTAAGCAAGCGTTGACGTCACGGGCCTCTTCTTATGAACTTTGGGGCGCTTTATCTCTTTAAATTTTCATTAGTTTGAAAAAGTGAAAAATACGTGTAGAGTATTTTTTGATAAGTTAACTGACGGACTAATTAAAACTCTTGCTTTTTGACCCAGGCAACATCCCCATTGGATGGCAGCTGCTACCAACCGGACGATGTGGAAATCATTGGGAGGCCTATGTTCAGCAGTGGACGTCCTGTAGCTGAAAAGATGATGACGAGCGCACTGTTACGCGGGAAATTGAATTTAAGTTTAAAAAAATATATTGAAATTGAGTTAATCCGAAACAACCGCCTTGTATGAGGAGAGTCAGGCACGGACTGGCGAATGGAAAGGCCTAGGGACAGAGCCTGGATACCAAACTGCTAACTTGGCGCGATGGGTAGCCAGGGCAGCAATAAGGAATGCATGCATAGGATATAACAGCACGTACCAGGTGCTTGGCCGACACGAAGGGGACGTAGACCTGGAAGCGCTGGTTGGCCAGACGCGCCTCCAGCTGGTCGCACACCACGCTCAGCTTGTAGAACGGCTCGTCGTTGAGGATCCGCCATGCTGTGATGCCCGCGCTGAGAGGCGACGATGGGTCCTGGGGACATCATCATCAAGTCATTAAATCTCCACAGCAGGGTTATGATGACTCTAACACCATTCATTCATTCACAAACGATACTTGCTTAAGTCAAGCAGCAACGCTATGCGAAGTCGAACGCACAGTGTTGATTAGGGCTCTGTGATTGTTTCGCACTCACTCAAGTATTGTCTATGAATAGGTTTTTGGAACCCTGTGCCTCCATGCACACTGTGAGACCTCATAGTAATGTTTGTGAATACGGGTGTAATTCACCAGAGGCAGATGGAGGATTTGGCCTACATTCCCTAATCCTCATGCTATACCGCTGGCCAGGGTTGAGGAGGCATCAATGCTGAGTATCCATATAATCTCTAAGTAGAAGGCCTTGGTATGTCTTGATCATCTAGTCATCTATTTCAAAGGCGGAAGCGTAAATTACAAAATTTTATTCAATGAAAGCTATTTTTCCACTATTGAGTAAAACTCGCAATAAGTTTCAGAAAATCTTTCGAAAAATTGCAGGATCACGTACGCGGATCTAAGTTGTCGGTTGAGTTCGTAGACCGTCGCCAAGTGTGAACTGTATTTCTTTAATTTACTACAAAAGCTTTTCAATTATTGATAGCATAAATCGTTAGCAATCAGAATCCTAGAGATATAACTGAAATTGTCACTCTATTCTAAGTTCTAAGTAAAACTTCAAAATGGTTGTCTCCATTACACGTTNCACCTCGTTGCTCCACCAGTTGACGTCAGCCGCCAGGAAGGTGGCGGCGTCGCACTTGGCTTGCTTGTCGCTCACGAGCGGGCTGCGCAGGTCGTGTTGTGGCTGAGACGCGAGCGGGTGCCGGTGCAATAGCTTGAGCAGCGACAGCCGCCATATTGCCGCAGTGACGTCACACTCACCTCGTTGCTCCACCAGTTGACGTCAGCCGCCAGGAAGGTGGCGGCGTCGCACTTGGCTTGCTTGTCGCTCACGAGCGGGCTGCGCAGGTCGTGTTGTGGCTGAGACGCGAGCGGGTGCCGGTGCAATAGCTTGAGCAGCGACAGCCGCCATATTGCCGCAGTGACGTCACACTCACCTCGTTGCTCCACCAGTTGACGTCAGCCGCCAGGAAGGTGGCGGTGTCGCACTTGGCTTGCTTGTCGCTCACCAGCGGGCTGCGCAAGTCGTGTTGTGGTTGTGACGCAAGCGGGTGCCGGTGCAATAACTTGAGGAGCGGCAGCCGCCATATTGACACGTCGCCGTTGCAGTGCAGGCAGACGAGGCGGCTGGCGTCGGGCGACAGCACCATTTGGACTATGAAGGCCTGGAAAAAAGGATTTACTTAATTGAATATAGTGGACACAGTAGGTACTATAATAAAATTACATATAGGGAAAAGAGAAGTAAACGAGATCGCGCAGGGAACTGTATCCGCCTGTACCACCGATTTGGACCCCTAGAAGTGACTACTACAGCACTGCCAAAAGCGAAACGATAGAGAAGTGTCGCTATAAGAATCTAAATGTAAAGCCTTTATCAAACTCAAACAAAATCATTGTTGTATCCCAGCAGTTGAAAGTAAAATGGCCTATTCCTTTGTGGTTGAGGATTCTGTTGAAGCTCGCTTCCGCCCACGGTCTGATCATCACTTTCCATCAGGTAAGATGCAGGCTAAGCTTCCTCGTTATGGACAAAAAATTGTTCAATACCATCGAGCGGACGTCGAAGAAAGGTAGCAGGGAAGGAGCTGGATGCAGGCCGATGTGGAAATCATTTGGAGGCCTATGTTCAGCAGTGGACGTCCTGTGGCTGCACCGACCTAGTGCCGTACTGCTTGCGCTGAGCCGAATGCCCTTATCACCTTGTTTTTAGTATTTGAGTTGTTATCTTTTTTGTTTTGGTGACAATGAGGGCTTTTTTACCGCCCGCGTACCGGAAGGCGCAGCGTGAGACGTCCACCTACAAGGTGGACCGAGGACATCGTAAAGGTAGCAGGGAAGCGCTGGACGCAGGCCGCTACGATTGGTAGCGATCAACGTGGAAAGCATTAGAGGAGGCTTATGTTCAGCAGTGGACGTCCTATAGTTGACATGATGATGATGATGATGATGATGAGGGCTTTTTTAGTGATGATGATGAATCGGACCAACCGGGCAACATGGAAAGCATTGGGGGCGGCCTATGTTCAGCAGTGGACGTCCTATGGCTGAGATGATGAGGATGAAGATGATGATGATCGGACGTACCAGGTGCTTGGCCGACACGAAGGGTATGTAGACCTGGAAGCGCTGGTTGGCCAGACGCGCCTCCAGCTGGTCGCACACCACGCTCAGCTTGTAGAACGGCTCGTCGTTGAGGATGCATCACGTGATGCCCGCGCTAAGAGGGATGGCATACTCTCTACAGTGATCCATCGAGTGCACGTACCAGGTGCTTGGCCGACACGAAGGGTATGTAGACCTGGAAGCGCTGGTTGGCCAGACGCGCCTCCAGCTGGTCGCACACCACGCTCAGCTTGTAGAACGGCTCGTCGTTCAGGATGCGCCATGCTGTGATGCCCGCGCTGAGAGGCGATGATGGGTCCTGGGGACATCATCATCAAGTCATTAAATCTCCACAGCAGGGTTATGACTCTAACACCATTCATTCATTCACAAACGATACTTGCTTAAGTCAAGCAGCAACGCTATGCGAATTCGAACGCACAGTGTTGATTAGGGCTCTGTGATTGTTTCGCACTCACTCAAGTATTGTCTATGAATAGGTTTTTGGAACCCTGTGCCTCCATGCACACTGTGAGACCTCATAGTAATGTTTGTGATTCACCAGAGGCAGATGGAGGATTTGGCCTACAATCCTTAATCTCCATGCTATATCGCTGGCCAGGGTTGAGGAGGCATATCAATGCTGAGTATCCATATGATACATCTCTTAGTAGAAGGCCTTGGTATGTCTTGATCATCTAGTCATCTAAGTATTTCAAACACGGAAGCGTAAATTCCAAAAAAATATTAAATGAAAGTTAATTTTCAACAATCGTGTAAGACTCGCAATAAGTTTCAGAAAATCTTTCGAAAAATTGCAGGATCACGTACGCGGATCTAAGTTGTCGGTTGAGTTCGTAGACTGTCGCCAAGTGTGAACTGTATTTCTTTAATTTACTACAAAAGCTTTTCAATTATTGATAGCATAAATCGTTAGCAATCAGAATCCTAGAGATATAACTGTTGTCACTCTATTCTAAGTTCTATCTAAGTAAAACTTCAAAATGGCTGTATCCAATACACGTTATCGATCGACAAATCTATTCATAGCTCACCTTCCCAGGCCCGCGAGGCAAGCCTGCTACGTAGAGCGTCGAATGTAGTGCGCAGTACGTCACCGCGCCGACCCCGCCCGCGAATCGGAAGGTGTGGTGCAGCTTGAAGCCGTCGGTCTGAGAGACCAAGTACCCGCGCAGGCGCCCGTCATATGTCACTACTAGCACCTCCCAGCTCCTAGACAAAGAACAATATAAAGCACATACGAGATAACAAAGGATTCGGTTACTATCGAAATTGAACTCACCATTTGTTGTCCTTCACCCGTAAAGGCATAAATATAACATCAGCAACTGCATGGGTGTTGTCAGTGCACTCCAACCCGCCCGGCCGGTTGCAGTCCTGAAATTATTATCATGTTGAAAACTTATCCGTAAAATATTATTATTGAAAACCAGTCTGCAAAAAAGGTTCAGATATTGGGCCCCACCCCATTAGCAACTGTTGTCGGCTGGTCGGAATAAAGTCTATTTAATTCTTCAAGGTTCAAAGTTAATAATTTCTTGCTTCGAAACCCATTCTCTACATATGGTTATACCTATGGTTACCAAGGGACCCCGCCCTCTAATGGTGGCGCCGCGTCTGCCTAGATAGGCATACATAATAGCCACGGATCGATAGGGATCAATGCAAGACAAAGAGTGCCACGCCCTTTAGTTTCCGGGTGGACCGGCCATTTTGAATTTTCTCGCCAAAAACGGCTCATAAAAGCAGGTTTGAGGACTAGAGTTAAAGAATTAAAAAGAGCTACGAATGAAAATGATCTGAAAAGTACACTTCTTAATTGGAGGTGAGGCACTTACAGCAGGTATGTTGAACAGGTTCGATGCAGTGAGGTCGTAGAAGCTGACGATTCCATTCCCGTAAGCGACAACCACGAACGAGCAGTCGGGGCTCCAGACCAACTTGCGCCATTGCGAGTACGCATCGCGACTTACTAAAACAAGACGTGATGTTGAAACTCAAAGAAAAAGTCTTTGAAGTCGGTATTGTAACTTGTAGACAAAGAACTATCCTCCTACCAAAGTCTTTGTCTCGAACAAGTCGCCGTTCACGAACTGACTAGCTACCCACTCGAAATCTGGTAGAAACGTAACCGATCGCGTAATTTCAAATGTATGTACAGTCAACCGCGCAATCGAAAACTATTTTTCACATTTCAGTTACATGTGGATCAAAAGTAATGACTGCCATTAATTTATGCGACCGGGGCCATGACGCGTCGTAACTCACCGGCGGCACTAAAACGGATGGGGCTGCAGGCTGCAATCAATATTGCACCTGCAAGTCTGTCTGGAAATTTCCCCCCTCCCCTCGTCTAAGTAGACGAACATCGACGCGTATTTTTTTTTGTATCAGTTCGCGCATGCGGCCGGGAATCAGGACATCAAGGGAAGGGGGAGCGTCTGCCACTTTAGCTAGGGTTGGCACTATAGACACTATTTATGGAATAACACTGAATGTGCAACATTACAAAAATAAATTAAATTTAAATAGAGTTGAATAGAAATAAAGACAAACCTGTAGTCCTAGCAGCGATTGTGGCATATTCAGACCTCTTTGTTCTGATCTCTAATATATTATCGGTTAAAACGGCTATCACTTTGCCCTCATCCCCGAGAGCAATGTGCCATTTTTGTTGACGCTCTTTATGACTAAAATATAAAGAGTAAGTTAAAAAATCTAGCAGTCTAAGACACATAAATAAATATAGAAACAATACTAACGCTGTAACACTATCGATAAGGCTTTTCTTAGGCCCGAAGAACTTCAGCCAACGCCATAGTGCTGAGATATTTTCTGGCAAAAGACTATCTGGTTTTTGCTGAAATTAAATTAGACACATAATTACACTAAAACTTACATGTTAAATTCGCACTGGCACGACAGCAATTTAAAAATTGCGACTATCACGCCCAAACTACCACCGGCGTAGCGGTTGTCGGCACATTTACCCCCTCCTCACTCCCCCCACAGGGATCTGTCTAGCCTGTGCATCTAGTGCTCACTTATCTGTCGCCCACGCACACATTCGCGCAGCTGCTACCCACACAAGTATTCCCACCGCGCCCTTCTCTCGCACATCCGTTTCCACTGCGCCCATTGCCCGCGCATCCATTCCACCACACCCTTTTTCTCGCGCATCCATTCTCGCGCAGCTAACTTCAGCTCAACCATTCGCTATGCTTCCATTCCCTACACAAAGGGCTGCCATTTTGGATTTCAGCTATTTGCCCGATATTGAGATACGTCTGGGCAGACCCGAAATGGAGTCTTTTGAGCCAAATAAGGCCAATAATTTTACAGTTGCATCTTTAGAATGAAAGGTAGGAATATTATGGGGAGGCTTAAGTTTAGCAGAAAACCTTCGATATAGACAATGTTCATATTGGATGATTGAGGGAATCACCATCATCTAATCAACCTATGCTTTTTATTGCATTAGTTTACATGACTGGCTCAATTCAAAAATAAATATTTAGAGATTATAATCATTTATAACTATAAAAATAATCTCAATAAGTAGATTCCACAAATTGACGGTCTTTAACAGCTCAAACATAGCTAATTCTTTTAATATAGGAATAACCAGTTTTTTTCCCGAACTATCCGTACACTTGCAAAGGTTGTCCCCGAAGATTGAAAACACATACTATTTCTCATAATATTAACAACTTGCATAAAGAAAGCTCTTACATTATCAAGCATGTAGTTTTCTATTACCAGACGACACTAATATTCTCAAATAAATTAATTTTAAGTTGAGTAATGCAAGGCGCATAATGCAACTGCACGCCGGTCAACAATGGCAGGTATTAACAGTGTATTAATCATAGGAAAATATTGAGAAAACTCACCAGGTACTCAGGCTCCGGCTTCCACTCCGAAAACACATACAGCTCGTGAAGAATTGACTTTGTTTCCTCCATGGCGAGCAGGCGCCGACACGGGCCGAACGCAGCTTCAAGCAACAAGCTCTCGGCAAAATCAATAACCGGAGCTTGGGTACAGGTAATCTAGATGTTGGTAATATGTAAGCACTAAATCAATACTGTATTTTCCAACTAGATGTTTTTTTTCGTTGGTGCATCGTATTCACTCACACTGTCTGGTGCTATCGATCCATATGTTTTTGACAATTGTAGTGAGGTATACAATTAAAGGCAGTGTCATCATATCGAAAGAAATTATTCTAGAACATAAATTTTATTGAGCTGTGCCGTAGTGGTTACTTGCTCAATGCAATGAATTTTCCTAAGTTACAAAACGTGACAGTAGTAATTCTAAATCGCTTCATGGAGCGTTGTGTAGTAAAGTAGTAAATACATATTTACATACAAGAAATGCCGGAATGATGGGTGGGGTTTCGAAATTATAACTGTCACGTTTTGCCACTACATACAATACACTTCTTGTCGTTGGGCTATACTACTCGTTCAGTTTGATGCATGGAGAAAAAGTTGTTTCGATAAAGGAAATAACATACTTTGCACATCACTAGTTTCAAATGTCAAAATCATCCTACGTTGACTATCGTTCAGAAATTAAGTTGTGAGATATTCATGTTAAAATAATTCGAACGTTAAATTAGGAAATAAATTATTTTACTTCTAATCGAAAGTTATTGTTTTCTAGCTTTTCGTAATTAATCACATCATGTTAGGTAGGTAAATAACAATTAACGTACTGTCTTCGCTCATGGACGGATGAACTCACAGATGGTCTAATGCTCTAATCCATACTCCTCTAATCCATATCTGTGCTATACTCTAATCCTTATCTGTGGACTAATGTCAATAATGTCATTTTTGACAGTTTCATTTGGAGAATCTCAGACACAGATATGGATTAGAGATCTNAGAATCTCAGAGAATTTGTTGATCGGTCGGTCCATTTACAAAATTACAGTTTTACATTACAATTTCTAACTGAACATACATTTTGGTAATAAATCTTGATATGGACATCCTTCAGAACATCTACACTAAGGTAACATTAAGCCTGGTTGGTCTTGTTTCATTTTGTGTTCTTACAATTTTAATAAGATTTTATTACCCACCACTTCACAGAGTGTATCTGAAAATGAGAGGAATTTGGGATTTTGGGAAGATTACTTGAAGAAACTTAAGTCCCTTGACTTCAATCAGTATGCCGAAAAGCTGACTGTTCCGATATTAGTTCCTGTTGGGAACAGGATCTTGTTCAGAGGCGAGTTGAAGCACACCAATGAGGTTACAGTGGCGATGGGAGCGAATTACTTCGCTAAATGTTCTATCGCTCAAGCAGAAATACTGAAGCAGCATAGAATTAAAGGTAAGTCAAATATTTACTTATTCATTTATTGCTGCTCATGCACTGTTGATAGACCATACCTGATATGCCTGCCTTACTTTAACTCTAAAATGGAGTTCATAACATCCAAACTCCAGTACCAATTTGTTTATTGTATATTAATTCCTTATTTTCACTCTTTTCCAGATGCCCAATCCAAAGTAGATCTGTACAGAAAAGAAAAAGACTTCTTGGATAATCAATTAATATTCAGAAAACAGAACATATTGGACACAATAGGCCAAGAAATTGTAGAGGAGTACACTGAAGAAGAAGAAAGAAAGTGGAAGATAAAGCACAGGGAAAATGTAAGACAGTATAAGAAGCAGTCTAAGAATAAAAATCAAGAGGAAACGGAAGGTATAACTGATGAGGAGCTGTGGAACAGGCTTGAAGAACTGGAATTGCAAGAGGAATTAGAGAACGAGCTTATGACTATGGATAAACAACATGAGAGTAAACAAATTGACAAACCACCAGACACATTCATAAAAGAAGAGGAATTCAGTGATCCAGCTATAAAAGAGAATAAACAAACAAAAACTGAAAGTAATCCAACGCAGTCAAAGTTAGATCTGCTACAGAAAGTCATTGATAGGCAAAATGAGCTGGAGGAAAAATTACAAGAACTTAAATACAAAGAAAGGAGCACAAGCAAAACTGAAAATGACCTGATTTCTAGGCTAGATGAAATGGAGCAGCTTGATGAGCTTGAAGATGAAATGGACAGGTATGGTCATTAGTTATTAGTTAAAAATTAAAATTTATAAATTATCTTTTTTTTTTTTTGTTTTTTATGTTACATTGTGAAAATTTTTTTATCTTTATCACTTAGGATAATTAATACCATATGATGGTTGCAGGTTAAATGACATCATTGAAGATCAGGATGTGGAGTATGAGGAGGAAGAAGAAGATAATGATCAAATTGTTAAGTCACCAGCTAAATCAATCAAACGCAGTGTTTCCTTTGCTGATGAAGATGACAGTGAAACTTTGGAGGTCACATTCACACACAGTGATGTACCACCATCTTTAGAACCTTATGACTCAAACAGGGGAATACAGAAGCCCAGTGACATTTACAGTGCATATGAACAACTGTTTAACAGTGAAACAACATCCATTCTTAAAAAGAATAAATACACCGATAATGGAATCAGAGAGATATCCAATGTGAAAACTGAAAAGCCACCAAAAGTAACATTCATGCAAACTGAAGATGATGATGCTGAACAGAGTAATGATCGAACAATAGTTGTTGGCGACATAGTAGAGAGGATAGATCAAAATGGAAATATGATAGAAAATACGGCGGCAAGGCCGACAAGTCTTTTTAAAAAGAAGAGAATGCAAAAATCTAATAAATAAATGAAAAATGTAAAAGTATGAAGAGTTTTTTTCATTTGTAGAATTTAGTATCCAATTTATTATTATTAACACACAGAACAGAACATTAGGTTACTACTTGTACCATTTGAGTTGAAAGAACTTCGCCCGAGTTATTATGTGCCATCTCCATGATGCTAAACTCGAAGTCAAAAAATATTTAGACTGACCGTTTACTTTCTTTGCTCTGTGGTCGTTGCTGTTAAAAATTTAAGAAAACAAATGTCAAAAAATATTGTCTATGTTTTTGAGGTTATAATTTCAGCGAGATACTGTTTTGATTTTTTATATTCTAAACAGAAGTTCTGAATAAAATGCTGTCGCGTAGTTGGAGGCATTTATGCCGACGATACTCCCAAGCAAGTACATTTCGGACGAGTGAAGCTTCTCCAGTTAGTAGTTTATTGGTTCAGATATTTTACTTGAGTAACTTTTCTGTACTTATTTCTTAGATAAATTTTCTTCTTTCTATCATTAAGATCATACACACAATTTATGTTTTCAGTCACAGCAAAATGAGAAACAAGTTGGTCTTTTCTACACCATGAATAAAGATACATGTAAACAATTGTTCAGCCAAGGCGGTTTCCCCAAGAGTTTCCAAAAACAGAGCAAGACATTCACAGAGACCGCTATTATGATCCGGCAACCCGCTCTGGACCTCATAAATTGCATAAAGTCTTCAGATTTGGACAAACCAGCCATCCGTTATGTGCTTTGTATCCTTTTGAAAAAAAAAATAATCTCAAACTCATATTCATAATCAATTATAAAAATATTAGATGCTATATGAATTTAAATAGGTATTTATTGCTTCTTATTTTTGCAAAATATTGTGGCAAACAAGTGAAATAAATGCTTGTAAATTACAACTTGATAATTAAATTCCTTAGCAAATATTCAGATGGTGAAAAAGGTACTGGCAAGTCTCTCACTATGGCACACCTTCTGCATTACGCCCATGAGGATGGTTATTTGATAGTGCATGTTCCATGGGGTAAGCATAACAATGAGGGCTATCGTTTTAGCGCTCACCAGTTAGCGCCACTGTAGAGTAAGGTCCTGTCACTTGCTAGTAGCGAAGACAGTGGCACCAACTGGTGAGCGCTAAAGTGGTAGGAGGACTATCGCATTTGCACTCATCAAGATGGCGCCACTGTAGAGTAAGGTCCTGTCAATCGCCAGGGGTGCCAACTGTTAAGTATAAAAACGATAGCCCTCATTGGCTTAGCTAGTTGATGTTAATTATGTCTCTTTTATAAACTCTTAAGTCTAACTCTAAGTAAATGGCTTAAATTATTATTTATAGTATTTAGGTACTTTGTTATTTAATTAATTGTTATGTGTATTGTGTCAGCTGGTCTCTCTCTCTATGTCATTGATCATAATATGATACATAATGCAAGTTTTTCCTAATGTGTATGTTAGGGTCCTAACGAATATTAGTATAAATAAAATAGTGGACTGTATAAAAATAGGTGCTGTATTCTCGCCAGCCTAATTTACAAGAAAACTATCTTAGACTACGCGGTATTTGTGCGACGACGGTGGTGTCCCAAAGGCGAGTGTTTGACCCGAGCGCAGCCGATGATGACGCTGTCGGCCCGAGGTGACGTTAGTCATTGTACGCCGCCCGCACGTCTCCTCCCGCGCGTTGTTGGGTTCCCAACAGTGTACATTTAAATTATTGCATTATTTATGTACTTCGTTATTTTACTACTTTACTAATTCCTCAGTGTCAGAGTGGCTGAGAAGGCTGCCCAGGAGCAAAGAGATGTCCAACTCCCAAACACATGAGGGCCTTGTTGACCTGCCGCTTGATGCAGCATCCTGGCTGCTTCACTTCAAAGGACAGAATCAGCATATCCTGAAGACTGGTGATGTAAGTTGAGATAATAACATTTATATTTAATTTTTGTTCTTGTCATTTTCAGTATCATCATCTTTGACCAAAATATAAAAACAATTGTCTTCTGCATCTGCTTTTCAAGGGTAGTGCTGCTATTAAACAGGTTTTTCTCAATGTTTCAGCTCAAAATTTCCAAGGACTATGTTTGGAGTAAACGAGAAACAACGGCAGCAGGTTCACCTCTAGCCCAGCTGGTGGAACACGGCATAAACCGCGTGAAATACGCTTGTGACGTCATTGATGCACTGGTCCATGAGATCAAGATTCTATCAAATAACAAACTGTAAGTAAAAAGTTAGTTACCAAAGATAGAAAGCCTAAATAGGTGATTTATGGTATGTGATGAAAAACACTTATCTTCTATTTATTACAGATGCAAGACCTTTGTGGCTATAGATGGGTTCAACAGCTTTTTTTACCCCTTGACTAGACTGAGCACTCCCACCAAAAAGAAGGTCAAGCCAGAAGAAGTAACTCTCACCACATCCTTCATGGAACTTACAAAGAATGACTGGGTAAGTTTATTGATCATATTGACCATATTGATTTCAAATTCAAATATTTATTTCAATAGCAACTATAAAGCATTACTATTATTAGGATCTACTTTTCAAGAGCAGTCTTTATATTACATAGAAAACCATTTCCAATGTTTCAGACAAATGGAGTTATATTGCTGACTGCAGACCAACTTGCTGTACCTGATGACCACCAGGAAAGCTACTTCCCAAGATATCTATTATACAAAAAGGTATGTCAACTGCAATATTTCGTGTGATGATTGTAGTGTTATAAAACTATTTTAATTATTATCTTTATAATTTGTATTTAATAACATTTCTGTTTTACAGGGCTTTGAACATCTGGACCCCTTTGTGCCTGTTGAAGTGGGAAGATACAATGACAAAGAATTCCTGACTTGTGTCAGCTACTACAGAGACCGCCTGTGGCTGCGTGGCCCACCAGAAATAGACTCCGAACTGAAGTTCACTAGTGCTTGCAATCCCTATAGGTTCATGGAACAGTGTGCCCCATTGTAATATAATTTATTAGCTGTTTAGTTTGTATCTATAAAACATTATAATAATTAATTAATTAAAATACTGTTTTAATTCTACTATCCCCTAATTTTGTGTATGTCAATCTAGACAACAGTATCATTTTTAAGTTATTTAGACATGAAAAATAATAGTCAGGATATAGGTTTTGCTGATTTATTTCATTTGACTGATTATATCTACAAATTAACACTTAAAAATATCTAAACATCATAGCCGACAAGGTGGCGCTTGCCGATGCATTCTCCAACATAGAACCAGAACAGCACCTCGGCGCCGACTAGGGCGTTTAGGCTGGCCTGCTTCACTGTCTGTTGCTTCCAGGCTCCAGTCTTGGCGCTCGACATCAGCTTGCCAATACCGGCCTTGATTTGTGGGATCTCGCTCAGCTTGGGTGGAGCCAGTTCAACTCTCGCATACTTCATAAAGATGTTGAATTTGGGGCGGGCCTGGGCTAACGCCGCTGAAAAAGAAAGGACATTAGATTCTAACCTTAAAAAGTTCGATAATGTCACTATTCAACATTGAACGGGATTGAAGGTAGGAAAATATTTTAACTAAGTAAGATGTACACTTTAAAGGAACACAATACATTAATATGATGAAGAAATAACTTTTCAATATGATTTTCGGAATATTTTTCTAATTACATAATCCACCAGAATAATAAACATTAATGTATGAAGAAATGTGTATAACATTGGGGTATACGTACAGTTTATGAGAGCCGGTATTTTAGCTGCTGCGGCCATCGTAATCAATAAATAATCAGAACAAATGAATATAATCTAGCCCCAAATCCACTAATTTTGGAATGAAATTAAATTTGATTTTGACGTAATACACACCACAGACAAGATAGAGTACGGGTCAAAGTGGAGATCTGTCAAAAAAAATCAGTGCGTTTTCATACCACATCGCTTTGATATCTTTTTATAGTTCCAAAATACTGGACTGTCCTGTCGATGACATTGACAGTGGGGCGCCACCGTCAATACCGGATCGCTGGTTCAGATTTTTGCCATGTTGGAAACCATATAGTTGAGCGATGGTAGCGCCCCCTGTCATTGAGTTTGGTGGGACAGTTCAGCGTGGGTCAGCTATATCTTTATTTTCATGATATTTTATGAGTGGCAACATTGTTTGCTACGTCGATCACTTCTGTCAATTTGTCAAAAAAAGGAAACCGGCCGCAGTCGGATTTATTAATTTTCAATGTTTTTTATGGCTAATTATTAAGGATATTGCTTAAATAAGATTTGTGTATTTAAGATCAGACTCGTCTCTGATCAACGGAATTAAAAAGATGCATTTAAATAGTGAGTATTTATATGAATTTTGACCGTAAACATAGGCTTTGGCGTGGTGATCATTTTATCAGCGTATTTTTGCCTTTCTAGTTTGAAAAATGCTACTGGTGTACGAGAATGAGTCTTTTTTCGTACATAGGTATTATAAAGCTAAATAAGATTGTCAAATGTTAACATTAAAACAATGAATTGCTTGGGACACGTCAGTCTATTGATTGTCGCGTCGCCGGCCTATGTAATGCGTGCTTTAGGTTAGAAGCATCTTCAGAATAAGACTACAATCCTCTTAATTATTCATAACAGCAGTTTCAATCATATATAGCAGGAAAAATCTGTGTTACCAATGTCTATCACAGATAATCTATGTTATTGTTTTCCAGCATTCAGCATTTTAGTGTTATGCCTAGTTGGCTGGAGCAGTGCTAACACCCTCCAAGGCTCAATAGACTTGAAGCGGATCCAGTCTATCCTCCAAGAGGGCCTCAAAAACAAGGATGTTGCGTCACTGTACTACTCTATCAAGGGTTTGAAAGATCTCAAAGTACCAATCCCTGATGTTTGCCAGGTAATTAATTTATATAAACACAGACATGTTAATCTCGTAACACCCCTCTCTTTTTGAGTAGAGGGTTAAAAAACAAAAAAATTAAAAGTATTTTTATTGATTGATTTATAAACTTGATACATATTCTTATTAGAAATACCTTCCCAGTTAGAGTTTTAGATAATCATGAATAAGTAACAAGTGTTTTGACCAGTAATGGCAATAATTAATGTTATTTTCATATTTTTCATCCCAATATTAATTTCTCTATTTGCAGGACATCAAAAATGCCAAATATGATTCCAAAAACATTGAGCAAGTGTTCTACCTGGCCAGTGCCGCGGCCCTCTCAGGCTGTCAGAACTCCTTATCTCCGGATCTCCTCCGGCCGCCGTCGCAGGTGCTAGACAAGAAAGACGCAACCATCCAGGAGCTGTATTATGCTGTGTACACACTAAAGGCTCTCGGCAAGGGCAGCGTTTACGACAAAGAAGACAGCCTCAAGAATCTCATCCAACTGTTGAAGAAGGATGACTCTCCTGCTAAGTAAGTGTTATAAAACTCCTGCATGTTGCTAAATGTGTAATTTATTACACTTTTATCAGCTTGCCTTGGTTATAAAATTATATTCCACAAGTTTGAACTGTATTCTTTTAGCAGTAAATTCAAATTGGTTTGCAGATAAGAAAGCACTAAGCAGTAGTACTCATTAAGTGTAGAAACTAGTAAATAGATAATAATAATATAGTTTTAGGTAGCTTAGTTAGAATTTTTATCATTTTAATTTATTAGGTAATTCAGGTACAGAATAATAAAACTATACAATAGGTGGTACCTATGTAAAGTATAGTAGGTAAAATTCCTTATGTTTTACAGCTTTCAAAATAGTGTAACTACCAGGACCAGTGTTGTTCATAATGTATGTCGATTTTTGACAGTATTATCTCTTGCTGACCTATTGTATGCTGTCCCATATAAATAAAAAGTGTTCCTGACATTTGAAATAGAGAAACATGGGTCTCAACCGCCAGTCTGCTTGTGACAACGTCAAGCCATGAGTACATTATGTAACTCATACATAAATTATGCTTTGTGACCCATGTTTCACTATTTTAATTGAAATGGAACGTGAAAGATTACAATCTTATTAATCTTGGCACCTGCAATACAAGTGTTAGCTTAGAACAGACGCCGCTAAAAATGTTTGGTCTGTACTTGTGGCGACATCTATCGACACGCCACTACAGTCATCAACCAACAGATGGTGCTGACACCTACCTTACTATGGCACACGTCATCGCGCCTACAAACCTGCATCGCGGTGGCAGAGTTCTCAGCTTAACTGAGTATAGAAAACCGAGATGGTAAATAACCACACCCGTTCGGAAGGAAGCACTACACCTTAGCTTCCTTATTCTAGTATCTCCATATCCCACATACTACTTCTTAGAAATAAAGCTATTATTTACTTATTAATTTTGACATAATCTTCCTCAGCTACGGCTACGTGTTCGCCCTGTGCGAGCACATGGGCTGCACGGCGTGGACGGCGAGCCACGCTGAAGGCGTGCTGCTGGCAGCTGATGAGAGCGACTCGCGCGCGCTGCACTTCGACGGCGGCCTGCCCGTTACATCCATGCTGCTGTCTACTATCACCAGGTAACTTAAATACTATGCAGTCTGTTTTGTAACAAAAATGCAGTCTGATGTGCTGTCAACTATACTTAGAATAAGACTAATTTTACACTTAGTAAAAATAAATATTTGAAATACCATGCAAGCACATAGCCTGCAGTGAGCATGATGGATATGCCCTAATAAGAAGGTCAAGTCACACTTTTACAGCTTGGTATTATTGAGATTAAAAGGCTCATTGTAATTTAAGTAAGCACACACTTGAGCGCCTTTCCAGAGGCTGTGATGTAGTCACTACCTTTTTTGAGAGCTGGATTCGCGCCTAGCTAGAATTACAGTCCTGGGTATGCCACAATACAATTCACAGACACTTTTCTGTGATGTACGGACGTCGGCACAACATGTTAAACGATGTAGGATCTTGTGAGCTTGTAATAAGAACAAGTTTGCTTTGCTGTTACACTCCCATGTGTCTCGCAGGTCGTACAAGCAGCAAAAGAAGGCGTCCCCTCTGAACCCTGAGCAGAAGTTGAAGTTCGCTGAATACGTGCTGTCGCGCCGCTCGGTGACGTCACCGCGAGGCGCTGCGCTACTGTTGGATGCCGCCACCGCACTCGCTGACGACCAGGTTAGAGCGAGCTTAAGCTGTATTCCTCTTTGTAGCGTGAGTTTTGAATAACTGTAGGCTTCAAAATGATCTCGATGATTCTAACACACCTATTTTGATAGTATCTGATAGTTTATCTATGAGTATAACAAGTTCCATTGATTGCTTTTTCAAAAGTCAGTTCATTTCCCATCTCTTAGAACTTGTTTGTCTTGGTATTCCTCTGTCATTGAACTCATCATTATTAAATAATGTAGCACCAACTGATTCATCACGAACCCAGCAGTAAAATAAACTAACTATACTCAACAGCCCACCCCCATCAGCATCGTGATCAAAGGCAAAAAATACGTCACATCTGACTCCGATTCAATCGAGTTCGCCGTCACCGACTTACTAGGACGTCCTGTACCCGGCCTCAAGCCTGAAGACGTGGTCGCTCAATCCGGAACCCGCCTCGCCGATGACGTCGTAGTCCTCTCAAAACAACCGCTGACTCAAAAACCCAACGAGCCCACGACTTTCGTCCTTAACCTCAGCAAGATTAAGGCCCAATACGGCATGTACAAGATCGCGCTGAGCGCTGGAGGCAAGACGGCCAATGTGAATATTGCTGTGTTGGGCGAGGTCCAGGTTTCCAGTATCGAGGTGGGAATCGGCGATGTTGACGGCACTACCAGCCCCAAAGTCACCACTGTGACCTACCCCAACAAGCTTACGGAGAAGCTGCAGGCTGATCATTTGCAAAAGTAAGTGTTAGTTCTTATTATGAAATGGGTTTTTATAAATTTTTTTTTGGTCATAAGATTTTGTTAATCATAGCATATTCTTTTCTATAAAAATTAGAACTTGAGCACTTTGCTATGGCAACTAAATAGCAAATAAACAATTTACTTTGATACTTTCATCATCAATTCATCACTATTCTATAGGAGCTCACTGCTAGACATAATTCTTACGCCATTTTTCCGCGTATCCAGCTTCTGCCCACCGCCAGTACCGCCACGCTAAGGTGAGTCTACGAGAAAAGAAAGTCTAGAAATCTCAATGATGATAATATCGACACACCCAAAAGGTTTATACATACTTATTCGCACTGTTAGAGTAGCCGCACACGGTTGATTTTTAGTTGGCCGATAGTTGTGCCCGATTTTAAATTGTATGAAGAATCGGCCAAATCGAATCGGCGTAGTGTGCGCACTCCCATACATTCCCATACTGATCAACTGCCTGACTAAACTATCGGCCGACGAAAAATCAACGGTGTGCGCCTACTCTAAGTGTGTACTCGTACTATTCAGGGTGACGCTGAAGTTCTCCGTGCGCGACAAGTGGAACAAGGCGGTGACGGTGCAGCAGGCCTTTGTCCGCGTGGGCGGCGCGCGGGACGAGACCATCTTCGTGGCCGAGCCCGACAACGCCAAGGCGTACAAAGTCGAGCTGGTGAGAACAACTGATAATCTACATAATGTTCCTCTGATTAATTTCGTTGCGGGTCCAATGACAGTTTAACTTTCCCCCGGGACAAACTTGACCTTCATTGGTTGGGTTTTTGTGGAGGTCAGCGGTGGGAACGAGAGGTGGAATTAGTTTATAATCTACATAATTACTTGCAATATCTCCAAGTGGTACTGACTGCAAAGTGAGTCAACAAGGCCGATAGTGGATGGTGACCGCAGTTACATCTCAACTTGCCATCTCAAAGAAACGCCCGTATTCACAAACGATGCTTGCTTATGTGACATGCTTTAGCCGGGTCGCCAGCGCGTGTTTTGCCCTACACAATCAACAGAAACATGTCAATATTCAACAAAATTGTCCAGTCAAAACATTGTTTCACTACACATTCTTGTTTGCATCAACAATGTTTTTACTTTCCATATCCGGTGGAAAACACGTACACACGGCCACACTGTTAACTATTGACAACTCACAAGTATTCGGCCAATGGTACATATTTCCAGGCCAGGAAGGTTTAAAATAAAAAAATCCATTTCCGTTTTTGCTCTCGCTATAATCAAATGGTGATTCTTTGCGATAGAACGAGATGACATAACTGGCAATGTAACTGAAAGTATTTAGTTTAATAGTACGTAGTGAAATGTATTGTGACGTCATAACTTGGTAACACCACACCTACAAAACTTAAGATCCTTGAGTCAAGAAAATCACATGACGACCACAAATAAAAGTGCATCAAACGCAATAATGATACTGATATAAAATATTGTTATTCTAAAATGTTCCATATTATTGTGTACGTAGAACGTGGGTTCGCTGAGCAAGCACCTGAACGCGGTGAACGGCGCGTACTCGCTGAGCGTGCTGGTGGGCGACGCCGCGGCCGCCGCGCCCGTGGCCTGGCCGCTCGGCGACATACACTTCAACTTCGGCCGCGACGGGAACGCTGTCGGTGAGTATGCAGCAGTTTTTTTTTGTTAGGTTCTGCAGAAAGGCAAAGGTATAGCCAAGTCTTAAGTTTTTACGCTTAGACACTTATTCAGACGACGATGTTTCTTTTCTTAAAAGCTCTCGCGGAATGCGTTTAGCTACATTTGGGGTAAAGGTTTTGTTTTATAAAGCATGATAATGTTTTAATGAATGAGTTAGAGTAACAACAGTTATAGTCTGATCCGTGAGCACGTAGAATTTTGTCCAATGACCCCTAGCTATCCATCCTTGTCGCTCGCGCGTAATTATATTGCTGTCGACACTCACTGCGGGCGCCCGTCGCACAGTCGCGACAGCAATATAATTACGCGCGAGCGATAAGGATGGGTAGCTTGGGGTCATTGGACAAAATTCTACGTGCTCACGGACCGACCGGGCTTTAGTTGAGAACTAATTGAGTTTTCAATAACATACGAATACATTCGTAATCTTAATTAAATTTTAATGTTGTTTTAAAAACATCGATATAAAATCACGATAAAATTTGATCATTGCGTGCTTCCTATAGCCATTGCCAATCCACAATTATAAATTGAAACTCTTAAATTGGATCGGGGTAACCTGTAATATTAGAGATATGAATGTTGTTTATCAAATAAATAAATAAAATAAATTGACTGGTGCTGTCCTATTCCTTAGGCGAAGTAGTAACAGCGAGCGTGCCTCACCGCGGGCCGCTGCCCGAGATCGTGCACGCGTTCCGTCAGCCCGAGGCGCGTCCTCCACGAGCTTTATCCGACGTGTTCGCTGCCGCGGCCGCCGCGCCGCTGCTGCTGCTGCTGCTGCTGTGGGCGCGTCTTGGGCTTAACCTGTCCAACTTCCCCTGGACGCTCAGTGCCTTGCTGTTCCATCTGTCGCTTGGAGGTGAGTACCCTCTAAAAGTCGCCCCTCGAGCGACCGCAGATGCGATAAAAATGGACGCCAAATGAGTAAATTCACACCGGTTAATAACGACATAAATACACTACACAATCTGATTGTGATGCCAAACGCATAGAATGCGATATGACAGCTAGGTCGCACGTTTTTCAATGACAAATCGCCCGCTGGTAGTTGGATGTTCAGCCAACTTGTATGATATTAATCAAGACAAATGAGCTCAATTTAATAGCGTCGTCATCGCCAATATGGATTGCAACTTGTACCCTAATGCAAATGAGACATCACGTGGCATATTAATGGCGTGGCGCGGCTCGTGACAATTTATAAGTTGTAATGGGCGATTTTCACTTCAAGGCTCCAAGTTAAGACAGCAGTGGACAATAAAATAAACGATCCAGTTCCTTGTTCTAAAACACATGCGACGATGGATCGTCAATCAATAACAGTTCACACCAGGCGCATGGGTTCGCGAGGCACGCTTGTCATCCTGCTTACCCTGTTCTTGAGTGAGCAGGATGACAAGCTTGGCTCACGAGCCCATGCGCCCGATGTGAAATAATAACGTAAATAATCCTGCGGTTCGGTCCAACTCCGGTTGTTAAATTGTAAATGATTGTTATTGACCAAGCAATTCTTTCCCAGCGTCGCTGGTGCTGTACTACGTACTGTGGCTGCAGCTGTCGATGTTCGACACGCTGCGCTACCTGCTGCCTCTGGGCGCGCTCACGTTCCTGTCGGGCCACCGCCTGCTGCGCCGCCTCGTCGCCGCCAAGCAGCGCTAACGCACCACGAGGGAACCTTGGCTCGATAACAGCTGTTTGTAGTTGTACATCACTATGCACGTCAGCGCGAACAAATCGGTGCGNTTCGTGATGCGGGATATTCAACCTTATTACTATCGTCATCTGTCCCGAGTGTCGGTAACAATTTTGATACCTACTCGTCAACTGTCCGCAGTAGTGAAGTGATTTAGTTTTATCCAAGGTACAAGTCCAAGATGGACTGCAGACCGCAAACTACAAGCCACCACGGTTTCTTACATAGATGTTCAGAGAAACCGTGGTGGGCTTACACCTTTGTTTGCTGTCGAATCCATCTTGGACTTGTATAGGTGGGTAATTACAGTACACTAACTGTATCTACAGTTGTTGGCCTAATCATGAAGCCAAAAATTACTGGCTTGTCTTGTTTGTAATACATCCTAACTCCACTTTCAACTTGCATGAAAACTTTATCAAATGATAGTTTTCTCAAAGAATGTTTTGGGCTCAATATAAGATGGAGTATATTATCGATTCAAGGTTCCCGAGCATAGCATATTGCAATAATTTAATATAATATTATGTATGTGAGAATGCGTGTATGATTTAGTATGTGCGTGAATCGCGGTCCCGTCACACCATTATCTGCAATTTCGTAGCCCACACGTCTGCGTATGATTGTATCGGAGCGCATTTCCAAATCGTATTTTTAATAAATATTTGAGTTGTTGATAAAAAGTTATTTTTATAAACCTATCCCTTTTCCCACTTCGGCTGCGGATGTTGCGCTGTACATTGGGCCCGGTTTCCACCTACCAAAGAGAAGTGTTGAATAACTAACCAATCATGGCTAATGCAAATATTACCACAAAGGAAGGAAACAAAGTTTAGTCGGACTTATAATATGTTTATTATAAAAACATTAATTCTAAAGAATTATATTACTATCACACACTTACATCATTTGCGCAATGATTGATTTATATAAACTATGTTATTGCTAAAAAATTATATTCGTGCAAAGTTTAAATTTAAGTAAAAATAAGTATGTATTCTGCTAATTATTGCAGGCACTTCAGTACATAGTTTATTTCAACTTCATATCAAAATACATACCTTTACAATATAAACATACAATAGAAGCACTCTCATCTATTCAACACTCACTCACAGGTACTTGCATTCATCTTAAAAGTAAGAGAATTGGTCTAAAGTTTAAACCATTGTAAACATAATATTAAAAAATATTCAAGTAGTTATGTCCGGGTCAACCGAATGTTTTAACTTATATCTAAATGTGTGAAATATGTCAATGAAATCTTATTTCAATGTAGAGTTAAACTGGAATTTGGGTCATAATACTGCAGTCAGAAATATGTCAGGATTTTACACAACCATTTAGAATTCAGCATCGAGGGTAAACACATTGTCAGTAGGATTTGCCATGACTCCCCACTTCTGGTACTCTCCAACTTTCTTTTCAAAGAAGTTTGTCTTGCCTTCCAGGGAAATGAGGTTCATGAAGTCGAATGGGTTCTTGGTGTTGTAGTGCTGTAACAGAAATTCTATGTCAGTAAATGTACTAGCANTACTAGCAAAAAGAAGAAAAATAACTTTTGATTTTGGATACAAACCTTTTCTTCAATGAGATCCACCAGCAGCCTATCGGCGACGAATTCGATGTAGTTGGACATGAGTTCACAGTTCATGCCTAATAGCCTGACGGGAAGCGCGTCGGTCAGGAACTCTTGCTCGATGACCACCGCGTCCTTGATGATCTGGAGCACACGCGCCTTGCTCGGCTTTTGGACCAAGTGCTTGAACATGAGGCAGGCAAAGTCCGTGTGGAGGCCCTGTGGGTGATGTAAAAAATAAAATTTATGAAAACAAAAGAAATACTATTTTGTTTTATCTATCTTGTTGACCTATATTCCTAAAAATGACACTAAAATTAGCAATGATAGCATATATGCCCAGTCATAAAAAATCAATGAATTAAATATGTAAATAAAAAGATAGGGTGACCTATTTGAGTATTATTACCTACAAGACTTATCATAGCAATTCACTGTGATTTAGATAAAATGTACGTGAGTAGACACAACAAGAGATAAGAAAGCTCACCTCGTCCCTAGATATAAGTTCGTTGCTGAAAGTCAAGCCGGGCATGAGTCCACGCTTCTTGAGCCAGAAGATAGACGCGAAACTGCCAGAGAAGAAAATGCCTTCAACCGCGGCGAATGCCACGATACGCTCGCCGAATGTCGCGGTCTTGCTGCCGATCCATTGAAGTGCCCAGTCAGCCTTCTTCTTTACACATGGTAGTGTCTCAATAGCATTGAAGAGAAAATCTCTGGAAAAATACAAAATGTTTAGCTGTTAACAAGTACCTCAAACGTATGACTCATACTGAGTAGGTACCACATTTGAACAGCTTTGTTTATTGTATAATTTGCAACTTGAGATAAGATAGAAACAGGTTCCAACTGTATATTACAATGATCCTTTATTTTGTTACAAGATAAGCAGCCAACCATACATACCTTTCCTTAGGGTCTCTGATATAAGTGTCAATGAGCAATGAGTACATTTCAGAATGTACATTCTCCATAGCGATTTGGAATCCATAGAAGCATCGAGCTTCAGTCACTTGCACTTCTTGAGAGAAGCGTTCAACCAGGTTCTCATTGACGATACCGTCAGATGCAGCAAAGAAGGCCAGCACGTGCTTGATGAAATGTCTTTCACAGTCTTTTAAATTTTCCCAGTCAGATAAGTCCTAAAGCAAAAGGAAAGTGGGTAAATAAAAACAATTTCAGACTTTTAACATAACATCAAATGAAATGGTAAAAATGTAATAAGATAATTGGTGATTAAATTCAATTAACTGTTGTAAAATCCTAAGTCATTACTTCAGACGTTTCCATTTGCAATTTAGAAATTAATTGATAATGAGTTAATTAGGTACATGTAAAAGAAAAAAAACATTTTACCTACATGAAATTATTGTGCAAGTGCACCAATCTATTGTAACTACGCATTTCCCCGTTTGGATGTACCGCTAAAAAATGCCATGAGGCGTTACTATAATTAGGTTGAATTAGGTTAACTAACCTTAGATAGGTCCACCTCCTCTACCGTCCAGAAGGAGGCCTCGGCCTTTTTGTACATGTTCCAGATGTCGGGGTACTTGATGGGGAAGATGACGAACCGGCGCGGGTTCTCCCGCAGCAGCGGCTCCAGCTGGGGGTCGAACTCCACCTCCTTGGACTCTTTCTCCACCTCCATTTTATCATCAGTCACGTTGTCGTTGCGAAGAGTCAAAATGTTGTTCTTTGTCGGCGACTGTGAATAGTTGATTCGNTTGATTCGTCACTATCTCTCCAGATGAAAAACCCCACGCAAGAAATCGAGGTTAGCGTGACAAACTACAGTATTCAATAAACTGAGCACTAGACGCTTAACCATGATTTATAGATTGAAAATACTTAATCAATATTGAAATAGAGATATACGTAGTTAACTAATATCAGTAAAACTGACGATATATTTCATGTAGCAATAGAAATAGAAAACTACAAACCTTGATGTGGACATTGTTGATTCCATTGGTGAGGTTTTCCTTGTCGTTAAATGTAGACATTCTGATAAATTCTTTGTTCACTGGTTAGACTGAAAAATACTTAAGTCTTTGTTTATTGTGCTAAGCTACTTTGCTGGAGGAATATTCCAGTCCAGCGATTTATAGTCTACTGATTCACCACACAATTTTTTTACCGCTTTCAATTTATGACGGCAATTTGGCGGGAAACTTTCGTTGTTCCGAATCGTACTGTGATCGAAACGTTAGTCAGGGAAATCTATAAAAATAAATTTATGAAATTGAATGTAGTGCATCATTATGAAATATTTATATGTTTCTCTTATCTAATTACCTCTATGTACTTCATTACTATGTTATTGCTCTGAAAAATAATAAAAAATAATATTTATTAGATATTACAAATAAACTACAGAAGCTAACGGAACTCAATGAAAAGATAAATAATCTGTGATGTAAAGTTCAATGAACCAGTCACAGCTGTTTTTACATTAATAGCGGCAAAATAATACACTCCCACCTCGCCGTGATAAATGGCAAAAAAAACTATATAAAGTGTTGATGAAATCCCTAAAAATTATACGTGAGTGAATTTTAATCACCCCGTACTTCGATATTTTTGATTTGCAGATTTAATAATTCAGTAGTTTTTGTAAGATCTTAAGTAAGCATATTCCCGCGTAAAATTAATAACAAAGTCCATTGATACCATTGGTTGATTCTGTAACCAATCATTTTCGTAGAAAATCTTTCAATGCTATGTACTACTTTTACGCGGTTGAAACTTGAAATCAAAATGTAAGTGGAAGCAGCAAAAGTCGGCAAAACAAGGAGATATTTGTGTACAAATGTATTTTTATTAATCTTTTTATATTCAGTAATTAAAGTAATACCTACCACAGGTATGCGTACTATCTTTAATATATATAGTTTTTTCGACTTCGGATAAAAAGTAAAAAAAAAAAGTAAAAAGTATTTTATTTAAGGATAAGAGAGAGTTTCTTGTCTTGTCTGTCTTATCTTTTCAATTTTTAAGATTTGACCAATCTTTTTTGGTTGGTCCGGGTTCGATTTCTCCTAATCCGTGTACAGTTTTGGGTCTGTCATCGTCGGACGCGTCTCCGGGTTGTATTCTTAGATAAATAAAACGTTGTATATTCCTTTCCATTTAATTTTATCGAATAAGGCTTTTTTTATAAAAGAATATTAGCAATTTTAAAAATTTTAATACAAAATCCCGTTAACCCTTCGTGGTAAGATATAATTTTTACGAGTACGTGAACGAATTCGCGGGCACGTAAAGTATACTTTTGTTTTTTTACTTAATTACTTTACATTTCCTACTGCCACAAGTAGATGAGTATTGAGTGAGCATCAGTTAAAAAGATGTCCGGCCAGATGAAGCCAGACATTATTTATGTTAATTAATTAGTTTAGTTAAGCTTTTTGTTTGCGTGCCCAGCCAAAATAAATGGTGTATGTTCGTGTCCGGTTTCGTGTTAGGCTTTTTACATTTCGCATACTAAAAGTGTATAATAAAAAAAGCTTGATTTTATGATTTTACGCACAATTTTCTTGTCGTCTGAGACACAAAATCCTCAATAACGTAGGGTGCTCGGCCTTTTTACCCAAATGTCCGGCCAAACTGGCTGGTCTATCCGGCTATTAGGTTTGGAAACCTGGCAACCCTACCCACAAGACCAAATGTTAGCCGACACAACCAAGTTAACATTATATTCGTGTGCCACAACACAACATTCACCACCTTATAAGAAAAACTGCAGATATTTGTCTGCTCCAATATTCACTTACTCGATGACTGCTGTTTTTTTAAATGTGACACACTATTGTCAAAAATTTATAGGCAGTATAAACCACGTTATCTTTGCCTGAACATGTTTACGAATTTCGAAAAGTACAATACAAATGTCATTCTCTGATTTTTGCTGTTTGCCGTCATCCTTGGGATAAAACATTTTCGTAATAAATTGTTACTTTTACGATACAGTGAAACTCTGAAACATGTCTGACAACGATGACGATTATAATATGTGCGAGGAAGAGGAGGACTATGGCTTGGTAAATTAATAACCTTCATAAGTTACTACAACTCCTTTCGTTGTTGTGACTGCTGTTCCCACTTGATAGAGCTTTTTGACTTTAATTTTTAGTTTCAAAGTTCCTTGTTACTGGAATAAATTGTAACATACAATATTTACGAGTTTATTGATGATGCATGAATGTCAAAAATATTACTTGTTTGTAAGTGGTGCTGGGTGCTAATAAGAATGTCCTCTTTTATTTAAATCTGATCTGTCTGTTATTTTTTGATAGCAATCTCTCTTGAGTATGACAAATATGTCAAACAACCAATAATTCATTTATTTCAACACTACATCATAATCTCCAAATCATGGACCTATAAAAAAAGTCGGACGGATTCTCATCAACAAAATACTGTGACATTAGGATACACCAGCTTGCCTGTACGTACAGCCCGGCACGCANGCGCTTTTCCCAAATTAAATTTGATTTTGACGTAATACACACCACAGACAAGATAGAGTACGGGTCAAAGTAGAGGTCTGTCAAAAAAAATCAGTGCGTTTTCATACCACATCGCTTTGATATCTTTTTATCTTTATTTTCATGATATTTTATGAGTGGCAACATTGTTTGCTACGTCGATCACTTCTGTCAATTTGTCAAAAAAAGGGAACCGGCCGCAGTCGGATTTATTAATTTTCAATGTTTTTTATGGCTAATTAATAAGGATATTGCTTAAATAAGATTAGTGTATTTAAGATCAGAATCGTCTCTGATCAACGGAATTAAAAAGATGCATTTAAATAGTGAGTATTTATATGAATTTTCACCGTAAACATAGGCTTTGGCGTGGTGATCATTTTATCAGCGTATTTTTCCCTTTCTAGTTTGAAAAATGCTACTGGTGTACGAGAATGAGTCTTTTTTCGTACATAGGTAATAAAAAGCTAAATAAGATTGACAAATGTTAACATTAAAACAATGAATTGTTTGGGACACGTCAGTCTATTGATTGTCGCGTCGCCGGCCTATGTAATGCGTGCTTTAGGTTAGAAGAATCTTCAGAATAAGACTATAATCCTCTTGAATATTCATAACAGCAGTTTCATTCATATATGGCATGAAAAATCTGTATTACCAATGTTCTTTTATCATTTTCCAGCATTCAGCATTTTAGTGTTATGCCTAGTTGGCTGGAGCAGTGCTAACACCCTCCAAGGTTCAATAGACTTGAAGCGGATCCAGTCTATCCTCCAAGAGGGCCTCAAAAACAAGGATGTTGCGTCACTGTACTACTCTATCAAGGGTTTGAAAGATCTCAAAGTACCAATCCCTGATGTTTGCCAGGTAATTAATTTATATAAACACAGACATGTTAATCTATAACACCCCTCTCTTTTTGTGTTGGGGTTACCTAAAAAGGATTTTTATTGATTGATTTATAAACATAATACATTTCATAATCTTATTAGAAATACCTTCCCAGTTAGAGTTCTAACTGACAATAGTGACTGTGTTTCTTGCGCTGCTGCTTCTCACCACTAGCCCATTTATTGTCCTGAAGCAGTGGCAGGGTTAATACTGGGACATGTAAAAGTGCTTTTCAAAGCCTACTTGCAAAAATAAATGAACTTTATGAGTTTTTCATGAATAAGTAACAAGTGTTAACAGAACAGTAATGGCAATAATTAATGTTATTTTCATATTTTTCATTTCAATATTAATTTCTCTGTTTGCAGGACATCAAAAATGCCAAATATGATTCCAAAAACATTGAGCAAGTATTCTACCTGGCTAGCGCCGCGGCCCTCTCAGGCTGCCAGAATTCATTGTCTACGGATCTCCTCCGGCCGCCGTCGCAGGTTCTAGACAAGAAAGACGCAACCATCCAGGAGCTGTATTATGCTGTGTACACACTAAAGGCTCTGGGCAAGGGCAGCGTTTACGACAAAGAAGACAGCCTCAAGAATCTCATCCAGCTGTTGAAGAAGGATGACTCTCCTGCTAAGTAAGTGTTATAAAACTCCTGCATGTTGCTAAATGTGTAATTTATTACACTTTTATCAGCTTGCCTTGGTTATAAAATTATTTTCCACAAGTTTGAACTGTATTCTTTTAGCAGTAAATTCAAATTGGTTTGTAGATAAGAAAGCACTAAGCAGTAGTACTCATTAAGTGTAGAAACTAGTAAATAGATAAGTAAGTACCTGTTTACTAGTTTCTACACTTAATTTAGTTTTAGGTAGCTTAGAATTTTTATCAGTTTAATTTATTAAGTAATTCAGGTACAGAATAATAAAACTATACAATAGGTGGTACCTATGTAAAGTATAGTAGGTAAAATTCCCTATGTTTTACAGCTTTCAAAATAGTGTAACTACCAGGACCAGTGTTGTTCATAATGTATGTGGATTTTTGACAGTATTATCTTTTGCTGATCTATTGAATGCTGTCCCATATAAATAAAAAGTGTTCCTGACATTTGAAATAGAGAAACATGGGTCTCAACCACCAGTCTGCTTGTGACAACGTCAAGCCATGAGTACATTATGTAACTCATACATAAATTATGCTTTGTGACCCATGTTTCACTATTTTAATTGAAATGGAACGTGAAAGATTACAATCTTATTAATCTTGGCAGCTGCAATACAAGCGTTAGCTTAGTGCAGACGCCGCTAAAAATGTTTTGTCTGTAGTTTGTGTATCTTAGAAATAAAGCTATTATTTACTTATTATAGTGTTCTGCTCATTTAACTGCAGCTGAGCTCAGCTTTTTTGCATCGCTGCAGCACACTTATACCTTAGCACAGGATTTTCTTTTTTACTCTTTGTAATGTACTATATCTTTCCTGCTACTCCTGTGTTTATTAATCTCACTTTTTGCTCCTTGTGTGTCAATGTGTTTTACAAATAAACCATATATTATTAATCTTCCGTAGCTACGGCTACGTGTTCGCCCTGTGCGAGCACATGGGCTGCACGGCGTGGACGGCGAGCCACGCTGAAGGCGTGCTGCTGGCAGCTGATGAGAGCGACTCGCGCGCGCTGCACTTCGACGGCGGCCTGCCCGTTACCTCGATGCTGCTGTCTACTATCACTAGGTATGCTTTGTTTGTACCTAGCATAGGACCTAGCTAGTTTCCTATAAAGACATTTAGTATGTCAGTGATACCTATTTATCAAAAAATATTGGATTCATTTATTTTTATTTGTCAATCAAACAAGAAATGGTGCGTTTAAGTTCCGCGTGACGTCACGCCGTGCTGTACTTTTTGCAACGTATTGACGTCACGAACATCCCCATATGCGCGCTTTATATATTGTAAATTTGCATTGATTTGAGAATTTGCACCTGGCAAGAATAGCAGCACTAATGTCAAAAATGTGTATAGTATTATGCGATAATGCAGTAGTGATCTGTAGATCACACAATACATTTCACAGACACTCTTTTCTGCAATGAACGGACGACAGCACAATATACTAAATAGGATCTTATGTGCTTGTAATAAAAGTAAGTTTGCTTTGCTGTTACACTCCCATGTATGTGCCTCGCAGGTCGTACAAGCAGCAGAAGAAGGCGTCGCCGCTCAACCCTGAGCAGAAGCTGAAGTTCGCTGAATACGTGCTGTCGCGTCGCTCGGTGACGTCACCGCGCGGCGCCGCGCTACTGTTGGATGCCGCCACCGCACTCGCTGACGACCAGGTTAGAGCGAGCTTAAGCTGTATTCCTCTATGTAGCGTGAGTTTTGAATAACTGTAGGCTTCAAAATGATCTTGATGATTCTGACACACCTATTTTGATAGTATCTGATAGTTTATCTACGAGTATAACAAGTTCCATTGATTGCTTTTTCAGAAGTCAGTTCACTTCCCATCTCTTAGAACTTGTTTATCTTGGTATTCCTCTGTATGTCATTCTACTGAGCCCCGATTACGGTAATTTTTAACGTCTCCAATTCAGACGCGCTTCATCGATTCTGCGATACGATTGGTCAAAACAGCTGACGTACGCTTTGTGTTGACCAATCGTATCGAAGAAGCGCGTCTGGATTGGAGACGTTAAAAATTACCGTAATCGGGGCTCTGTTCATTGTTAAATAACTTATTAATCACGAACCCAGCAATAATATAAATTAACCACCCAACAGCCCACCCCCATCAGCATCGTCATCAAAGGCAAAAAATATGTCACATCTGACTCCGATTCAATCGAGTTCGCCGTCACCGACTTACTAGGACGTCCTGTACCCGGCCTCAAGCCTGAAGACGTGGTCGCTCAGTCCGGAACCCGCCTCGCCGATGACGTCGTAGTCCTCTCCAAACAACCGCTGACTCAGAAACCCAACGAGCCCACGACTTTCGTCCTTAACCTCAGCAAGATTAAGGCCCAATACGGCATGTACAAGATCGCGCTGAGCGCTGGAGGCAAGACGGCCAATGTGAATATTGCTGTGTTGGGCGAGATCCAGGTGTCCAGTATTGAGGTGGGAATCGGCGATGTGGACGGCACTACCAGCCCTAAAGTCACCACCGTGACCTACCCCAACAAGCTGACTGAGAAGCTGCAGGCTGATCACTTGCAAAAGTAAGTGTTAGTCTTAGATAAAAAAGTTTTTTATAAAAATTGCTTTCGAAGTGTAATTAGCAATCTTACTAAGCAGACCTCGCCCTATTAACTTAATAACTGATAAACATACTTGAACATTACAACTATGTACTTGAATGACTACATCACCACTGTTCCACTGAACCCTAATGTGCGCCAATGTACCCGTCTTCGGCTTGTCTTAAACAGCTTCTGCCTTTCACTACGCATGCAAAGTTGCAAATTATTTACTCTAATGATTGAAACCAGAAAAACAGTGCGTAGTTCCATCTCACGCGCGTTATGTAAAAGTCTTGATATATCACAACACTATGCACTCATGTCCTTAAAATTTCGTCTCATAATCAAAGAAGCTGTTTTGCGTTCAGTGTTTTTATTAGTAATTTGTATAAAACAAATTACATTAGCCCCGTTAACCCCTTGTACTAAGCTAAATGCTCGTATAACGGTTCACCATAACAGTTTTGTATCATAAATGTGTACGATGCAGGGTGACTCTGAAGTTCTCCGTGCGCGACAAGTGGAACAAGGCGGTGACGGTGCAGCAAGCCTTCGTGCGAGTGGGCGGCGCGCACGACGAGACCATCTTCGTGGCCGAGCCCGACAACGCCAAGGCGTACAAAGTCGAGCTGGTGAGGCCAACTGATAATCTACATATTACCACAGAATAATAATAAGTACTACGTACAGAAGTTTTACTTCGCGAAGGTATTTAAAAAAATGTATGCTCAATGTCATTATAGTTCCAAAATACTGGACTGTCCTGTCGATGACATTGACAGTGGGGCGCCACCGTCAATACCGGATCGCTGGTTCAGATTTTTGCCATGTTGGAAACCATATAGTTGAACGATGGTAGCGCCCCTCTGTCATTGAGTTTGGCGGGACAGTTCAGCGTGGGTCATCTATAACAATATGGTGTAATTTAGCCTGTCTCAAGAGTCAAGCACCATTTTGTTGACAAACGTCAGTGATCGGCACTGCTCCGAAGCTATAGGGCTGACTTCGGTAAAATGATGTGACGCGAGGTGCCAAACTGCGGAAAATGGCGGAGGAAATACATGATTTAGCATGAATTATCATGAATAATATTAACTACTTATTTACCTCTCAGTGTCTTGAGGGAACTTAAAAAGTACATTCTGTGTTTTTATTATTATTTAGGCAGTTAAATACTGCACAGTATTTAGTACACCATTTTCTTTATTTTCTTCCATCATACACAAGAATACGCGTGCGTGAGTCAATGTTCGCTCGTATGTGAGGCCTTGTCGAATAGTATCCTGTAGGTGGGCCATCGTGCGTGTTTTGTTTTCGATGTAAACTCGCCTTCCAGCTCCATCATTAGACCCCGATTACTATATAGAATTAAAATACTCATCAATACAAAACGAACGAGCCCAAACTCGATGCATTTAAGTCGTTTTATTATAGAGTTCCTATGGCCACCTTCCAGCTCCATCATCAGATCAGCTCCATGTCATCATAATATTGCATGGTCATCCAAATCACATGTGTTTGCGAAATTTCAGCTTAATCGGTTGCCTGGAAGTGGGTCTTAATTCAGCTAGCAAGATTCCACCCATACAAATATGAGCCAGTCACTGTAATATGACGTCACGCGCATAAAATGGCGGGCCGGCCGCCGCCCGCACTTTTAAAATTCAATATCTTGGAAACTAATTGACGTATCGAAATAATTCTTTCACGTGTATTTTTTATTTTTAACAGAGAATACAGAAAGCTAAAAAACAAAATTAGTGAACATTCTTCATTTTCTTGTCGTCTGAGACACAAAATCCTCAATAACGTAGGGTGCTCGGCCTTTTTACCCAAATGTCCGGCCAAACTGGCTGGTCTATCCGGCTATTAGGTTTGGAAACCTGGCAACCCTACCCACAAGACCAAATGTTAGCCGACACAGCTTTTCAACTTAAAACCAAGTTAACGTTATATTCGTGTGCCCACAACACAACATTCACCACCTTAAAAGAAAAACTGCAGATATTTGTCTGCTCCAATATTCACTTACTCGATGACTGCTGTTTTTTTAAATGTGACACACTATTGTCAAAAATTTATAGGCAGTATAAACCACGTTATCTTTGCCTGAACATGTTTACGAATTTCGAAAAGTACAATATAAATGTCATTCTCTGATTTTTGCTGTTTGCCCTATGTATAGATGACCCACGCTGAACTGTCCCGCCAAACTCAATGACAGGGGGGCGCTACCATCGTTCAACTATATGGTTTCCAACATGGCAAAAATCTGAACCAGCGATCCGGTATTGACGGTGGCGCCCCACTGTCAATGTCATCGACAGGACAGTGCAGTATTTTGGAACTATATTACTTTTCTCTATGCTGTTTGCCGTCATCCTTGGGATAAAACATTTTCGTATTAAATTGTTACTTTTACGATACAGTGAAACTCTGAAGCATGTCTGACAACGATGACGATTATAATATGTGCGAGGAAGAGGAGGACTATGGCTTGGTAAATTAATAACCTTCATAAGTTACTACAACTCCTTTCGTTGTTGTGACTGCTGTTCCCACTTGATAGCAGAGCTTTTTGACTTTAATTTTAGTTTCAAAGTTCCTTGTTACTGGAATAAATTGTAACATACAATATTTACGAGTTTATTGATGATGCATGAATTTCAAAAATATAACTTGTTTGTAAGTGGTGCTGGGTGCTAATAAGAATGTCCTCTTGCATTTAAATCTGATCTGTCTGTTATTTTTTGATAGCAATCTCTCTTGAGTATGACAAATATGTCAAACAACCAATAATTCATTTATTTCAACACTACATAATCTCAAAATTTTATTGTGCATCATGAGTTATAGCTGGGTATTCATTTTATTCTATGTTGCTGTTGCATCTTAAGTATTTTATTGTATACATACACTTCACTATATTCTATAAAAGGTATATTTTTGTAAATATGTTTTACTTTTGGCAAAGGTTTACTTTTTATCGCATTTCATTCCAATTAGACACAATTTTAGTTTGGCAGGAACCCAATTTAATATATTACATTTTAATAATTTTAAATGTGCAGGAATACTCGGAAGACAGCAACTCTGAACCGGACGTGGACTTAGAGAACCAGTACTACAACAGCAAGGCGTTGAAGGAAGACGAGCCGCTGGCCGCGCTGCTCAGCTTCCAGAAGGTTCTGGAGCTAGAGGGTGGCGACAAGGGGGAATGGGGTTTCAAAGCCCTGAAACAGATGATTAAGATTAATTTTAAATTAGTGAGTTACATTTAGTATTATATTATCCTACTAATATTATAAATGCGAAAGTTTGGATGTCTGGATGTTTGTTACTCTTTCACGTAAAAACTACTGAACAGATTTTGATGAAACTTTACAGTATTATTATTTATTACCCAGATATAGGCTATAATTTATAACGATCTGTGACAAACTAAATTTCACGCGGGTGAAGCCGCAGGCAAAAGCTAATTTATGAATATTTGTGTGATTTGTATCTAAAGTTTGCATGTTCATCACTAGAAATATTTAAAAACCTTAATATGGCCAAAACTACACTCTTTTATTGCTTAAAACAAAAACCACATTTTAATTTTTATGGCTTTTTCAGAATAATTTTACAGAAATGATGGCAAGGTACAAGCAACTCCTCACATACATCAAGAGTGCAGTCACAAGGAACCACTCTGAGAAATCTATCAACTCAATCCTGGACTACATTTCCACCTCCAGAAATGTATGTATTATTTACTAACCTCTACCTCTATGCCATAAGTGCTCACAAACTAGAAACAACAATGTTTTTTGTTTAAGTTTTTTCAATGTTTAAGTTTCTCTTATTTTACAGATGGAGCTATTACAAGACTTTTATGAGACCACACTTGAAGCGCTAAAAGACGCGAAAAACGACAGGCTGTGGTTCAAGACCAACACAAAACTGGGCAAGCTTTACTATGATAGAGGAGACTTCAACAAATTAGCTAAAATATTAAAACAGTTGCATCAAAGCTGTCAGGTAAGTTATTAAATGAACGAATACTAATTTAAAGCTAGATTATTCGTAATCAAGGTGTCTTTAACATACTTTGCCAGGGCATCAATTTGCTACCTGTTTTTTCCTATAAGAAAGAATGAAAAATCATTATGGTTGACATGGAACATTCCAATTTTCAAGCAAATCCATAGGTACCAGAAGTTTATAAATGAAGAAAATCTAAACACTTATTTTTGAATTGCAGACAGATGAAGGTGAAGATGATCTTAAGAAAGGTACACAGCTTCTAGAAATCTATGCCTTGGAGATTCAAATGTACACAGCTCAGAAAAATAACAAAAAGTTGAAGGCTCTCTATGAACAATCTCTGCACATCAAATCGGCGATACCGCATCCGCTAATCATGGGTGTAATTAGAGGTAAGAATATGCATTTTACTTTACTACTGGCTGTCTACTTCTGTAGGCAAGGCCCAAGGATTACCATCCTTATATTTTGAGTAAGAGCCAAAGCACACGATGCTTTGCGGGGTCAGTGCGACGTCGGAGCGCTGTTGTTGCGTCGTCTTACATAGAAATATGTGTGGCGGGCATACGAACGATGCGGCGCCGTGCCGCGCGTTACGGCGAAATCTTTGCGGTGCGGCGCCGCATCGCAGCATCGTGTGCTTGGGCTCTAAAGGAATTTGATAAAATAAAAACCATATGCTAGTGAAAGCTTACTGTTATGTGTTAAAAATGTCTCTATTTGTAGAATGTGGTGGCAAAATGCACTTGCGCGAAGGCGAATTCGAGAAAGCGCACACAGACTTCTTTGAAGCCTTCAAGAACTATGATGAGTCTGGCAGCCCAAGAAGAACCACCTGTTTGAAATATTTAGTTTTAGCTAATATGTGAGTAATTTTTACTTGTGTAAAATAGTAACTTGATACTCAGTTTTTCTAGTGATCCCCACCAAACTGGTTAAACCAGTAGTTAAACTTGGATAAGCTTGATATAAAAATATATTTACCTTTGTTTTCCTTCCCACAGGCTCATGAAATCTGGCATCAATCCGTTTGATTCTCAAGAAGCTAAGCCTTACAAAAATGATCCTGAAATCCTTGCCATGACTAACCTCGTGATGGCCTACCAGAACAACGATATTAACGACTTCGAGTCCATACTCAAGCACAATAGGAACAACATTATGGACGACCCATTCATTAGAGAACACATAGAGGATCTCCTGAGGAACATCAGAACGCAAGTGCTGATCAAACTGATAGGCCCTTACACTAGAATTCATATACCGTTCATTTCCAAGGAGCTCAATATTGACGAGAAGGAAGTGGAAAATCTGCTTGTCACCTGTATTTTAGATAAGTAAGTTGAATTTCTTTCGTAATTTTAACGTAGATTGCAGTTTAGGATTATAATCTCTGTTCAGATATGCTTTTAACGATATTTCCCCTACCGCGCTGATATGCGTACGTTGAGTTTAAATTAGGGCATAGAGTAGTGGTTCTTAACCGGTGGTCCGCGGACCACTGGTGGTCCCTAGAGGCATTCCAAGTGGTCCACGAAGACATCTCGATGAGTCGAGTCAACACAACGCAAACGGCGCACAGTGGGCGAGAAATCGATCCCCTTTTATAGCATTTTGAAAAAAAAAAGGGGTCCCTGACAAAACAGAAATTTGGTAAAATGGTCCCTGGTGACTTAAAGGTTAAGAACCACTGGCATAGAGGAAGACGGCTAGGCGATCAATGCATTTACAGCACTAGTTCAGAAAAGATTTTATTGTAAACCTAATTCATTTCATAAACCTCGAGGTTCCCATGTGAATCTACCGCTGTTGCTTATACCAGTTTTGTGATGGGAGAGATGAATTTCAAAATTGTAGCCTGAAACTGAATTAGCCCCTATACCAATATACTACTACACTATACTACCTACACTATACCAATGGCAGTCAATACATCAATGCTATTTGTCTTTGCAGCACAATCAGCGGACGCATCGACCAGGTGAACTCGGTGCTGGAACTGGGCGGGGGTGCGGGCGGCGCGGGCGGCGCTATGCGCTACTCCGCCACCGACAAGTGGACGGCGCAACTGGCCGCGTTGCACCGCGCACTCGCCAACAAAATGGCCTAGCCCGGTGCCGCGCCGGTGCCACGTCGGACTTGAAGTTGAAGTGGCAACAGATCAGTGCTCAGTGCTAATGTTTATATTATTCGTACAAAATAGAAATGAACAGAGACAATCACATTCGTGTACTTCGCTTTGTATACCCACGCTCGGCGGTCGCGCTAAGCAGGATACTCACCTGCCATGCAGCACGTAACGTAGCATGTAACGTAACCAACCTTCGAGTGAGTACGGCTCGTCCACGGTCATTCTACTGCGAGCCGCCTTTGTGCTCGCAGTGATACCGCCACTAGGCGGGTCGCTGCGATCTCCCTGCGAACCACGCGCGAGCAGCAGGCTCGTGCCTTGATACAGTATCTGATACATTACATGCTACACGGCTAGATGAGTACCCTGCTTAGGACTGACAGTGGCGGCCGCACATTAGTCGCTAAAACTCATTTGTTACAAAGTCATGCTTTCACAGCGCGAGTCTCAAGCGGACGGCATTCACGCTCGTACGTCCGAGATCACGCGTCGTACATGAGCGGTGTGTGTGCGTTAGTCGAGCGCACTTTGTATGTACATTGTCTTCTGTTCATATCTATTTCGTGGTACTTCTCTGATACAGGTTAATTCACAATCAATTGCCCCCAGAAAGACCTGTCGAGGTTGAGCTGCAACCTGGCAGCAAGTTATTGAAACACTTTTTTTTACGCTAAACTGATAGCTGTACAGTGAAACGGCACTATGCACTCGTGTTTTTTTAAAGAAAGTGAAAGTGTACATCTATTTATCACCATAAACTTGCATCCATTGGTATGGATAGGAAACGCGTCTAATTATTCATCTATTTACTGAAACTATTTTATTGGTCGTTACGTTAGTTGGTTTACGAGCCATTAACGTAGCGTGTATGAACTAAAATTCTCATGCATGAGAATAAAAGACAAAAATTACGATACAAACTGGCACTTGGTATTTTTAAAATCAATCAGTGCTAGTTTGTTCACTTGTCCCTTCCATGCAAATGGATACAAGTTTACTACTGATCTTAGCAATGCAATTCAGTTTATAATTGAATGCAGGCTTTATACTCACGTCATAGACATTTTACCAGAATAAATGATGGTAAAGATAAGTGGACTGGAGAGTAATCATTATACTCCTGAAGGTTTTATATTCAATTGAACACTATCCCGGTTATTAAATACACTAAACAATAGCAAATTCAATGCCCTGTTATAACGTCGCGCGTCGCCCATTCAACAAATGCAAGCAATATTAATTTATATTGCAAGTCTGTTACCCACTTTTATGACCGCGAGCGATCCATCTATTTTCCATATAAGAACATTGCATATTAATCAATGTGATTTTCTTGCTCTAATAATCCAAGCCTAATGTAGCAATCTTTAGAAGTTCGGGCGCCTTAAATGGTCGGTCATAAACGTTCATTAACGTAGGTGGAACAGGAACATAAGATTAAATGGATGTCGGATGTTATGAACAAGAATGCAACGCGTTTAAATTGGATTGGCTTGATTATACAATCATAAAAAAGAATACTGTTGATAATTGTTGAAGCAGTACAGCATTAAAATTGATATTTATATTGATTTTTCTGTTTATATTCAATATAAATAGATATAAGTAATCATAATGTAGATAATACAACAGATTTTGAGTCTTGAATTAAATTATTTTCTTCTCTGTTGATACTATAATGTCATCATAGTACAACAATATTTATAATCATTACAATGAAATGTAAACCAACATTGAATTAACACTTAGTAATTAATCTAAGAGATGATTTTGTATAAAATTATTAATTAATATGGCCAGTCATTACATTATGTTCACTTCACATAGAGGATAATATTTTGGCATAATTTTAGATGCCACTGTACAATCAAGCCAAATCTTCGGTGAAATTGTGTACCTACTTTGAAAGTTGCCGTTTTGTTTATCAGCTATCTGATGTTGTAACGTTGCAGCAAATGTAAATATTTGTCGCCAACAAATTGGTTACTATAAATAAAAAGCCTTAAACTGGAAGTTCTCTTAAGCCCATGATAGACCAAGCCATACAGTGCCCACTTGGACGTATCACTTCACGCTCAAAAAACCTTATGCTTATACATAGAATAATGCAAATGCATTCAAGTGGTTTGGCCGAAAAATATGTCGTACTCTATTCTTTGCTAATATCTAATCTAAATCCACAGGCATACATAAACTTCATTATTTAATAACATAATTGTTTTTTCTACAATTGAACAGAAATGAATTATGAAAAGATTTTTACTTCCCAGTGCAATTAATTGGTTGAAAAATACAAACATTTTAAATATAATTATTCTTTTATTTATTATTAAAAATAGTAAACTAGAATACCATTATAAAACTAGTACAGAATGGACGGATTGATATAATATCACAGGTTAGTTTATACAATTCTTAAAATAAAGTACATTCCTTTTTTACCGAAAAAATAGTACAGTACGATTTAATTAATGTTAAGATTGTGTTTAATAAGTGGTTATAAATGGCACTACAATAAGTCCACAGTATTAAAACGAATATGATGCTGATATAAGTCCATTACAATATAATTTATTCTAATATTAATCATGTTAATTTTTGATATGTGCCAGAGAACACATTTTGTGGTAATACCCTGAAATCCTAATTAAGGTGCGTGTCTGGGGCATTTACTGTATTAAAGTGAGATTCTACTTTGAGAGTAATGTTTTTACATTAAATTATTTAAGGCAGAATTAAATTGAAAACATGAATTTCGGTAAATAACAATCCCTCTTAAGAGATACACGACGATTTTTCACTTGAGGCATCTAACATACACAAAATTACACAAATGTGTGTAATAAACTAAATAAAACATAAATCATAAAACACTGGTCTTCTTGCTTAGTAGGAAAGTCATACCCATGTCTAACATAAGCACTTCATCATGCACTCATCACATTCTCACAGAGTCAATACAATTTGAAAAATCATTAAAATGATTCCAACTTCACTCTCTTTTATAATATCAATACTGACTTGTGCTTTTTCATAATAACGCTCAACTAAAGTTTAAGAAATAATAATACAATGCACGATAATAATTATACTTTGCCAAACAAATTGGGTGGGCGCTGGCTCTCGGTGAATGTGCAGCTCCGGTGAATTAATTATTTTGTAAAGTTTTTNTTATCGTTTCCACCCTGTATATGCTGTTTGTTTTCCTTAAAATAAATAAATAAAATTCAAAAGTATATTTTTGATGGCAATATTTTCGATTTCCCGCGTATTTTTATTTGAAATTATACAAAAAGCGTAAAAACAAGTAATAGTCATATGTATTCCTATTAGTAGTTTATAATTTTAAGTGACACATAAGAATATTTTTATTATTATTTTAACTTTAAAAAATTTAAATGTTCATTACATAACTTTTTGTTTTTGTGACATTTCTTGTTTTGCCCCTGTACCCTTCAGTTGTGGTAGACGTAATGCCACTATGATGGACCATATGCACTAGAAGGGGCTTTCGGATGAACATGGACAAAACAAAGCTTATGTCGAATATCCATGTTGTGCTTGTGCCTTACCCAGTTTCGGTTGGGAGCTCGATTCTCGAGATTTTTGACAAGTAGGTATGTCTACCTCGTACAAATGACGAAAGAGACTCTAGCGATTGGTTGGATATAAGAAAAAAAAATATAACTGCATCTAACTTTGGCTTGGTCTGCAAAAAAAAGATTTCTACGAATACAGGAACATTAGTTAAAAATATATTATTTGCCAATAATTTAAGCCACGTCACACCAATTGCACATGGGATAGAACACGAGCAACTGGCTATACAACAACTTGCTCAACAAGAACAGGTGCATGTTGAGCCTTGCGGCTTATTTATTGACAGCGAATACCCTTTTATTGGCGCGGCGACTCCAGTGGCCTCATAGGATCAGATATTTTAGTGGAGTTAAAATGTCCTCTATCTGCAAATAAGCATGGGTTTCAAAAAGCAATAGAGGACAATAAAATTCAGATACTGAAATACAATAAAAAACAAAAACTACTTACAACTATAAAACACAAATAGTAACTGGTACCAGGCCTNCATAGTAAAGGTTTTTGATGTTAATACAGTTCGTGTTGGTACTACTAAGCCTTAGTTTTTTAATAAGCGATTTTTATTATAATATTGTTAACGTTAACTTTAAAAGTCATTTAAACTCTTGTTACATGTGGTATGAATATTTTAACACAATTTGTTTATTTTTTGGTTATGTGTTTAATTGTTATATAACATATAGTAAGGTATTTATGTTTTCATTTTGTTTGTTATGTGTGACGAAGATTACGTATTTGATTCCTCATTTCCTATTCACGTGTTTAATAACTTTTGGTGCATTTTGTGCAATTGAGTATTTGATCTCATCAATAGATGCAATACTTATTATTTATACTACAATATTTATTCAGGTAGACTTTGTAATTTTCTATACATTATTATTACTTCGTTCCTCGACTTTATACTGCGTACTTAGACCACAAGAACTTGTATGTTACCACATATCTCCCATGGCAAATTTAACCAAAAAAGTAACTTATGTAATCAAAAACCGGATAAATTAAACCTACGCCATATCACTGTACTGAAACAATATTTGGGTAATTGTAAGTACGTACAAATATCACATACTTTCGTCATACAATTTGTAAAAAATAAAAATCTATTGGTAGGATTTTTGAACCCCGGCTCGCTCTGTACTCGCCACGATGAGTTTTTGGTCGCTATGCAGCGCCACGCAGCAGACATCGTCGCTATCAACGAGACCTGGCTGCGGGCGGGCGGGGAGGCGTGCGCGCCATCGCCGCCAGGCTACCGGTTCCGCCACGTGCCGCGCCCGCCCGGAGTTCGTTCTCGCGGTGGTGGCGTTGGATTTTACCTGAAACGAGGAATTTACGCGCGACTGCTTGATCATCCGGCTTCCTTGTCAGTTGAACAAATGTGGATTAGTCTCAAATTAAATGGCCTTAAACTTGCTGTAGGCACTGCTTACCGTCCACCATGGTTATGTGTTGATACATTTATTGACGCGTTGACAGAGTCCATTAGTGCATTCTCGGTACACGATCATATTGTCTTGATGGGAGATTTTAATATAGACTTGCTAAAACCAGATGATCCAAGCACTAAAAAACTTCATCAGTTCCTTGATTGCATGAATCTCAAACAGTATGTAACAGAGCCGACTCACTTTACCGACCATTCAGAAACGTTGTTAGATCTTGTTTGCAGCAGCAGCAAAGTTGTCAAAGTCACGGTTGATCATATACGGGATCTCAGCGGTCATGCGTTTATATCTTTTGAGCTAAATATAAAGAAGCCTAAAATGACACCACGTTGGATAATCTACAGACCGTTAAAAGATATCAACATTGACCAATTCAACAAAGATTTAGAAAATATACCATGGGAAAGTGCACTCTCTCATGACGTAAATGACTCAGTTATTGCCTTCAACGCTCTTCTAAAAAAATTATATGATACCCATGCTCCCATTAAGAAGTCATATGTTAGAGAACAAAGTTATCCTTGGATAACAGAAACTATAAAAATCATGATGAGACTGAGAGATGATGCACATGCCAAAAGTCGTCGCACAAAATTGGAAAATCACAAAAAATACTACAAAGAATTAAAGCATATTGTTTCGTTAGCACTCCAAAAAACTGCTTACTTTCAGCAATTTATAAATAAAAATGTCAATGATCCTCGTACACTTTGGAAAAACCTTAAACAAAATATTGTTGACTTCAATAAAAAAAATACAGACTTACCAGATAATATGAATAATCCCGACGACATTAACAAACATTTCCTTGCACTCCCTAGCCATAAAGATAATATTAGCATCTCACAACTAACGTACTTCTGTTTTAATCGCTTTGGTCATAGCAAGTTTAGTTTGAAACCTGTCGATGAAACAACTATTTTTAAAATTATTAGGAATATCACAACCAACGCCCAAGGCATAGAGAACATCTGACAAGATTTTATCGACAGCTCTTTCATAAAACACGAGAAGAGGCAAAACGACAGAATTGGAAGTATGTATGGACCCGTGACGGGCGCATCTTCGCGCGAAGGGAACAAGGTACACCAAGTTATCGCATACGCTCGGACGCGGATATAGTAAAGGTTTTTGATGATAATACAGTTCGTGTTGGTACTGCAAAGCCTTAGTCTTTTAATAAGCGAATTTTATTATGTTAACTTTAAAAGTCATTTAAACTCCTGTTACATGTGGTATGAATATTTTAACACAATTTGTTTATCTTTTGGTTATGTGTTTAATTGTTATATAGCATATAGTAAGCTATTTATGTTTTCATTTTGTTTGTTATGTGTGACGAAGATTACGAAATTTTATTTGATTCCTCATTTCATATTCATGTGTTTAATAACTTTTGGTGCATTTTGTGCAATTGAGTATTTGATCTCATCAATAGATGCAATACTTATTATTTATACTATATTTATTCAAGTAGACTTTGTAATTTTCTATACATTATTACTACGTTTCACGACTTTTGGACCACAAGAACCTGTATGTTTACCACATATTTCCCATGGCAAATTTAACCATAAAAGAAACTTAAGTAAACAAAAACCGGATAAATTAAGCTTACGCCATATTACTTTACTGAGACAATATTTGGGTAATTGTAAGTACGTACAAATATCACATACTTTCGTCATACAATTTGTAAAAAATAAAAATCTATTGGTAGGATTTTTGAACCCCGGCTCGCTCTGTACTCGACACGATGAGTTTCTGGTCGCTATGCAGCGCCACGCAGCAGACATCGTCGCTATCAACGAGACCTGGCTGCGGGCGGGCGGGGAGGCGTGCGCGCCCGCGCCGCCCGGCTACCGGCTCCGCCACGTGCCGCGCCCGCCCGGAGTTCGTTCTCGCGGTGGTGGAGTTGGATTTTACCTGAAACGAGGAATTTACGCGCGACTGCTTGATCATCCGGCTTCCTTGTCAGTCGAACAAATGTGGATTAGTCTTAAAGTAAATGGCCTTAAACTTGCTATAGGCACTGCTTACCGTCCACCATGGTTATGTGTTGATACATTTATTGATGCGTTGACAGAGTCCATCAGTGCATTCTCGGTACACGATCATATTGTCTTGATGGGAGATTTTAATATAGACTTGATGAAACCAGATGATCCAAGCACTAAAAAACTTCATCAGTTCCTTGATTGTATGAGTCTCAAACAGTATGTAACAGAGCCGACTCACTTTACTGACCATTCAGAAACGTTGTTAGATCTTGTTTGCAGCAGCAGCAAAGTTGTCAAAGTCACGGTTGATCATATACGGGATCTCAGCGGTCATGCGTTTATATCGTTTGAGCTAAATATAAAGAAGCCTAAAATGACACCACGCTGGATAATCTACAGACCGTTAAAAGATATCAATATTGATCAATTCAACAAAGATTTACAAAATATACCGTGGGACAGTGCACTCTCTCATAACGTAAATGATTCAGTTCTTGCCTTCAACGCTCTTCTAAAAAAACTATATGATACCCATGCTCCCATTAAGAAGTCATATGTTAGAGAACAAAGTTATCCTTGGATAACAGAAACTATAAAAATCATGATGAAACTGAGAGATGATGCACATGCCAAAAGTCGTCGCACAAAATTGGAAAATCACAAAAAATACTACAAAGAATTAAAGAATATTGTTTCGTCAGCACTCCACAATGAAAAAACTGCTTACTTTCAGCAATTTATAAATAAAAATGTCAATGATCCTCGTACACTTTGGAAAAATCTTAAACAAAATATTGTTGACTTCAATAAAAAAAATACAGACTTACCAGATAATATGAATAATCCCAATGACATTAACAAACATTTCCTCGCACTCCCTAGCCATCAAGATAATATTAGCATCTCACAAC